CAATATTAATTCCTTCCTTACATAATACATATGATCTACTTATTTCCATATCGTTTTGCTACTTCTTCACTAAACAAAATTTTCTGCGAATTATTCGCACGGCCCAACTAGTTATAATATGAAAAAAATCTCAGAGCTCAAGTGTTAGGTTATAAGAATTTTTTTGGTCACATATCTGCGACCTATTTAAGGACCTGGAATTCAAAGAAACATCAAATGAACATGAAAAAGATCTTGGTCTGCGTTTGAAAACATGTGTTAACAATTTTTGGATTACCTACATGTCATATTAAATTCATTTTTTTTTTTCACTTTTATTTGAATTTCTTCCTTTTCAACTTGGGAGTAGTTTCAAATGAACAAGGAAAACGCTTTATAAGCGGGATCAAATTGAATTACAATTGTATTTTAAGATGCCGTTTGTTTGATGAAGTGTTTGATTAAGTCAGGAGATTCTTAGTCAAATATTTTTCTTGAAAAACTACAGACTCATTATTTTCCCTCCTCTATGAAGACATGTAGTAATACCATCTCGCAAACATATTTACATTTCTTATCTCGTCAAGTTGTTGTGTCAATATTAATATTACTTACATTAAAAAAAAAATGGATATATTTCGAAACTTAATTTTTTTTAATGCCGGCTTCGATTTGTAATTATATATAATTACTTTTAATTCCTTGTCATATGAGAATTGTGTGAGAAACTTCGAAAATATTTTTTAAGCTGCCCACATCTTTTAGATAAGAAAGATAAGATTAAAAAGTTCTATTTGATATATCTATAACTTTATTAAAAACAAGTCTATGGCCAGAAATATATTTTATATGTATATATATATATATCTCAAGTCTCTAGCTTTTATTTGATACGTAAAATGACAAGCTCAAAAATTGTTTGGTTTATTATTATCAATAATGAAACATCGTGATCGACCAAAAAATTCAAAAACTTAACCCCCTCTCAAAATTTGAGGTTTTACGTTTCAGGATACGTAGAATTCGAAAAACGAACAAAAATGTTTTTGTCCGTCCGCCGTACGCCGTACGCTTTTTTTTTTTATATATCCACAGCTTTATAAAAATGTTTTCACGCGAAATATTGGGAATCTACTAATATAAATCTAATAATATACAATATTTACTAACTTATTTTATAAGTTATTTTTTCGTGATAAATGTTTCAGATAAAATTAAAAATGTTTCCTAAAGAATCTATTTTTCTCCATTAGTAATGTTTGGTACTTTACACAATCGTAAAAGGAAATGGAAAGTGATGCAAATCATTTGAGAAAATAAGCAGATCCCTCAGAAAAAAATTTATAATTTAAAGGCAATTTTATTTGATCATAACTCAGACAGCATGCAATTAATGGTGTTATATAGTATGTAGCATAAAAGGTTTCTAAATCCCTTACAAAACGAGAAAAAATACCTATCGGAAACGACCCATTTTTAGCTAATTGTCAATATAATGTTATTATTTCGAGGAACACTTCAAATAAGCCTTTTTGCTTCAAACTTTATTGCTCTTTTATCTTCTTTTTATCATCTGACAACGTTCCATGCCAATTCGTCAATTTTCAACTCTTAAAATCATATCTATAACATCAATAACAATATTATTAATATATATAAAAAATATAACACATTCACAATAAAATTATTTTTTTAACAATCACTATTAGCGAATAAAAACTTTTACTTAATATAATTATGTAGTCCTAAACAAAAAATTGTTTATAATTTTATTTTTTTAAAACTGTGGTACTCGGTGGACACTGAAAGTGATGCCCAACAACTTTTATTCTATGAGTTTTTTTTTTCATATGGAACTCATTTCCAGGCTACAGTGCCATTTCTAGTAATTTTTGTCAGTTTTTGACAAGTTTGGTAAAAATCAACGTTATTTGTTTGTGGTTTTCTGTTATATCACTTAACCAAATTATTAAGTGTATGTTCTCGCTCGACACAAAATTTAATGTTTTTAAATTTCTTATAGCTTACGTTTTTGCTTCAATGAACTGTTCAGGATTTATAGGACCAAAAAACAAAAAAGATAAAAAAAAATCTGGATCGTTCAGCTGTTAAAAGTTTTCCCTTGGTTGCTCACATTAGCAATTTGTTTTTTATATGCTTGAACCCATGTATACAAGTTAATAAAATAAAATTGTTTCCCAAATTTTTACAATATATTTCCTATTTCACTCCTCAAGTTGCTGACTTTTTTTAAAGCAGAGGCTTTGGAATGGCAGATAGGGTTTATTTTATTTAGAATAACATACACTTTCATAATTTACACTTAAACCTTTTATTTAAAATATCCCTCAAAACCCTCCTTGGAATCCTCCTGTGTATTTATTATACAAGAATCATAAATATTCTATAATTCTATAGATTTATGTTGTTTTTTAATAATAATGATGGTATCATGCAACGAAATTCTGAAAATTGATTTTCTTAATGGATGGTGTTATGGAGCTTATCTTCACCTTATAACATTAAAAACCTAAGGCCAAGACATATGTCAAGTCTTTAAAAATTGCATTTATATATATATTTTTTTGCCATTTTCTCAAAACTTTAAATCTCATAAAGCCTTCATTTACACATGTCTTCAAATCATATTAACATAATATCAACGATAACATCCAAAAATAACTATTTCATTTGAAAAAGTTAGACGTCAGCATGATTACATAGTTGATTAAAATAATTTAATTTCATTTATGTTGTTGTCGAGATGTTATCAAAAATGTTGGCAACTTTTTTTTTTTACTCCCTGACAGGCACAAGCTGACAGTAGTGTCAAACAATGACAGCAGAAGCTTCGAGAAAGTTGATAGGATCTCTCTTTGGTTGAGATGACATGATATCACCTCGCCTAATGAATCTGAAGCTTGTATATCTAGATTGTGATTCTTTCCATCTCCTTCTCTAAACCTTTATTTTTTTATTATGTACATTCAATAATACATCTGTAATCTGGTGGTAAACAACACCATATCCATTTTTGTATTTGTTGAGGGGGGTCAGTTTTCCATAACTTGGAGCTATTAATTATTTTTTTCTACTAAATCTGTACCCCCAAGGTAAGGTAGACCATGTTATATTTTTATATTTGTTGGGTGAGCCAATTTTCCATAACTTTAAGCTATTAAAATTAGTTTCTTTGTAACTAAAGTATTTAATAAAAAAAATGTACATGGTGTTCTTCATTCCAGGACACAGAATAAAGGAATTACACATTCATGGGCAGTCTTACCAGATAGATAAGACACTGTTAATAAGTTAATAGTAAATGTACATTATGAAACAAAATGTTGTCATTAGAGTTTAAATTTATTTGTCTTTAGGACAGGTCCACATAAAAATAGAACTTATCTTGTCATCAAATAGTAAATATTAATTTTGTTAAAGTCTTCATAACTTTAAAAATATAATAAATAATAACTTAATAAACATGAATAATTAATTTTTAATATTTTACTACCTAGAAGAGAAATTTCAGTCGAGTTAAAAGTACAAAATTAAAGTAAATAAAGAGTATGTGAAGGCAGATTGTACAGAAAAAGATTTGTATTATACTACAGCTATTTTAATATAAGCCTCACAATTCAGTTGAGCTATCTCTTACAAACCATGTGTTTCTATAAATATTGCGCATTAATTAATTTTCATATTTTTTTTTTTTAAAACATACATAATCTCTATTTACAATTAATTAGGAAATTTAAACGTTATTTACATTTTTTATTTTTTACAATAAATTAGGCCAATTATCACCAACATTTTATTGATACGCATTAATTTTGACGTTTCGACCATACTAAGGGTCATTTTCAAATCTTGATGAGTCCCTCCAGAAATGACGTGGGCGAAGCCCCTATATAAAATGACAAGTTCATGTTCACTGAACATATTAATTACAACATTAATGATGAGCATATAACTCATCAAGATTTGAAAATGACCCTGAATATGGTCGAAACGTTATATTTATGCATATAAATAAAATGTTGGTGATAATTAGCCTAATTTATTGTAAAAAAATAAAAAACTTCAAGACACAAAAATTAGGAAAAATGAACAGAAGAACTATTTGCATTATTTAACCAATGGTATGGGAATAGTTGACCACAATTCTAATTTATGAATTTGTTGGGCGGGGATGGGAGGGGGGATGAATAGATTATCTTTAATTTAATTGTCAATTAAGATAAATGGTACTCAATAATATATAATAGGTTTCTGTTGATACTATCTACAAACTTCTCATTTAATTTTTATATTTACATTAACAGATAAAGAGTAAATTGAATATCATAGTAAATAAATACATTTATTAGACATTAGTGTTATTAAGTGGATAAATATTATGTCTTTTCATATAATATAGTTTGTATGTTATTGTTTTTCAGCTTTGTGGTAGATTAAGCCTTTTAGTATATAAATGTATCCCCATCGACTACTATCCTTAGTTATAGTCAAGATTATCAATCATAATAAATAAATATTGTCTCATTTGCTAATGTCGAATGACTTTAATTTTAAATAATATGTTATATAGTTATACATTTGTTTTATTTTTGTTGGATATTGTATAATTAATTAATACAGGATGATCCGATACAGGATCGCATGATTGTGTGATTAAGGATTTCATATTTGTTCAAGTTTTATATTGTATATATTTCTATGGGAATAATGTTATAGACATGTATCCATATTATTATTATCACAGATGGGTTATTATTTAAATAGTCACTCAAAAAAAAAAAATTTAAGCTCATCTCAAGACATCTTTGAATTTAGATTCCATTTTATTTATTTTTTGTTGTCAACATAAATAATTTGTGATATCAAAACTTTTTTATTGGGAATATTTAATTCTGAGATTATTTTGGAAGAAAAGAGTATCTCTTATATAAAGGATTTATATGTCATACAAATAAATTAAGAAATGAACTTTTGTATAATTATTCTTATTTTGCTTGCAGGAATATTGAGGAGAAAGGCTCATGCATGGATAAGTTATGGAGTCAGACAAGGATAAAACAGGGAAGAAGGAAAATCCCCGTGCCTCTGCTAGTATTCTCTCCGCCCTCACTTTCAGGTAAATATAAAATGTAAAATGTAGTTAATTTTATGTAATTTAAGCTATTTTTGATTACTATGATGCATTACTGAGCTTCACTTTTTGGAATTTTCAATAAAGCCTGGCGCTAAAGAGAATCGCTCATCCTGAGCTTTTATCAATGATAATTTAATAATTAATAAAGAGGAATGCGTCTGTGTCTAGTAAAATGTTAATAACCAACCAATGGTATAAAGGCAAACTTCAATGTATTGAAGATGAAGCTTCTTTGAAATAAAGTAATATAAAGAAATTCCAAAATATATAAAGCTAGCAATTTTTCATCCTCGTCATACTAACATTATTTACAGCAATTTTTTAGGATTAATAAATATCTAAGGCTTTTTTTTTTTTTCCTCTTAATATCAAATGATCATTTATTTTATCAAATTTTAAGCATTTAAATAATTTCCAATCTCCTCTAAAACATTTTAATAATCAAATCAAAGTATTTGTGAACAGCAAAACCTTTTTTCTTTTTTCTTATTTATCATCTTTTTTTTTTAATAAACTTATTACTCAGGCCCTTTTTTACGGCAATTAAATTTGAAGGGTTAAGAGAAAGAACGGGGTAAGTCTTTTTTTTAGTTTTAATCTAGATAACTAGACCGAAGAAGAGTGAGTCAACTGGATAATTTAGAGAGTTACACAATGCCGAATTGCATGTACTGTATTTGGTTAATGTAATTAAAATGATTGCATTGCGGCAAATAAAATGGATATGCAAAATTATTGGGCTTAGTAACGAAAGAATCCCTAAAAGGTAAATTTAATATTTGCTGCCCGAGTGATAGATTGAATCTTTGGGTTGGCTAAGTCTTTTAGTATTATTATTTTTATCCCTGTATGATATCCATTAATTCAAAATGAAAAGTTGGAATCTTAAAATTTGAAAAAAAAAAAATTTTTAGTTTCTTAATTTAATTTTTCACATAATAATTCCTTGGAATAATGTAGCTTTTCAATCTAAATTCATAGAGACCAATTACTCAATTAATAAAAAAAGGTCACTTTTTTTTAATGTGACTTTTCCTTCATTCAGTATATTGAATTTTATTTGATATACAGAATATTTTTTTCTAAGCTCGATATTTAGAAATTTCCGAAGTATGGAAGTTTGATATAGAGTTTTTTATTTATATGAAATGTATATATAAATCCTTATATAAACGGGCTGAGCAATGAAGCGCAGCTGAAATTTTTGTAAGAAGGAAATCGTTATATTCAAGCTTTTTTGTTTTCATGATAGGAATATTAGAAAGAAAATTTTCTAAGATGTAAATGAAAATAAGTCTAAAAACTAAGTTAGAATAATAATTTTAGATTAATGAAAACAAGTGTAATAAATAACTTACAATAGTGATTTTAGACTAAAATAAAACGAAGTTATGATTTTTTATTATATTTTTATTGTAAATTTTAAAAAGCTTAATGAAAATTATTACTTTTTTCTAGTTGGACATTGCCCCTGTTCTGGGAGGGGTTCAACAGGGATTTGACAGTAGATGATTTGCCTGAGCCCTTGAATGAACATAGCTCAGCGTTTCTCGGTGACCAAATAGAAAAGTAAGTTTTGGTTTCATTATAAAAATGTTTGGTTATAATTTGGAAAAATTCCATATCTGTTTCTTTGCCAACATTTTGGAGAAATAAGACTGTGTGGTTTTAAATTTTTCCAATTATAACCTCACTTTTATGTTCTGTCTCTTGGTTAGTTTTTTACTAATTTGTATTAATATATAAAAAATTAATTAATTAATATAATTTTTAAAAGAAATTTAAGACATACTAACTATACTTCTATGCTTATAACATTTTAAAGCTCAATCAAATTATTTTGTTTTATTTTTATTTAAGATTATGGGATGAAGAAGTCGCTAAAGCCCAACGTAAGAAGACGGAGCCAAGTCTATTACGGGTCGTTGTAAAAATGTTTGGTTTGCGTTTGATGCTGTATGCAATAGTCCTTTTTATTTCAGAGATCATTTTAAGGTACTTATATTAATAATTTATTTATTAGTTTAGTTTACTTTTTTTTTTAATTTGTACATCTCTTCACTCACATTCATTTTTATTTGCAAGAGTTTGCTTTTATAATATCATTGCAACAAAAAGTTTTTGTTAGATTTTTTAAAGACCTTAATTGTTATATGTTTTAGAGTGAGTCAACCATTGTTGCTTGGAGGCCTCATTAGATATTTCTCAAGTCCTAACATGTCCAAAGACGAAGCCTACTTTTACGCTGTTGGTGTCATCACTTGTTCTGGCCTCACGGTGTTTATGATGCATCCGTACATGATGGCTATAATGCATACCGGAATGAAAGTTAGGATTGCAGCGTGCTCTCTAATATACAGGAAGGTAGAAATGTTGTTTTTATTGTCAATTATTTTTTTTAAAGACTAAATTCATTATAATAAAAAAATTAAACCAAGAAAAATATGAACTTTACTCTGTCAGTAAAATAAAGGGTATATTTATATCACATATATTGAAAATAGCTGAAACTTATAGCCTTTATAATTGTTATCTAGGATGGTGCTAGAAGACATTGCAATAGTCAGTCGTTTAATTTTTCATATTAAATTTTAACACGACAAACTACTATTAAATACCCAGATTTTACACTTATTTTGAAAATGATCCAAGTACTAAGATTAAAATTCTATATATGTATTGATATTACACAAATGAACAATTATATTCAGTTGTTATTTTTTATTTAACTAATAATTGAAATATAAATCAAGTAGTTATATCTTATTATTAACTTGTATTACAGTCCTTGAAACTGAGTAAAACTGCACTAGGACAAACTACTGCCGGCCAAGTTGTCAACTTGTTATCGAATGATGTCAGTCGATTCGATATTGCTTTTATTTTTCTACATATTTTGTGGATCGGACCTCTTCAAACTTGTCTTGTTACTTATCTGATGTGGACACAAATGGGATTGGCTGTATTACTCGGACTCATCGCTTTGTTACTGTTTATCCCATTTCAAGGTGTGTGGCTTTGTTTATGTATTATATATATAAAAAATTTATATTATATTTAAGTTGTCATAATTTTTTATATTTTTCTTTCTATAGGTTGGCTCGGTAAAAGAGCATCTTCTTTGCGGTTAAAAACAGCCGCTCGAACAGATGAAAGAGTTAGAGTCATGAATGAAATTATATCTGGAATACAAGTCATTAAAATGTATACTTGGGAAAAACCTTTTGCTCACCTGGTAGAAGTTGCTAGAAGGTAAATAACGTTTTATTGTTTTTTTAAAACATTTCCCACATGTTGACAACTAATTGCACTAATATTGGGTTGTCCGAAAAATAATGCAGAATTTTGAGTTTTCTTTAAAATTTCCCTTTATACAGCAAACTATTTACGTTTTACTGAATTATTCATTTGTATGAATGTCAACACTTATTAATCCTCTTCCAAATGATTGTTTACCTCTATATTATTTCGCTGCTTAGAAATAATACATTCTTTACTGAGAGATATCGACGTGTGATTTTTGTATAATTTTGTTTTATGAGTTTAAACTCAGCTGGAATGGGCCCCAGATGGCCCAAACAACTGTTTGAGAACTTGTAGGGAAACCTTAGCAAATGACCACCTCAAGACGATTGGAAAGGTAAAAAAGCTTGGTTTGATACACTAAAACTTCTTAATTTCTGTAGAAACCATCAATGCCGAATCGTATTGTAACCAAATTAATGCAATACATCAGAAATTAGCAATAATGAAGCCATCTTTGGTCAATCAGAAAGTGCCCATTTTGTTGAATGAAAACGCCCTGCCAAATGTCTCACGTGTGACGTCACAAAAACTGTTGGAGCTTGGATATGAAACTTTGCCACATCTGCTCAATTCTCTGGACCTCTCGCCTACGAATTACTATTTTTTTGGACACCTGGACCACTACTTACATGACAAAAAATTGAAGCGGCAAAGAGAAATAGAAAATGCCTTTTTGGAGTTTATCAATTCTAAAGATGACAAATTCTATTCCAAGGGAATGGAAAAGTTGACAACACTGCAGAAATGTATTGGAATGGATAGTAGTGGGAACTGTTTTGATTAAATAAAACAGTTGTAAATCATTCTTTTTAAACCAAAATCGTGCTTATTTTCCAGACAACCCAATATATTTCATTTTTTATTTATTTTTTTATTATATTTTTTTTTAATGTAATAATGATAAACTTTCAGAAAAGAAATAAATGAGATTACGAAAACCTCCTATATTAAAGGAATTATGCTGTCATTTATTATATTCCATGCTAGAACTGCAATCTTCTTCACAATTCTATCGTATGTTCTTCTCGGTAACAGGATAAATGCTGAAAAGGTACTTCTACCCTTTCAGTTATTTTTTTTTTTCATTATTAAATCATTTGAAGATAATTCTCTTCTTTTTTTCTTTTTTTTTAATATTACAGGTGTTCGTTTTGACGTCATTTTACAGTAGTTTAAGGCAAACTATGACTGTATTCTTTCCACAAGCGATCACCCAAGTTGCTGAAGGCCTTATATCAGTTAAAAGGATTAAAGTAGGTATCTTTATTTTATTTCGTTGCTTACAGAATTAAATAACAATTAAATTATTTGCATTTCTTATACTGTTGAGAGGCCGTGGTGGCATCACCTTGGCAACCACGAGTCTGAAGTGGTGCCAGATAGGTTCTGGTCTGGATAAATTTATAAGTTAAGTCAATTTCATGGTGGACCTACATTTAAAATGTTGTACTATTGAATTACTTCGTAATAACTGCTAAAAGCATAACCTTTGTATATCCACTTTTTTTTTTTAATAAATATCTCCTTTTCAGTGTGATATAGTGTCTCGGAAGCTAACTATTGTTGCACAAACATTCCATGTCCTAATTTGATGTAAAACATTTTTTTTTATATGATTTCAAATATGTGAATTGAAGCGAAGACACAAAAACTACTTTATCCAGAAATAGGAAATTTGTAACACAGTAGTGTAGAAACCAGCTATATCAGATCGTGCCTTGTTTTTGAATCTAACATTAGTGAATGCATAATACCTTTGAGGTGAAAACAAGATTATTCCTGGATTGTCTGATTTATTGTCTATTGAAAATGTTACATAGTTTCTTATTTAATTAAATATGAATCCAACCATAAATTTGTGAAACTGGACTTAACTAGTTCTTGCACCAAGGTTTTAATTTTCTTATGTTCAACTTTGTTAATTTATTTTTCAAATTTTGTAATATTTATAAGTACTTTATAAAATTAAAGGTTTTACACTTTAATTTTATTCAAATCACACTATTTGGCAAAAGGTGAACAAATTAAAGTGTTAAATATAACTCTGATTTTCCTTGTAGGATTTCTTGATGATTGACGACCAACAGATGAAGAAACCAAAACATATAATTAAAGCTAATGGAAAAGTCGATTTGGAAAATAACGGAATTCAGCTCCTCAGCGATGAAAAGAAAGTTCCCCTTACGGCCGTCCATTTTACTGGAAAAACGGATAAACCTGGTATTTTCATGAAGAATACAACTGCTAAATGGGTGGAAAGCTCACATGAAAATACGCTGAGCAATATAACGTTAGATTTTGTTCCTGGATTACTCACAGCTATCATTGGACCTGTTGGGTCTGGGAAGGTATAGATTTTTAAATTTGTTTGAGATTGAATATAATTGTTTAATATAAAATTATTTTAGTCATAAGTAATTTTTAGTTACATCTATTATGCGTCATTGATCATAAAAAATTGTCATCAATTGGAAAAACAATTTAATAAAATATAAATTTGAATTTGTTTATTTGTTTTTGGACTGTCTACTAAATTATATGCTGAAATCACCAAACCAGCTAAATCCATTTTCAGAGTTCTTTATTAATTAACAATTTTGATAGTCGATTATCATGACAGGATTTAATTTTGGGAAATAATAATGATTTTATGATACAAATTTTATTTGCGTTCTTGATAAATTATTACATTTAGTAGCTGAGATACATGTGTTATGATTTAAAATTTATTTTTTAATTCTTCAAGTATTTGACTCAAACCCTCTTAGAAACAAAAATAGACCAATGAAAAAAATATTTTCTGTTTTATTGAGCTTCAACCCGAATTTATTTCAAAAACAGTTTAATAACATGAGATTAAATGATGTAAATAATTGTTTTCAAAGGAATTATTTAAAATCAGGATAATTTATTATCAAAACTTTTAATTATTAAAAATTTAGAAAATTAAAAATGGATTTAACAGGTTCTAGAATTCTACCTCTTTATTGAAACCACTTCGAAGTAATCTATTGTCTAAATAACTTCTACAATAATTTTTTTATTTGTCAATAAGTTATAAATAACAGAAATTTTAATTTTTTTTTTTTTACTTTTACGGAATGGTAATTAATGACCTATTAGTTGTTTAAAATATTTTTTAATAAAGCTAGCTACAATTGGCTATATTTCATTTTTATTGTGGAAAGTGGTAATAGGAGAATGAATCAAATATAAAAGGTAATCTTTTTTTTACATTTATTGATTACTAGCGTCCGCCCAGTGGTCAAAATTATTGATCATTTGAAGAAAACATTATTTTTCAACTATTATATATTCGTATATTCACATTTATCTGTACCTTTATAAAAAAAAAGTTCAGTACCATTTGAGTTTAAGGAAAATAAAAATGTGAAACCATCGTAACTTTATTCATAAAAATATTTTAATCCACTTTTCTCTCTCAGCAAACATTTTTTATTTTTTGATTGCTAAGAAAATTTGTATTTAAGGGGTTTTCCTTGGGCGAAATACCAATCTCTATTTTGTTTTATATCAATATTGTACTTATATTATAGCTATAATTCGGACATAAATTATTCACAACAGAGCTCTCATAAAAAGTATAAACTAAAGAAAATGTAATAAAAAATAAATAAAATGCAATGTCTTATCGGACATGGTTCTTTTTTTTTTCATTAAGTAGGAAATTCAGGATGCTTTCAAATATTCATAGGATTAAAACACTATATCTCTGTATCAAATTGCCCGATTTCGATGAAAGTATTTTTTATTTTGTAGATAATTCAGGAAGCTTTAGAATAAATATGGGTATTGTCATTAAAAAATTGTGTAATTTTTGAGTTATTTGCAAATAAAATTCTGAATTCATCATAACAGTTTATGTAGCTTGTTTTCCGGAAAGTATGTTATGTACTGAAATTATAAAGGCTTTAAGGAGAAGAATTAAACCAAGTTTCATTATAATCGTTACATCCATTTTGTCGCTACAGTCTAAAGCAAATTACGTTTTTCATCCACCATTTAGAAAAAAAATCGCCGGATGGTAATAAAATGTACATAAAACACTCCTGAATTTTATTACAATGTTGTATCAAAATTTCAAAGCAATCAGTGAAGAACTTTCGGAGATTAGCTGTTTTGAACAAAGTAACATTTATATTCTTATTTATATCCAATTTTCATTTTTTGATAACACAAAAGCTCATCAATAGCTACTAAACAAAAAAAGAAAATTGGTTGAGAAACAGCAAAAAAAATAAAAAATGAACTGTATTGCCTTTCTTTATTTATATTATGATACACAAACCGTACTTCATGCATTTCACAGTGTAATATTCTCTATTATCTAAATACTTTAAGTTATTGATTTGGAGGTTTTCTGTCATCAGTGCACCCTTTACCAACCAGGAGGGAGGTTCATTCATTCCCTTGTTGCACTAGAAATAATCATTATGATTTTATCAATGAAGGCGTTAAACACTTGAAAATTTTCACTTGTTTAAAGCTACAGTTTTTGGACACTACACTGTTCCGGTATTGTAGGAACTCCTTCTAGTTTGAACTTGCCTTCCTTTGAATTTCTTGTCCTTACCATTAAAAGACTTACTTGGAGGAGAATGGTTCAAAAGCAATTAAAGAAGTCGAGGAACAATAGTGCCATTGGCTGGCAACTCAACCTGAAACTTTTTTTGAAAAAGAAATAATCAATAACTGGAAACTTTAAATTGATAAATGATGATTCTTTATGTATAACATTAATCAATAAATGGATAAAATAAATTATTACCATTTCGATTTTATTCAACTTAGTAATTAAGATTTTAAAATATAAATTACAATGCAATACTATTCGTTTGATGGCATTTTTTATGTTCAGTGGATATGGCATTATTATGAAGTGAGTTGTTAAAACTTTTACAAATTAAGAAATCAGACCAGCTTTTTTCTGCATTTTTTGTTTTTAGACATCACTTTTCCATGCTATTTTAAGGGAATTGAACCTCTCAAGTGGATCGATACAAGTTAACGGTCAAGTATCGTATGCTTCTCAAGAGCCATGGCTTTTCCATGGAAGTGTGCGTCAGAATATTCTTTTTGGTCTCGATTACAATCGTGACAGATATAGGCATGTCGTGAAGGTTTGTTCCCTTCGAACTGATTTTGAACTGCTTCCTTACGGTGATAAGACCATTGTGGGAGAAAGAGGTGTCTCCTTAAGTGGAGGCCAACGAGCGAGAATCAACCTGGCCAGGTTTGTAAATTTTATTAATTGAGATAATATTTTATGTTTAGCTTATAGTCCGTGGTACCCCCTATTTGACTATATATTATATGACCCCTTTTTATCAAATTATTAACATCCACCTGAAACTCTGTAAATAGTTTCATCTCATCTTAACCTATTTTATTTACGAAAACTCTTGAAACTGGGACGTTGTTAATCTAAAGGGGGGCAAACTTTGTCTATTTAATTAGGTACTAAAAACTCATAAATAACAATTTGCTTTCTACTAAGATAATAAGATAATTTGATCACAAAATCGATAAAAAAGGTGCCCTACAAAAATATTGAGACGTTTGTCCTGTATAACCTTGATATTTTGAAATTTTTTAAATTTTTATTGATGATATTTGCAACTGTATTACAAATAAAAATAAATTTAGTAAATGTGAACAAAAGAATATAATAACATGAAATCACTTTTTGAGAAACTACCCACAGGTAGCACTCTAAAAATGTATTTACAGAAGGAGATCTCGAGGCCATCTTTTTTTGAAAATTTGGGGGAGTAGGTCACGCCAAACAGCTCAATATTTTTGAATATCACCTTTTTTCTTGATTTTGTTATTAAATTATCTTACGATCCAAGTAGGAAGCAAATGTGTATTTACAAGTTTTTGGTATCTAATTAAATAGACAAAGTTTGTCCCTTTCCAGATTCAAAACTCCCCAATTCCGAGAGTTTTTGTAAATAAAATAGTTGTAGGTTACAATGAGATGAAACTACAAAATTTCAGGTGGATGTTAATAGTTTGATAAAAAGGGCTCTGTACCATGGACTATTAGTACATATCTATTTATTCATATAAAAAAAATATTATTTATTCATTAAAATAGTTGATTGATATTATAATATTTATTACTTACTATACTGTTCCTACTATGGTTATTTAGTTTAAAATGTCAATGAAACCACGTTTGATAAAGACTCTTTCTTGGTCCACCTAACACCTGTTGTAAACTTTAATAATTTATAAGAATTCCATTTGTTTATTGTTCTGACTTTGGCTCAGCATCTCCCAAAAGGGACAAGACATCAAACTAGGGCTATGATATAGTTCACCCACAATTAGTTGGCGGCCCAAGGATGAACTCATGAGACAAAAAGTTTAAACACGTTTTGTTTTTTTCTAACTTTCTGATATTAGTTACGATGTAAATAACCTACTGAAAGTTAATTTTAAATGATTTGTTTGGCGGGAATAGCGAATAGCCTTCTGCCTTTTTATCGAGGAACTAGGTTATTTACACTCGTGATTATCAAAACAAAACCCCGCCACTTGATATAGACTTTTTGAGGGTGTTTAACTGTTGTTGGGAATTCGGGAATCTAATACCTTTTGTGACATTGAGTGAGAAGAAACAATAAGAATATATATTTGAAATGTGGGACTTAGTAAATTCACTTTAAATGAATTGACTCACCTGGTTTGTTTATCGTGAGGCATATAGAACAACTAAATAAATGACTTTTCACTCCTGTATAACAAAATAAATTATTTCTACGACTGTAATAAATTGCCTCTATTAAAGTGTTATAACTATAGACTTGATCTTCTAAATCTTGTAGTAGACTCTCTTCCCAGGTATGTCATTCCGCCTCAATGTCTCAGCCTCAAGTGCCCTATTCTCTCCCTGGCGTCATTCTCCTGCTGTTGCTTCCTGACCGAACCTTTTTCCTTCTTCCTCCTTCATCGATTGTTTATCGATATGAGACTTTTCAATGAATAATTTGTCCACTGCACAATTGAGTAAAATTCACAGTGAAACCTCACATTCCTATATATTCCTTCTCATTCCCTCACACAATGTCACATAAAGGAGTAAATACAGGGGGCTGTCTATTACAACGAATATTGAAAAATTATATTATAATCTTCTGCTTTATGTAAAGTTTTGAAATCAATTGTGTCTCTTTGGTGAATCCTTTGTTCATTAATTTATTTGTTTATTATGAATATCAATATTTGCTTTTAGAGTTTAGTTTAGTCAATTGTAGTATTTGAAAGATTTAATGAACTGTTAATTTCTGATGAGTTATTTAATACAGATTGGTTTATTATTTTATTTCAGAGCTGTCTATAAGAATGCAGATATTTATCTTTTAGATGATCCTTTGTCAGCAGTCGATACCCATGTTGGAAAACATTTATTTGAAGATTGTATCCAAGGTTTGCCAATATTATATTTTTTATATTATGTATAAATTTAACTGTATATTATTTCTTTTAAAACATTATAATATAAAAAATGTGCAGTTTATTTTGTCTTATGAATAATTTTCGTTTTTGCAAGGTTGGTGTAAATAATTAATTGTAATGTTTGTAATCTCAGCCTTATTGAGTATTCTATTAGACCGTGCTTGTTGAATTATGAAGTAAGTTGACATTTTCACAATTTTATCCAACACAGAAAAACTAAGTGAAAAAAGTAAAAATTAATTAAAAGGTATATAAAAATAGAAACTGCAATGATTTACCCAATAATAATTACAGAAATATAATCTAATTCAAATTATATATAACCGAATTATCTGTTACATCTATAGCAGAACCTATATAGTCAGTCAGAATGACATTCCAATTTGACTGTGTTTGGTTAAGATTGATATACTAATGCATTATCAGAAAAACTGAAATCAAAGTTTTTCGCAAAATCAATGTATATTTCAGATTTTCAATTAAAATTAGCAGTTTTTCATATCTCTAGTTTATACATTTATGAACCCTCTTCAAATAATGTTTTTTCTTAAATAATTAAATAGGCTATAATAAAAAAAAAAAAAATGGAAAACTACACATTTTACTTATAGGAAAATTAATCTTTTACTGTTTTGTACGATATTTGTTAATTATTTTTCTTTTTGTTCCAATATATTTATTATTTACACAATATTTTCTCTTTATTTTTTTAAGTGATTGAGCTTAGGTTTTTAACTTTTTGTCTCTTCAATTTTTAGGCATTAGAAAGTAAATATTATAGCTTCAATTTTTTCTTTCTGTCCAATGCTATTAAGGACAATAGCCAAACTAGCTTTATTTATCAAAAACTTATTATTAATTGACAATGCACCAGATTCACACTGCCTGATGTCCCAACGTTAACAGATCTAAAATGATGTCAGTCTGACTGATACATGTAGGATACATCGTGATTGAAGCAATTTTTGTCAATCTTGCAATTATAATTGCTCATTGTTGGGTACATTTAACAGAAACAGCGGCTAGACAAATATGTCATCTCAGATTAATATTTAAAAAATATCATTCCTTCTGTAACAAAATAAATAATTAAAAAATTATCAATGAAATAAATTTAAAAAATCTGAAGCAGTTGGTTGCCGATAACACTCACATTTCCCAATCAATCATTTTATCTATGTCTCAGTCAAACCCATCAGGCATCAGATTTAATTATTTTATTTTTTTAAATAATTATAAAATTAAATTTTCATATTTGTTTTTATTTCAGGGTATTTGAAGAAGAAGACAGTGATCCTTATCACTCACCAGTTGCAATACCTGGATAGTGTAGATCAAATTGTATTACTTGAAAATGTACGAATTTGTTTATTTATATTTAATTAAATCAGTTATACTATAAATTGATATTGTTAACGTGTCACTAATAAATGATTATTTGTAGGGGATTGTTTCTGCTGTTGGTTCAAATGAGACACTTCAACAATCAGGTCTTGATTTTACTAAATTAATGTCTGAAAAGGAACATAAGGAAGTTGTGGAAGAAAAACCTGTAATTCGAACACTCGGAAGCAGACAATCATCTATTCAGGTTTGTTTCTATCTTCATACAAGTTTTCTTACTTTCACTCACCCATATTCTTACACTTATATCTTACATTATACATATGGTCAACAATCAACTTATCAATTATTTTTAATAATAATTTAAAACTTAAATTATTATTTTAATCCTTACTGGAGACCATGTGGCTTATACTAATCACTTCCATTATATGTGTTAAAATTATATGTAAGTAATGAAAGCTAAACACTGATAAGCAGAGTCCAGATTTTTATACATTAATCCCCTACAGAATATGTCATATGATATGCAATCAAAAATATACAGTAAAAAATTTAAATTATGCAGAAAAAATCTCCAAACAGCTCTCGGACAACTAAAACATTGAAATATACTTATGGATTTACACTAAGAAACTAAAAAAGAAAATAGAGAAAGGACTAATGTATGTATGTTACATAATGTGATATATTTATTAAAATCTAAAATGTCTATGTAATAAAAACTTAGAATTATTGAAGGAAGTTAGTCGATAGTTCTTCATATAGGTTATAAATAGTCAGGACACAGTCAGTTATTATGGTTTTTATCGTTGCCAATGTTTCAACCCAAGCTTATCAGTTATATTCAACCAAAGAATCCAAGTTCACCATCACTGCATGCCATGGGCTGATCTACGGAGGGGGAGAGAGCTTTGGGGCTCCTCCCCCCCCAAAAAATGGTAAAATATAACCCTGTTTTATGGAAAAAAAATATTAAAAAAAAAATCTCTTAAATTACTATTGTTTGTGTAATTACATTTGAAAGGACTTTAGGAATCATTTAAACACCATTGCATATAGGTAATTAGTTTCTTTCTTTTTTTTCCAAAGTAATTATCGTTATTTTTATGAAAAAAAAAAGCTTTCGGGCTGAAGCCCCCCCCAAAATTAAATCCTGGATCCGCTATTGGTGCATGCTAAGCATCAGTACTGAATGTATTCAACTACTGGTGGCCAGTACTTAAACACCTTCAGTGAATTGGATGATCTCTTCAAATAAAACAATGTTTTATTTGAAGAGATCATCCAATTAAATTTTAATTGTCAATTTCTTTTTTTTTTTTCAGAGTATGGCATCTTCCTGCTATGATGAAATAAACACAGAAATCCCAGTGGAAGTCGCCGAAACTCAAACGAAAGGCACAGTTAGCGGAAGAGTGTACAGGGCCTATATTGCCGCGGGTGGCGGTTGTTGCCACGGTCTCTTCTTACTCTTCATGTGTATGTTTTCTCAGGTTCTCGCCAGCGGTGGCGACTACTGGATCACTTACTGGTATGTTATTGATATTATTTCCTTTTTAAATAATAATTAAATTGTGAAAGTAAACTTTTAGTACATATTAGCAAATTTCCATCATATTTATCCATGTGAAAACTTATTAAATGCATCAAAATAATACAAATCATATATTGTAAATATCCTGTTCCGCGATTATTGTAAATAGCCTTCCGTTCTGTCAGACGCCTTGTTTATTTACACTCGTGAATTTAATTTTCTTTTAAACAAAACTCTGCCACTGGATTTTAATGGATTTTAATCCAATTACTGGACTTTTTATGGATTTTAATGTTGTTGGGAATTTGGGAACCTAATGCTTTAGTGACACTGAGTGACAAGAAATAATAATAATAATAATATACATATATATATATATATATATGAAATGTGGGACTCAGTAAATACACTTTGAATGAATTGATTCTCCTAGTTTTTTATATTTCAATTGTGAGGCATATAGAAAAACTAAATAAAAGGACTATCCACTTCTGTATAACAAAATAATTTATTTCCACAACTGTAATAAATGAATTGATGTTTTTAATCTTCAGTGGAGCGGGCTTCTCTCCTCTGGTAACCTCCTTCCTTCTTCCTGTTCCGGCCTCAAGTGTCTTCTTTGTTCTCCCAGCGTCCTTCTCCAGCTGCTGCCACTTGCCGCCATTTTTCCAGGCTTCTTCCTTTCTTGGTTCTGTACCTTTTTCGTTGATTGTTTATCGATTTGGTACTTTTCAATAATCAACTTGTCCACTACACATGTATATCCAATTTTCATGAAATTTTCAGATGGGGTGGGATGATTGAGCGAGCTAACAAGGGTGTAAAATACGCATTGCCTGGCAAACTGATAAATTGATGATTACGGGTTCAAATTTCAGTGCCAGAGGAACTTTTATCTGGCTTAATTTCCTCTTCCTCTTCCCTGTCCTGAGGAAAATCTCCTAAAACCTAAAAGGGGAGTGAGGGGAGGGAAACACTTTTTTCAAAGAATATGTTAATATGAAGACTTTATTGCTGATTAAGCACTATGGTAATGAAGATTAGAAGAAAGATAAATAGAGGACTTCCAAGCAAAAAAAAAATTAAAATGTTTGTATTTTGTCACTGTAATATAATATGTAATATAATATATAATATAATATAATATATAATCTATATATAATTAATATAATATATAATCACTGTAATATAATATGTAATATAATTGATGTAATTTCATCGCGGCGAATCAAATGGGCTTGTAAAGTTGTTGGGCTTAGTAACGAGAGAATTCCTAAAAGGTTAATATTTGCTGTGCCGAATGGTAAGCGTCCGAGGGGTAGACCGAAGCGAAGATGGGAAGATTGCATTAAAGCCGATCTGAAGGGACTGGGTTTGGACGGCGAACGGTGGAGGGAGGTGTGTAACAAGCGATTGGTGGTGTCGGCATCGAACCTTCGGGTTCGCTAAGCCTTATTATTATTATTATTATTATTTTGTCACTGTTCTTCCAAGCAAGCAATATCAATATCACCGTAATCATAAACTTTTTTAACACATAATCTCATGGTTTAATGATAAATATATATATTATAAATTAATAAATATTATTATTACTCATATATTTCAATATCTTCATTGTATTATTAATTTTTTTTTAGGGTAAACATGGAAGAACATTTTTATGGTACAGGAAATGGTGAATCAAATTTAAGGAATGTCACATCCGCACTAAGTGCCGAAATAAGTAGCAACATCACTAACATTGTTAATGATACAGTGACCTCTGCGATCAATGACACACTGACCTCTACAGTGAAAGATGTTCCTTATGCTTTTGTAGTCTCGAGGGAAACCTGCATTCATGTATTCACTGGAATAACTATAGCTACAATAATTGTAACCATTTTCAGATCGTTTTTATTTTTCTACAGCTGCATGCAAGCTTCAATTAGGCTTCATAATAGGATGTTTGAATCTATAACCCGAGCTACGATGTGGTTCTTCAACAATAATACTTCTGGTGAGTAATAATATTTGGTTTGTTATTTTAATTCTGCATTAGGATATTTAGTTGAGTTGATAAGAATTGTTTCGGATCAAAATCTGTTATTTCCAAATTAAAAGAAAATAATTTAGTTTTAAAAAAAAATGAATTTCAGAAGTTATGTTGTCAATGATTTAAAAGTAATTCATCAAAAACCACTTGACCCCAACATAAAAATTGAATATCAAGCTAAGGTTTTAAATCAGGAAGTAGTAGAAATTAGATCCATAGGTTCTGCTTTGTCCACTAGAGTGCCAGTTGATTTTGTTTTGTGGAAAAGCCATTACAGTGACTGATAGAGTGCAGTGGCACTGGATAGGGTAATCCTGGTATAGGAAGGGGGAAGGAGCAGTTGACATAAAACTTTTCTTAATAGAGTAATAAAAAATATTCTACTACACTTCATGTTTTATTAATGTTATCCTAAAAAATTATATTTTAATTACAACTAGTTGGTCCGTGCGAATAATTCAAATGACACATTAATTGGAAAGAAAACTATGCCATAAGATCATATCATAACATGGAGAAATCAATTCTTATTTTCTCGCTAACTTTAATCTAGTAAGGAAATGAATAATTAATTTAAAACTTCATTCATGTTTTGAATCAACTTGTTTACATATTTCAATAAGTTATATCCATGCTTATTCCGATTCAATTCAGTAATCTTTTAAATAATCGCGGGGGAAATAAAAAAAAGTGTGTACTTTATTAATTATTCCCGTATAAAGTTTCTTTTCTTTCATAATTTTTTTCCTGAATTTCGGGAGGATGTGACTATTACTTTCACTTACCTATATATGAAATAAATAGTAAAGGAAAGTATTGCAATCGTGAAAATTTTTGAATCTCAATTTTCAATGGAAATACATGTTTTGAGGTCCCTGAGTCAAAATAACCAAGTCCCGCAAAATGGTCTGTGTGTGTGTTAACAGTCTAGCTCAAAAACAAAAAGTCATATGGAAGTGAAATTGCATATTTAAGGTTTTTATATGCTAGGGATGTTACAGTAACTTTTTCGTCAAAATCTACTGACCGAAAATGGCACTTTATATCATGGGCTAAACACATTTTTACAATTTTCTTGGAAATGGCTCTAAAGATTTTGATTAAATTCATTATATCAGTGTAAAATTAAACAGTTTTAAATAAAATATAGTTTTTATTCTGATTGATGTTCTCTAACAGGGCTTAAATGGCTGATTTTCAATATTAGCTTCCTCTTAAGTACCTTTAATTTTTTTTTATGAAACAATTGATTATTTCACATTAATCTCTAATATAAAAGATAATTAAATATAAAATATGAAAGAATTTGATAATTAACTAAAGAAGCAATAAAAAATCGTAACAGAGAATAGTTGTAATTCATCGTACCTGAGCTCACCTGAAAGATTATAACAGTCTTCCATACGCAACATGAGCTTAATATAATACGGACTCCATCAATATTATATAAATATTAATATACGGTTTTCATAAATGCTATTGTTGGTATTATTTAATATTTAATTGTTTAGATTACACCGATATAAATATTAAAATTTGTATATATAAGGGTACTTATACAAATAAAAATACCCACAGTGAAATAAAAATAATTATAGCGTCTATAATTTTTACTTTCATTTCTCCTTTGTCTGAAAATACTTATTTCTGCCAAGAAAAGGGTGGTAAGTGAAAGTTGTGTGATGCGCACACCAGACCAGATTTTTTTTCCCACCTGAAGGAGTAGGAAACCTTCAAAATGTTGGGTCAATCATGGGATTTGATGAAGAATTAACAAAAATATGGCATACCGACAGTAAACACCTTTAATAAATAATATAATTTCCTCCTCTCTCAATCAAAAGGACCTCAAGTCGACGACATGAGACATGTATCCCATGGCAACACAACAATTAATGTAAGGTTGCATGGCTGCAAACCCTTATACAATACCTTGCATTGTCTTGAAAATGATACATTTTTGGTCTTGGAAATGCAGGGCCCGGTAATTCCGAGAGGGGAGGGGGCTCTTGTTGTCTGCATCAAAATCTTCAAATCCTAATTTGAAAATCTTCAAATCCTAATTTGAAAATCTTCAAATCCTAATTTGAAAATCTTCAAATCCCGTATCGATCCACCGTTCCAGTATTGAAGCCTAGCAAAATGTTTATATCGACTTTATTTGTTTTAAAAAGAAAAAACAAAAGCAAAGAGTATGATTTGGTAGCTTCACGTTAACATTCTGCATTTGAGCATGACAGAAGCTTATATTTGGTACAAACCCAATTTCGAGCCTTAGTATAATAATATATGTGGGGATAATAAATTTTTTATTTATTCTGCTGTATGTCGCTTAAGAATAATAGTAAAGTTAATACATGTTAAGTTTAAGATCTTTAGAGTCAGAAAAATATTATAAAAAATAACATATTACATGTGTTAAGTAATAACATATATTACTTAATGTATCTTATAAAATTATCTTAGGCAGATTACTTTCTTTATGATATTTAATTTCAAAAAATTCCTTACCAAGAAAAATAATATTTAAACAAAGAAAATTTAGTAATGAATTATTTCAGGAAGGATATTGAACAGATTTTCTAAAGACATGGGAGCCATTGATGAACTCTTGCCGTCATGTATGATGGATGTAATACAAGTAAGTACTTACATCATTCTAGTCACACAATTTGTTACTGGCGTTTTCAGAAACTATTTTTTTTGTTCTAGTACAAATATCTTGCATTTAGTATTTAGTTAATATTAACCATTTTCCATAGTATTTATAAAGTTAGTTTTATAATATATTTACTTTTTAGATTGGTATTACTTTGCTGGCCATTATAATTGTGGTATCATCCGTCAATCCCTACCTCCTCGTTCCCACTTTTGGATGCGCCCTTATTTTTTATTTCCTCCGAAAATTTTATTTGTCTACTTCCAGAAGTGTTAAAAGATTGGAAGGTGTATGTAAGTATTTAATCTAAACTGTTTCTATGAGATTCTCTGAAGTTTTTTCTAAGTATATTTTTCATTGATAAATAAATCGTTTTAATTACAGCGAGAAGTCCTGTATTTGGTCATTTGAATGCTTCAATACAGGGTCTAACAACGATTCGAGCATTTAGAGCAGAGAAGATTTTAAAAGAAGAATTTGATAACCATCAGGTAATTTATATCTGACATAATTAATAAAGAACATTGAACAAATTATCGGCATATCAATTGAGATTATTATATAATTATAAAATTTTTATTTAGAATATAAATTACATTTTTTCTATTGTTATCTATTTATTTTACCTCTAGGATCTTCATTCTTCTGCTTGGTACTTGTTCATCGCATCAAGCAGAGCTTTTGGATTCTGGTTGGATGTAGTCTGCTTAGTATATATAGGAATGGTGACTCTTAGTTTTCTGGTTTTAGGAGGAGGTAAGCTATTTTTCACATATGCACATATACATATTTAATAGAAAGTATTCAAGTTAAATAGGTAATATTAATTGCAGTATATCATTGCCACTTTTTATTCTTTTACAGAAAATTTTGGAGGAAATGTTGGTCTTGCAATATCGCAAGCTATCAATCTGACTGGGATGTTCCAGTGGGGTATGAGGCAATCGGCGGAACTAGAAAACCAAATGACATCGGTGGAAAGAGTTCTCGAATACTCTGACATAGAAATGGAACCACCATTGGAGTCCCCACCTGGTAAACCTTTATTATTACCTCACTACTATCAATAATAAATGGGTTTTTATATCGATGCTCATAATAATATACTTTATATTATGTTATGTTAATATCTTGTTGGAACTGTTCCAAAAACATATATTAAATTGTCGTTATATTTTTAGATAAGAAGCCAAGGGCTACTTGGCCTGAAAAAGGAAGAGTTGAATTTATCGATGTCCATCTCCGTTACAGTGCTGCTGAACCATGGGTTTTGAAGAACTTGAATTTTGTCATATTACCGCAACAGAAGGTAAATTTTAAATTTTGAGACTATCCCCATTATTTAGTAAGTTGTTTAAATTGTATTCAGAAGTGCTTTTAGATGTTTGTTTTTTTTTTCAACATTTTCAGCGAAGGTATTAAATTAACATTAAATTTATTATTAATAAAATCATCCTCACTGAAATTTTCATGCTATCAGCGACTTTGATAATTTCCTGTCATTTACATTTACCTAACAAAATCATTTTGAAGATTTTTTTATTTGTTTATACTAATAAATTTTAAATTTTTTATAAGTAAAATTGAACTGTCAGCCAAGATGTAAAGGATTAAATTTGAGATTTATTTCATGAACTTATACATTAATAGTTGAGTAATGTTAGTGTTATATAAAGATTATATTATTTATTCTTACTTTTGATGTTCTTTTAGAAACCAATTGCTTGAAAAAATTACTCTTAAATAACTTAAAAATAATATTTAATCTTTAATTTTTTCTAAACATATATTTTTTTTCTAGAAAAGTATTAAGATTCAAAGTTAAAATTTAACAGTTTTAAGTTCTATCATTTTTATTTATTTATTTTATCTTAGGTTTATATACCAAATACTTAATGCATTTATAGTGGTTTTATAATATATTGCTAAACTTTCTAAGCAGACCACAACACTAGCGGATCCAGGATTTAATTTTTTTGGGGGGGAGGCTTCAGCCCGAAAGATTTTTTTTCTCATATATATATATATATATATATATATATATATATATATATATGTGTGTGTGTGTGTATAATGATAATTACTTTGGAAAAACAGAAAGATACTAACTATCTATATGAAAAGTCCTATTAAATGTAATTAAACGATCAATAATACTTTAAAACATAATTTTTTAATATTTTTTACCATAAAACATGTTTACATTTTACCATTTTGGGGGGAGAGGGCTTCAGCCCGAAAGCCACCCCTGTAAATCCGCCTGTAGACCATATGATAAACGAAAAACTTTTGTTCCTGACTGATCTGACCTTTAATTTAAGCTATTTTTTTTTTGTTAATTCTTATATTATTATTCTGAAACTATAAAACAATATTAAATGAATGGATGATTTCATTTATATTCATTCCACAATTTAATGTAATTTAAAAAAAAAAAATCCACGGATTAACAAATTGGCTACTTTATTTTATTCGTATTAAGAAGAATTTGAAAAGTAAATTATAGTTCAAATAATACTGTATATTAATCAATTAATACGAGAAGAAATGTAGTTCACCTAAGTAAACTTTGAAAGCTTATAACTTCTTGATTGTGAAAGGTATTTCTAAACAGTCATCAGCTTAAATATTTCTAAATTAATGGAATGGCGAGGAAGTCTTCACTGAATGGCTGGATGAGTCAACCGGTGCACTTTTAATGAATGAGTAGGATTATTCATGAATGGAGATGCACTTGTAATGAATGGGTTAAGTATTATCAGTTAGGAAGTTGTAAATTAGAGATAGACAAGATTACCATAAAATATGGTCCTGCAATAGGAATGTTTTTACCTTTATATTTTTCTATGATTTATTCTGTTTTCTTCAAAGATATTATTTGTATTTAATGTAACATTATTGTAATATTATGTTTATTTCTTTGAAAAGGTTGGAATAGTTGGAAGAACTGGAGCTGGAAAATCTTCGCTGATTTCTGCTCTCTTCCGCCTGTCGGAAGTTGATGGAGAAATTACAATAGACGATATTGAAACTTCTACTATTGGTTTACACGAGCTTAGATCTAAAATTTCAATCATCCCGCAAGAACCTGTTCTTTTCTCGGGAAGATTGAGGAAGAACCTCGATCCGTTTGATGAATTTTCTGATGATGTACTGTGGAATGCTCTTGATGAGGTACAACTTATTTTTGTTTTATTTACATATACAGGAATAATAATTTTGAAAATATTGGTCTTCATTTCAAATTATAGGTGAATAAATTGAGTCATTATTTATTGCTGTAGTAAATCCTAGTCATCATCAACAGATTCTCTGGAAACACAACAAATTATATTTTCTATTCTATATTGGCAACATGAAAACCAATATTTAAAAAATTCTTTGTTTATATTACATATTTCTGAAAATTATTGATTACTTTAATTGTAATTAAAACCATTGAAACTTCAATAAGGGTCAATTTTGGAACAAACTAAACTTCAAGGCTCTTCTTATAACAAAACATGGTTGATTGGGGTTTGGTTTGGAGAGAAAAAATGGTATATGATTCAAAGAGAAAAAATCATTAAAACTGTATCATACAAATTTAACTTCTTGTTCTAAACAATAACGCCACAAATAAATAAATTTACTTAAAGGGATGGAAGTTTTTTTTTGTTTTTTTTTTACAAACAAATGTAAATATATATTTTTCTCTTAAGGTCGAATTAAGAGAAGTAGTGAAGGAATTGCCAGGTGGCCTGCACGCACAAATATCAGAAGGAGGTTCAAATATGAGTGTTGGTCAGAGGCAGTTGATATGCCTAGCACGTGCCATCATTAGAAACAACAGGATTTTGGTTTTGGATGAAGCTACAGCTAATGTTGATCCACAGTAAGTTTTTATTTATTTATTTTTTGTTTATAAAGGTAGAGAAGCTTTTTATTTTTATTCATACGGAGGTGAAAACAATTGTATCCAGAATTGAAAATTTTATTTCTAAGATACAAATTTGGCTCTTTGTCTATCAGTAGTCAAATACAGTTGACGGACATATCACTTGCTACCTTTGATCATATTTTCTTGAAATTTTCAGATTGTGTACCAGTGAACCGAAATTGGGATTTAAAAAAAAAAAAATTTCAACCCGTTCTTTTTGCTCTAAAAAATTGACATTTTAGGTATAATATTTCGAAATAAATATCATCTTCAATAACTCATTTATTACCTGAATTAAGTTCGAAATAATTCAAAAGCATAAAGAAAATATCTTAACTTAAAAAAACTTCCATGAACTCCAGTTTTAACCACCCTCTAGATTCTGCCAGCTCATGTACTCTCTTTGTCTGCTTTAGTTCCAACCCTGTCGTACCTAGATTATTTCTTAGCAATATTAATATAATGGTCCTTATTAATTAATTATGAGGCTAAACCTATTGTTTGAGTGATCTGTCTGAAAAATCTTTACCTCCTTGCAATTCTGTTGACCAAGGAACAGTACTTTCTTACAAAATACATAGACCCACCAAAGGATGTAGTGATACAGGTTTATTTTTATTTTTCTATTAAATTAACAAATAATTGAAAACTTTTTATTAAATTAAAGTAATTCATCTTATAAACTTTTTAATTGTGGGTTGACGGTTGACTGTAGTGAATAATTGAAAAGAAGGATGTTTTGGGGTGATCAGTCAAAATAAAATAGTAAAAATAAATAAATATAAATATAAATATAAAAATAAATAATAATGCTTTCAGTCACTCTGTTTTCCATATCTCCATCTCTATTTTATATATATTGATACATTTGTTTATTCGTCTTTTTTACATTATTTTAACTTTTTATTCTCCTATACCTATTCAGTAATTTTGATTGATTTTACAATATCTTAATTTTCTATTTATATCTATTATATCCTTATAGGTTAGGTTAGGTTACAAATTGTCCTAGGCGATCAACAACTTGGTTATTACGCCCCTTATTTCCTTACATAACTTCATATTTCTTTTCTCTGTTTTACATTATATTCTAAGACTACCATTTTTTATTTCTTATTTTACCTTATTTTGATTGTATTTATTTCATTGGTCCGTTCTTTGTTGCTGTTATTATTATTTATTTCTTAGTTCTCTGTTACTGTTATTATTCTACCTACTTTATTTCATTTTAATTTTCACTCTATCTACTTCATTTTACTTTAAGTTTTTCTACCTATATTTTTTAGTCTATGCCTTTCACCTTTTTTAATTTTAATTCTTTATTACTCAATGTTTATAGTTTCTTATACCTATTGTTATCTGGTTCTTTTCTTAGCTCTGATGAAGGCCTGAACTTCGGCCCGAAACGTCGGCGAATTTGAAAAATAAATAAATATATATATATATATATATATATATAAACTTTCTAATTTACTTGATGAAAAATTGTTTATTCTATTCTTAGAAAGATTAACCCTTTAGCAATGGTGGGCTCATACATGAGTCAAGATAAAATCTGACCCAGACGACTGTGAACTCATGTATAAGTCGATAACCATTCGGGCTCTTTCAACGACGCGGTGCTCTGTGATAAATTCTACTTTCAAACTATCTCGCAACCTTCCCATGAGGTAGTACGTAATTTTTCTTCGATTATGAGCATTTTTGAAGGATTCTTTAAATAAAAATGTGTACGTGATCAGTAGATTTGACGAAAAGTATTCCGTCCTTGAGGACCTTTCAACTATCCCGCTCATCTTTGCTAAAAAGTTAAATCTGTTTTCATATTAAAAAACTGTTTGTTATTATCATTTTAACTACTTTGCCTGTTTTTTTTAGGACTGATTCATTAATTCAAGAAACCATCAGATCAAAGTTCGCAGACTGCACAGTATTAACAATAGCTCACAGGCTCAATACTGTAATGGACTCTGACAAGATATTAGTTATGGATGCTGGAACTATGGTGGTACGTATTAATTTACTAATTCCATCTGTAAGTTAATTGTTTTTGCTACCTTCAGAGCTTATTGTTTACTAAAATTCAAAACACAGTTCATAATTTTATTACAATGCCATGGACACAGGTTACTGTTTTATATTTTATAGTTTTATTCCGGGAAATATCTTACTTTCCTTATTTAAATATTTTAATTAAAATTTTATGATTTCAATTTTCTAGGAATTTGACCATCCTCATATCCTTCTTCAGAATAAATATGGTTTCTTACACAAGATGGTCCAGCAAACTGGAAAAGCCACAGAGGAAACCTTAACCAAGATCGCTAGTGAGGTAAGTTGTTTTATTTATATTGAATCATCATTTAATTTCATTATTTTTTATTAGCATAGTATTTAAATTTTATCCAAGTGATTGAGTTTGTGATATTTGTTCACATTCGTGATATATTTCTAGAATTTACCTAGCGTGTTATTGTCCAAATTTTTTGTAATCTTTAGAGAAACCTAAAGTATTTGTGAATCAAAAAGTTCCCATGAGTTGAAATTTACAAATACTTGAATGTATCTCTGGGACTACAAAAAACAGGTTTCTTGAAATATTTTAAAAATAAATCAAAAGCCACTTACATTATATTAAAATCTAGTAAGCCATTCAAATGATTTTTTGTTGAATTTCTTAATTTTGACCAAAATCAAAATTGTCTTTTGTCTGAAGTGTGTTCCCAAATTGAGTGAAAAATTCAATAACTCTTATCTGATAATTAGGTGTATATGAAATTCATTTAATGTTTAATTTTAATCCCAAATATTTGCTAAATAAGCTTTTTAAAATTCATAATTGACCAAAAGTTAGTTGTCCACCAATTTTGACAGTTGTCATTTAATTATTTGATTAGATGAATTGGTTTAAGTTTTTGATCAAAATTCTTACTGGTGTAAAACAGTTTTGACAAGGTTATTGATAAAAAAGGAAATGAATAACAATGATTGATACTTCTTGTTTTGAAGACTTGTATGTTTGATTTTCAGGAAAAGTACTGCTAACAAAAAAAGAGTTTTTAGATCAAGCGAGTTTAAGTTTTTGATCAATATTATTATTAGTGAAAAAGCTTGTTTAGCTCTAAACTTTAATAGGATGAAAGATTGACTGATTACTTAAGAGATATTGTGATTTAATCTCAAGTTTCGTACTCTAATGGATGCAACATAATCTTTTATTTTATTTTTATTTTTAGAGTTATCTATTAAAAAAATCTGAGGAACCAGAGGAAAGCAGTGTCATCTAGGCGCCATTATCTAATTACCTAAGGACTTTATTTTCCACTTCACAAAAACATTTTGGATCAAGTGTTACTGCAGCGCTATTTTGTGCTGTACCATAATCATGAAGAGTCATATTATTGGTAGCAGCCATCTATTGAACAGATTTTTTAAATAAATATATATTTTAAATGCTGTCATCAATTAACATTACTCGTAAAGGAAAGTCTTTGAAAAAGTGTAAAGTATAGATTTTGAATCTGTCCACCAGATATGAATTGTATATTTTAAAATGTATGATAGTATTTTTCATATAGTTTGTAATTTAATTATTTTCCCTCTTAGTATGCTTAGCTGTTAAGAGACTGAGAGAAATGTTCAAACATTTGGTATAATTATATTTTATGAAGCTAATAAAAAATGTACATTTTTAATGTATATTTAAAATTTTTAATATTGATTTGCATGTTGTGATGTGCCTTTGTAAAGGAATCTTGGTTTTTAATGAGCTGAATTTAAATTTTGAAATATATACATAGATATATTCTTTTCCATCAAGTGGAATTTTTATTATTTTCAGTTTTTACATATTTATGTATTTTATGTACCTGTAACTTGCGGATACTTAAATGTTTTATATTAATCACTAATTTATCAAACAAGTTCCTGAGATTGTTACTTATATAAATAGTTATAAACTATTTTAACTGTAATTCATAATTACAGGCCAACTTAAAATGTCAGTACTTAAAAATGGCTATTTTTTCAAAATAAATGTAATTGTTAAATATTATATAGAATTTGTTTTAATTCTGATTGTGATGTCTAGAATTTAACCTGCTTAGATTTAAGTGGCGAACAATAGTAGCTAAATTCTGGGGCCATTTTTATAGTTATGGCTATCTATGTTGTTATTTTATTTTAGCAAATAAATTTAGATACTTGCTTGAATGTCAATGAATAGAAGCTAAAGTGGTATGTGAATCTGTCGTCAATTATGTATTTTAATTTGTATAAGTTGTAATTATTTTTTTGTGATGTTATTGTTTTCTTATCCCATTAACAGTATCGAAATATTAGTAGTTACAAAACCAATTCATTGTATTTTGTAAATTAATTTGCCAAAGTGCCTAATTATAAATTTAAACATACAAATATGTATGTATGTGAAATTACAGATATACAATGTTTTTATATTCAATGGGGCATATTGCCTGAATGGATAAAACATGAGTATTAAACTTTCTGTTTTAAAATAATTTGGCTTTTATTACCTTTACAAAGTATTACATCAATTATAACTTATTTTTAAATAAGAGACTAATATACAAATTTAAAAAAGGAATAAAATGATGATCAACGTCAAATGGTAAAAGTGTTTATAAATTATAGCTTCATTTTCTGATGAGAACGACTGAGCTAAACTTCAATTTCAAACATTAATATCATTTTGGTATGTTGATATTTACCAAGCTTGAAGTTATGGTGAATGACTGATCCAAAATGTGCTATTATAGATTGACAACACCATTGATAAACTATTATCTGAGCATATTATGTTGTCTTATTACGTTATTTTACTGAAACACTAGCCTTGTCTGGGTACAGAAAAATTTAATCACTACTTTTCAGTTGATCATCGGACTAAAGTAGTGATTAAATTCTTAATTATGATTAAATTTAAATGAAATGTCCAGTACTCGCTGATTGACAGTGACATTTGTACCTATGCATACAAACTTCCTAACACCAAAAATATATGCATTAAACGTTTTTCAGAAATTTCACTACAAATAACCATTAATGTTTATATTAAAAAAAAAAAAATTAATTGAAGTTCTTAGTTTCTATATTTGTTGTGCAAAGAATAACTCAGTAATTTATCAGATATTTTTTAAATTAACGTTTCTTTTTTTTTATTAAACAAACAATTAATATTTATCGATAATTCTATAAAATGCGTAATTTTGATATGTATTATTTAAAATTAATGTGTATTCAATTGTTTTTTGTCACTCTTAAATTATTCCGTATTATTTGCCAAGGATTACTATGATAACGTTAACTGGATTACTTCAACTGTCTTCAAAAACCTGCATGAAATCATACACAATATGCTTTTCTTTATGCTGATTAGTTTTGAAAAATTAGCCAAAAACGGATTATTAAATTTAAGCAGTTATGGAAGTATATATGAGTTCATACAACTAAATTCGTTTTATTTTAACAATTTTTTTTAATTCACAAAACTTTCTATAGTCAGTCCACTTTTGATAAAATAGAAATATCAAAATGATAAAAAAAATATTGTAGAAAGGAAGAGAATAAGGGAAAAAATCCTTTAAAACTTTGGAATGATACTTTTATACCTTCCATTTGGTAAGAGTTTGATGATATTAAAAATGATGTCAGGTATTTCGCAGACATACCAGGTTTTTTTATCGATAACAGTTCCTATTGGCTAATGATGTAATCTCTCTCACATTATTTACCACTAAGGACAGAATTGTCATTACATTTGTAATGAAATACACGGTTTTTCTACTAATCCAAACAGTAATATTGTCCACAGAGAAAAATGCATTAAAACGAAAATTGGAATCGGATTCAAGACAACTCATCAGTTGTAAATTTTAGAAAATTTATATAAATATATTTTTAAGAGAAAAAAGTTATATTTTACTGAAATTTTTGAAAAAAACAAAAATAATATATTTTAGCTTTATTGTCTAATTAAAAATGTTTGTTTGTTCCAAATTATCATATATATATATATGTATATATGTATAGCTTGCCATTTTCAATTACTGTAATTTGTGTTAGTGGTACAGATTGTTTATTATAAACTATGCTATAAATTTAAAAAAATATATATATATCGTACGTTTATATTGTTTCAATATTCTCTGGAATACAGTTACAATCTCTACAACTGCACTTATTATTCATTAATTTACAGAGTGGCACTTTTCCAAGATATTTGTCTTGGCCCCATGCTTTCAAGCTCCTAATACAGTCCCTTCTCGATTTCTGCTGTGCCTTGTTTCTGACATTTGTAATAGCCCTGTTTATGTTGTGAAGTATAGGACATTTTGTTTTTAACGCTTCTAAAACTGATGGAATGTAATCTTTATTGACGTTAGGGATTCTGACGTCAAATATAGATTCTGACTTATCAACAAATATTTCTACACCAATGTTAAAACTGAAAAAAAAAAAAAGTAGGTAAGTAAACATATGGTGTATTTTAGTTGAGTATTAGATTAGAATATTTGTATTGTATAGAAAAAATGGATGACCGTTTGCCACATTCACTTATTAATAGTGACTATCCCTCTAAAAGAAAATTTAGGTTCTGTAATTATAAACCATAGCAGTGTAACACCATAACGGGCTGAAGCCTTCCTAAATGGTAAAGTATAACGATGTTTTATGAAAAAAAAAAATGATCTCTAAAAGTATTGCTTGTCTAATTATATTTAATAGGAATTCAAGTATCATCATATAGGTAGTTAGTTTCTTTCTTCCGAAGTAATTATCCTAATATACATACAAAAAAAATCTTTCGGGCCGAAGCCCCCTCCCAAAATTAAATCCTGGATCCCTTAGTGGTTGTAGCAATAACAACCCTACATAACATTACCACATTCAAGATTAAGTGCAGCCTCACCAAGTTCTACAGTCAACCATAATTCATTATCCACAGATTATTGATTTATTGAGATTGTTATAACTATCTATAATAGACCCCAGAACCTTATTAAGCTCATGCCTCAGCCTATTATACAAAATTTTGATTACAAAATTTAGGACTAGATCAATGCCTCCTCCATATGCCAGAAACGGTTAGGTTGAGGATAACCTACAAAAAAAGATGTATTGATTTTAACTTATCAAAAACTAATTAAAAATGAAACAGTTTCTTTGGGAGCTGAAATATTTTAAAAAATCTGTACAAAATTTAAAACACCACATATGTGGAATGATAATATCCAGTTCGAGTTCCAACTAATTATCCTGGAGTGAGCCGACATTGGAGAAAAATGTGAAAGTAGGTCCAGTAATCTCATAGAAAAATGGTTGATGATATGTGGACATATTTGTTTCCTATAGAATTTTTAGATACAGAATGTTATATAAAAAAACTTTTAAGGGTCTTAACTTTTAATCAAGCCCTTTTAGGTTTCATCACATAATTTATTGAATATTTTAAGTCAGTACCAGCTCTAGAAAGTAGGCATGTGATGTGGGAACTTCATAGTTGATTTTTCCTACTCATTTTAATGTTTAATTTCTAATGAGAGACTAAAAAAATAATGCAGAAGAAAAAAAAAAATGAAAAACTAAACATTTTTTCATGCCGTAAAAATACTAAAAACTTTTACACCCTTAAATCTGGAAGAAAACCCTCCAATCTGGCAAATTTGAGTTGATACCTTCTGTCTACTTTCAGAGCCATTTGGCCATTCATAGAAATTTCATTTGCAGTGTGATCATGAGATCTTGTGCCCCCATCATGGTCCATGAGAGGGATAGGGGAACACTTGTGAGGTATTTATATTATTTTTCAATTTTGACATTTTTCTAAATTATCTTTTCACAATTATTTTTCTTTAGATCAATTTAATAAATAATCACATTTAGGTTTTGATCACTATTTATTAAAGAACGTTTTGGAGAATCTTTGTCCCCTTCTTCAGCACCTAAAATAATAAAATTAATATATTATAGGCTTTATCATGAACCAGTTATGTTTAAATTTAAAACACGTCATTTAAAATTTCAAAAAATTGTTTTTTTAACTTAATATAATTATTTTATATAAATATGCCACAAAAGTGGGTAAGTTCAATTTATTAATAATTTTGGGGCATATGTAATTAATTTATTATTATGATTGAGCCTATACTATATTAATTGTATTATTTTAGATGCTAGATGAAGAGGGGGACAAAGATTTCCTGATATGTTCATCATTATAATGTTTTGTACCACGTACATTACTCTGGAACTCATAAAGATATAGAAACAACATACTATGTATCATGGGTGATAAATATTCAGGACGCAGTCATTATAAAGTGTTTATAGGTGTCTATCAGGATGCAGTCATTATAGAGTTTTTATTAGTGCCCTTTCAGGACACAGTCATTATAAAGTGTTTATAGGTGCCTATCAGGACACAGTCATTATAAAATTTTTGAATGACTGCGTCCTGGATATTTATCTCCCATAATATGTAGAATAGTTGACTAACTTCCTTCAATAATTCACAAATACTATGTACTATCCTTCAATATTAGAAATATGTTAATAAACACTCCACTCACACATAGTGCATAGGATGACTGATAAAATCTATGTGAATATGTTCTTGTTCAGTTATGGTCAACGATATTTTATCAGTAAGATTGAGAACTATCGGCTTCAGCACGCACTTGCGTTTTCTTTTATGTTTACATCTGGTTAAAGGTTCTCTAAATAGTCTATCATCTGAATGCCCAAATAATCTAAACTTTTGTCCAGCGCCTTATCAGAAAAGTATATAAATTAATGCATTTATAAATATGTTGTTAGCATTTTCATCATTCAAAATATTATTTAATAATTAAATTAAGGAGAAATATTTTTGAAGAATGAAAACAAATTTTAGTGTATAAAAGTAATAATATATTGTATATTGTATATGTTTATGATATACAATAGGACTGCTAGTGGTATTAGTCGCTTATTTCCAAAGTGAACACTAATCAATATTAAACATTTTTTCAGAAAACACAAAAAACTATATTTTCTATCATAACTGTAATATCGAAACCAATATTAAAAAAAGAATAATTAAGATATTCTTTATATGTAAAAAAATATTTCCAAAAATTATTCCAGTAGTAATTAAAAAACAATTAAATTTGAATAGGGTACCTTTTGGAAATAAATAAATATCAATGCTCGTTTATGAACAAAAAAAAAAATTGGTTGTTTGTTTTCGAGAGAAAAAAAATGGAGTATGATTCGGAGAGGGTGGAAGAGAAGTTATAAAAATTGAACTATAAACAATTAATTCATAATGATGTAGAGATGGTTGACCGTTAATATAATATGAGAAGGAGTTAGTCAGTGTTTCAACTGCCTCCCGCAGTGCCACATCCTACGCCCTGAAGAGAACCTGCAAAGTGGGTCGAAACGTCGGCAAAAATTAAAATAATTTATATATTTTAATTTTTTTATTTATTTGAACGCACCCTCGACTAACTCCTTCTCATATAAACAATTAAGTTTTTTTTACAATAATGGTGCAATAAAATTAATTTATTTTTAAATTTCAATTGAACAAAACAGTTAAAAAGCTTTTGTTGATTTTTTCAAGTATGCTAAAAAGAAATACCAGTTTCATTATATTCCTTAAAAAATAAGGGCAGTTTCAGAAATAAACTTGCTCCACTTTTTTAATATTTAGATTCGATTTTGAAAAAAAATAATAGCATAATTGCATTTATTGGATGTTATTACATATTAATTGATACTTATTTCTAAATTGATTAACATTCGACTTAGACATTTAATTATTAATTATTTAATTATTAAAATGAATTATTTTAGTGCGTTTTGTATATTTTTTATTTTTTATTTCTAACAAGCACCACTGAAGATTAGCGACCTCAACAGGTGCCTCTACTGCTCAGCAATTAGTGCAATTGCCCCACCCTAGGGTCGGCATTAAAGTTATATATATATATATAACTTTAAAAGGTAATGGAAAATTATGAGAAACTAATGCGTAATACCTAATTTTTGCAGCTGCAACGATTTTATACTTTTATGTTGTTAAAAAAAAAAAAAAAATTCTAAAGAACTTAAATGGAATTTTTACAGAATAAAAACTTATTTTCAGCTCGACACTGAAGAAATACCTAATTTGTGACTTCACTTCGACAATAGACTGACATAGAAACCTATACTTCATTGAGCTGAAAACTACTGAGCAAATGATATGGACCCAGGGGTGTCCATCCCCCCCAAGAATGATGGCTGCATGCCCCCCAAAAAATATTATTGTCCCCGTCATTTATATAATTAATGTGTATCTATATGAGATGTTACATCAATGTTAGTCTAAAAGATAGTAGATGTAATATTAGTTTGTTTCTTTGTCTGTTGAATATTAAAGGCACAATCAGAGGTGCCCACGCACTCTCCAAGGTATATGGCGCATAAATAACCCCTCCCCTTCTCCAAAAATTGTATTACCCTCCTCTTTTAAAAAAAGTGCAAGCGATAATATAATTTTAAAATACGATGGTCACAAACAATTACACTAGTTTTATTTTATTTAATTTTTTCATTATTTTTTATTCTTTTCTGCCTCGCCTATTATTAGGCTATACGAGGTTTTCCCTGGCTGGGGGGTAAGGGCGGGGAAAAATCTTCGGAAAAAAATCGGGGAAAAAGGGCGGTGGATAAAATCTTTATGGACATGCGGCATTGAACTATGGAGCACTCCAAAAAAATCTAACTCTCTCTCTCTCTATATATATATATTCAATCAAACGTTTTGAACAAAATATCAGAAGCAGTGTTCTTTCTTTCGAATGACTTAAGACACTAGTACTTGGACATCCAACCGGTATGCGAGTTGGTACGTAGGTCGTTCCATAACAACTCCATCCACTTCTTCTGTATGCAGGAGCGCAAGCGTATTATGATACGCCTATATTTTAAAAAAGGATTCATTTGATTCAGCCCAAAGTTGGAGGAACCGTAGTGTATAATTTTCAAATGGTCTGATATAAATTTGATCAATTACCAACCCAGCTATTAAAATAAATAAATTGTTAAGAATATAATGATTGTGTAATGAGGTAAGCAGTAAATATATGACAATGGATGATTATGTTAGTTTTGAAACTTAATGTGATTTATTAGAGGTATTTCCTAAGGATTTTTCTGCTCAGTTTTAAATATATTTCCTTGGATCTTTTCTGTCCCAAACGATCAACACCCGACACCCTTCCTATATCTACAGTCTCCTACAGTTCAAACACTTGGTCCACTCTCAGAAAACATGATCCAGTGTTTCCGACCTTTATATCCCTTCCCATAGAACTAAGACATTTGAATATTCCTTTATTGCCCGATCCACTAACTTCTGGAATTCCTTGCCATCTGATATCCGCCACGCCTCTTCCTTGTCCTCATTCAAATATCATCTTTACCAATTCCTTCTCACATCCCAAAATGACGTTGTACAATGAAATAAATATTATTAATCAAATTTTGACTGAGGTGAATAGTTGTTGAAATTGTTTTTAATTTTAATTTTAAAAATCAACCCATAGTGCTTATAATATTTTTTTTTTTTTCAAAATGGTGTTACTTCATTATTTGGTATGATATACTTTCACTGAAGATACTATATATATTCTTTAATTTTGATCAATGTAATTTTTGGCCAGATGTGGTTTTTATTTTTTGTTCATAATTGTTATTCATAAGGGACCTCGTCCAAAATAAAGTTTTTTTTCTATTCTATATTTATAATCACAGTTTATGGGAAAGTATATTTCCTTATCCACCCAATATAAAAATGTTATATTACGTTATTCGGTTTTTTATTTTATTTATTTTTATTTTTTATTTTTTTGGTATGAGTTTAACAGTTTGTTAACAGTTGGTAACAGTGTTATATGCGTCAAATGACTCGGTACACAAGGACTTGGACACCCAAACGGTATCAGATACTGCAATACAATGTTATAACAGCTTACTACCAAATACTGACTTACAGGATTCTACTCACTTAGCCCAAATACTTAGTTCCACCACGAACCCGTACACTCGTTGGTTTTTTTTTTTTTACACACATTTTGAGCGAGCGGGAGTCGAGAGAAACGTTGTAATTAAAGATAAACTTAGGAAGCTACGAATTCAATTCTATTTTATAACTATATACGAAAACTTTTGCTGTATTAAAATTTATGTTTTACACTTTAATTTGCATTATATACGTATGTATCTATTTTTAGGCATAAGTTTTTGAGATAATGGATAAGAGTGATATTGAAATTATAATTAGACGTTTAAGTAAAAAAAAAAAAATATGTAGAAAATAATTGTTTTTATTTATTTCCAAGCAATCAGTGTATGAAAACATTTGCTGGCCTCAGTAAGTTGCAGATACAATCGATAGTGATTTAATTGCTTGATCCAATGATGGAAATATTTCTCACGGGAAATTTTTTAAAGATCGCAGCGTTTTTTTACTATTTTTAGAAGAGAATTTATAACAATGTAACCAAACAATATTATTAATAATTTTAAAACGTACTTACTTATACATTTATAATGAAATGGGTAAATAATAAGTTAGGAATAGATTGAAAATTGTGATTTATTATCTATGAAAGCAGATATAATTGTAAGAGCTGATATGAGTTGTACTTACACAGTGCCATAGGATATTGGATGGCTTGAAAGACTATTTCTTCTTCTTTTTCTTTTTCTTCTGAAGTTCCGGCCAGGGGAATCCTCTAGACTTCAACAAATCCTGAACATTATGGCAGGTATAATAAGCGTTGTCCATCGCTGCCTCATTAAAAACATCGATTTGACATTTTGATCTTGATTTACCTTCTTTTCGGGCCAAACCAGGTTTTTTACTTTTCTTTTTCTTTTCTCCATTCTTCTTATCTCGTTTTTTCTTTTTACCAGCCATGTTTAATTCTGACTGAGAGCTTTCGGTTTGATCAATAACCTCGTTGCTCAGCAAAGTCAACATACATCGATGTTGTCTTTGTCGATAAATGAAATTCCCAGTAATATTGTATTTATACATCGAATTATTTGTTACTATTCGTTTACTTTTAATTTCTTAAGGAGTATTATGATGTTTTTATTATTTTGTTTCAGAAAAATCTATTTTTGTATTTTTTTGGGCTCTGGGCGGATCTCATGAGTGTGGGAGCGTCCCACGAGAGATGGATTATAGGGATCGTCATTGAAAATTCCTTTTGACTAAGTCCGTAGCAAGAGTGTCCGCCCCCTCCCCCCCCCAAGGTCGATGCTGCATGAGTTCCATCCTCTCTACCAAGAAATTTTATTTCTCTCGTCTTCATAAAAAGAGTCCAAGTGAAAGTAGAATTACAGAAATCATAAAGCATAAACGATCATATACACTTGGGGTGGTACATATATCTCTTTTTTCTGGATTTTTCACACCGAAAAATCATAATCTGGTCGAAATGTACTAACCTAAAAAATTCAAAACCCCGTCAAAATGTGCCTTCCTCAAAACTTTTAATGGTGCAGCTTGCACCATGAAATATTCTTCTGGGATCTCCTAGGTAGAATATTAGGCTCTGTATTCGTGTGAGGGATTAAAAAAAAATTGACTGGCGTTTTACGTTTTCTGTGAAATGTTAAGAAAACGTGCGAATTGATAATTAGGTGGTTCCATAACAACTGCATCCACTACTTCCGCTTGGAGAAGCGCAAATGTATTATGATACGCCTATATTTTAAAAAAGAGTTCATTTGATTCAGCCTAAAGTTGGAAGAAATTCAGTGAATAATGTACAAATGGTCCGATATAAATTTGATCAATTACCAACAAGCAAATAATATTAATGAAATTGTTAAGAACATAAGGGCTGTGTTTGTGCGAAAATAGTTTGAATTTTGGCGAGTGGTAGGGGCAGATCAGAAGATCTAAAAGAAAACACTTAATCCATAAGAGCTGCCGGTTTCTCCGCCAAGAACAGCACAGGTAGTCGGACGCGTCAGATGCTCCCAGACGCTACGAGGGCGCCCTCAAGGTAAAAAAGAGATGTTTTGAGCCGACATAAGTATGTTAGGCTATTTTGCACAATCAGTATAACCTACCAATCTCTTAAAATACAGTCCACTGCATAAAAGTAGAATGTTGCCCATAATTTGCCTAGCCTTAATTAAAAATTGGAAATGAAGTAAGCAGTAAACATATGACAAAGGGTGTTTTTATTAATGTGATTCATTATATGTGGTTATAATTAATATGGTGATGCGTAGCGAAAAAGGGTTGGATCTTGTTGGAAAAACACCCCTGTTTGGCTATGCGGATGATCTGGTCCTGTTAAGCGAAGACACGGAAACTATGAGACTAAATACGACAACGTTAATGAAAGCCAGTAAAGAAGTAGGGCTCGAAATAAACACGAATAAGACAAAATATATACTTAGCTGCAAAATGGTGATATCGCTAGAGATATTGATAGAGGAGGTAACATGTTTGTGGAGAAGTTTAGGTATCTAGGTTCCACGATAACTAGAAAAAACGAAATTGAAGAGGAGATTAAGGTTAGGCTGAAGGCGGGAAATGCTTGTTATTTTTCAGTGACAACCTTGGCTCGCGCCTCTTGTCCCGGAATTTAAAGACTAGAATCTATAAAACCTATTATCCTACCTACAGTTCTTTATGAGTGCGAAACGTGGCCGCTTACATTAAGGGATGAGCAACGTCTTAAAGTTTTTGAAAATAAAGAATTGCGTAGAATATTTGGACCGAAGAAAGATATAGTTAACCGGAGAGTTTAGAAGGTATCCAGTTAATATAAATGAGGTGGTTACATAGCGGAGAATCAAATGGGCTTGTAAAATATTTGGGCTAAGTAACGAAAGAATTCCTAAAAGGCTGATATTTGCTGTACCGAATGGTAAACGTCCGAGGGGTAGATCGAAGTGAAGGTGGGGAGATTGCGTTAAAGCCGATCTGAAGGGACTGGGTTTGGACTCCGAACGGTGGAGGGAGGTGTGTATTATGCGATCGGCGGTGTCGGCATCGAACCTCCGGGTTCGCTAAGACTTTTATTATTATTATTAGTTTACTTCTAGAAACAAAGCTCACCCTTTCCATAGTTTATCAAAGGATGTTTTGATGGAGTAGTTTACTTCTACTAATAATGATAGACATTTCCGTAGTATAAGAAATGATGTTTTGATGTATATTTTACCTCTAGAAGTAGGCTTAGAAGAGATCTTTGCGGAGGCGGCGGCAGAATCGAAGAGGGTCCTATGAGAAGGAGAGGATGCGACGTTGGTTATTATTGCTTCTATTTCTGAGCATGGCGTGAAAATTGGTTTGATCACAATCTTGCGGCCAACAAAGCGGATAACTTTTGGAACGTCTATGTCCCTTAAAATCGAATTATTCATTGAGAATTTTTTTTTTATACTCGCACAACTCAGCTCAGATTTGGAACTAGCCATCTTCGAGGTGTATCTCCTCTTATATTTCAACATATTAAGATATTCTGTTCTTCGTGATTTCTTCCTGAATCTTGATTTTCTCGGTTCCCAGATGGATGTTATTCTTCTCTTCTTAGACTTTCGTTGTAAATTTTCAATATTCTTTGTAATACGCGTTTTCCTCTTGCCAAAATCATAATCGTCTAAGTGGGTTGGAGATACGAAATTGAGTTCCGCTCTTCGGCATTGTACTTGGTTGTAACATTTCCACTTCCAAGAAATAGGGCACTTTGAAGGGGTGTCCAATAAGATTCCTTGCGCTTGGTCGTACAGTAACCTTTAAAAAATATTTGACCAGTTTTAAAATTTGTATTATCTGAGAGCAAAGAATGAATATATCTTTAATTTGATATGTGGAATGTAGGTGTGAATTACCTCTTCTTGCCAGTTTTTTTGTTATATACAACGCCGTTTCCCCTGGTATCAAACAAGGCAACTGGGACTTGCTTGATGATCCGGTCTCTTATCTTCTCGCTCTTCGTGTAGACAATAATCAGCGGCCCTTTAAAATGTTATTGACATTAGTGATTATTTTTTTCTTTACGAAATTCTAGTTGAATGCATATGGGTGAGTACATGCTCTCAGAAAGTGAAGATCCGGATGTATTAAAAAAAAAACGCTGAAAATTACTACCCAATTGTTTCTTTTTTCCAAACAGTTATTCACCATATGTAACACAACTTTCCTTGCCACATAGACGAAAATAAATAAAATTTTCTTAGCCCTGAAGAAGGCCTGAATTTCGGACCGAAACGTCGGCAAATATAAAAATAAATATAATTATTTATTTTTACTATTTTTTATTTTGACTGATCACCCAACCATCCTTCTCTTCTATTATTCACCATGGTCAACCATAAACCCACAAAAACAAAGAAAAGGTGATTCCTAATATTGCCCTAAATAATTTTTCTTTTTTTCATCATCAGTAATTCGTTTAGAAATATAGATAACAATCTCGATTGCTTCAATTGATAACAGACTTTGTAAAAATCAAAAACCAAAACAAAAGCTATAAGCTCTGTAGCAGAAAAATATTTAGAACAACCTATCATCCGATTTCAACGATTCGTTCTTAGTTTTTTTTTTAGGAAATTTCGTAAAGATTTAAATGAGCATAAACAGAAATGTGTACTCTATAGGAGTTATTCGGAAATTTAATTTAATCAGAACTTATTACTTTTTTCCGAGTTCTTTTCAGTGGAGCATGTTATCTAGAAACATTTAAAGGACTTCGAAGGAGAAGTCTTTAGTTAAGTTTTCATTGAAATCGGTAAAATCGTTTTGGCACTGCATTCTATGCAGTATGTCGATCGCCATCTTGAAATGAAAGCAATTTTCGATGAATTATGTTACGTATATAAATTTAAAAGACTTCTAGAAGACTTCGACCAAGTTTTATTGGAATCAGTACTTCTCTGAAGGTGCTACAGTCAAGAGCGACACAGTTTTTTTGCCGCCATCTTGAAAGAAAAGGGCGGATGGTTAGTTCTGAGATCATCCTCGGCTTCTCTTTGACATTGTGATACCAAATCTCAAAACGGTCCAATAGTCTTGAAGAAAAGCCGCAAATTACGTACCAATTTTTTTATTCGATTTTCGTATTAGAAGTATCTTGAAACGTAAAATCTCAAATTTTGAGAGGGGAATGAGCCTTTTTTTTTTGGTCGATTACATAGGTCGATTATTGAAAATAATAAACCAAAAACAGATAAAAGTCGTAATAAAATTATTAGGTCGCGAATAAAGGTATTAAGAAGCGCCAGATAAATTCCTTCAGGTAGGAATTTAAAAATGATATCAAATTTATCACACATGATATGAATCCTCATGAGAACATACTCCTTTTTTCGTGTAGAAATGATAATGTTATTGATGTATTGGATATGAGATATTTAGTAAGTTATATCCTACACTGAGCTAATTGAACCCCCTTCTTATCATAGGCAGATCATACGCGTATTAAAACATAAGACTGTAATTTAGCTCGGAATAATATTTGGCAGAAAGAAAGATGTATTTGTTTATTATTTTCACGGATTCCAGTCGTATTTTTTGATTATCGTACAATCTATTTGAAAAGTGGAACAGGGTGGCCGAACTGTTAATGCCTCTCCTAGCAACCAGACAACCTAAAAATTACATAAAGGAGTCACGGTGGCGGGGTATTTAACTTGGCATTAATCCCCTGACCGAGGAAAAACTCGTATCTAGGAAAGGTGGAGGTACGGGAGAAAACATAAAACAAAACGATTTAAGAACTCTGCGAGATCACTAATGTGTGATGTCAGCATGTCCGGTGAAAATAGCACTGCCATCGGCATAGGTTGGAATTAATGTGTTAGGGTAAGTTGGTATGTCATATGTGTATATAATGTACAGTAAAGGTGCAAGAATCGATCCCTGCGGTACTCCGGCCTTTACTGGACGTATAAAAGAGATTTCCGATCTCTGTTGGACCGAGAAAACCTGCTTGAAAGGTAAGAGAGAAAAAAGAGATAATAAGTAGAAGGAAGAATACTGAAAATTCTAAATAGATTTATTTAAAAACTAATAGTCCGTGGTACAGATCCATATTTATGAAATTATTAACATGCACCTGAAACTTTGTTAATAGTTTCATCTCATCATAACCTACAACTATTTTATTTACAAAAAATTCTTGGAAATAGGGCGTTTTCAATCTGGAGGAGGACAAACTTTGTCTAATTAGGTGCTAACAACTCGTAAATACACATCTGCTTTCTACTTGGATAGTAGGACAATTTGATCACAAAGTCGACAAAAAAGGTGACCATTAAAAATATTGGGCCGTTTGGCGTTACCTACATCCCCAAAATTTCAAAATAACGAGATTATATAGAACAAACTGCCCAATATTTTTGTAGGGCACCTTTTTTTATCGATTTTGCGATCAATTTATCTTACGATCCAAGTAGAAAGCAAATGGATATTTACGAGTTTTTAGTGCCTAATTAAATAGACAAAGTTTGCCCCCCTCCAGATTGAAAACGCCCAAATCCCAAGAGTTTTCGTGAATAAAGTAGTTGTAGGTTAGAATGAGATGAAACTATTAACGAAGTTTCAGGCGGATGTTAATAATTCGATAAAAATGAGTCTATACCACGGACTATAAATCTTTAAATGTTTAACCTGTTTGATAAGATTACAAGTAGTACAGTCATTGTAAGGATAACAAAAAATAGAAATACGCACATAATCCAAAGAAACAAAGTTCAACTACCTGTACCTGATCAGGTACCAGATAGTGAATCATAAAGACCACCACCTCTGGTTCATTGGCGGCTCAAGAATGGATTTTATATATCTTTCAGAGCCAGGTTTTTTACAGAGGAGATAGATATAGATACATTAATTCAAGTATCCTTTTATGCTTGTTTGTTGTTGATTCTTGTCAAGAAGTGGCGGTCCTATCGTCCAGCTTTTGGATTGCTATCAGCCACTGAACCTCCAGGCTGGAGGCATAAACACTAACACACAAAGTACAGTACATGCGCCCTCACACTACAGACAATGGTCGTATGCATTATTGTTAGTTGTCATTCGTAACTAGAAGGTAGCAGCACAAACAGAGCTGACTGGCGTTGAATGCTGGAGCAGACCACGATTTAACGAGTGGATCGTAGAGCAGTATGTTATAATATTCCTCTTAGGCATATTTTCCACCGTTTTTCAGACAAAGTTATATGCCATTCTTTCAGTATTTACGTGTACCGAAATAATAATAGGCTGTAATACGACAGGGTTTAGGGTAAGCGCACCCGTGATGGACATACAAAAAGGACATTTGTGTCTTTTTTGGCTTATACCGCTGTAATTATTATAGTTATAAACTTCTCCGTTTGACGTTTAGAGTCTCCTTTTTCTATTTAACACTTTAAAATTGAAAAAAATATTCAGTCATGCTGGTGTAGTCTCCATTTAAAAAAAAAAAACACGTTTTTGCTTTTGTGATAGACATACCGAAGTTCAATTGTTCTAGTAATGGACAGGGGATCGGCACCAGTTATGGACATACCTCAGAAAAATTCTAAAATCTTTGTTTAACTATAAAGATAACGATAATGATAAGATAAGATAAATGTTCAACTTACTATGAGCAAAACTGTTAGTAGGAAAGTATGAAACACGCTGATCTAAAGAGCACTTTCGTAACAGCAAGGATAGTCATTTTAAAATTTTCTTTTGAAAAGTTTATTTATACAGTTGTCAATAGAGGGCATTATTCTTCAATATAGAAAAAACTAGAATCTTGGAATAAACAAGGAAGCATATTATTGAGAGTTACTCAAAGGCTAAGATGCAACACATGATTGAACAGGTATGAAAGATTTCAGAACCTATAACCTGTTAGTTTAGCCTGTAATAGATGGGAAAGAAAACTGAATGAAGGTATACAGTATCTGCGAAAATTGTAGAAAACTGATAAGGTGGACAAATTACCACAAATCTCAACTTCTTTGCAACTTATTCTGACATAAAAAGGTGATAATTTTCTCAACCTCAAACCATGAGTTATGAATAAGACTCTCTATAACTAATCTTTTAGTGTAGTGTCGAAATTGTATAGTGATGTAACTAAACAGAAAACATCAAAAACTGGGCTGGAAGTTGAGGAATCTCTTTACGCGTGGTTTTTGCAGCAGAGATTACGAGGGGTTCGAATACCGGGGATTATTAGCTGAAAATTCAATTTTTATCTTTAAAGATATTTTTACGAAGAATGGCAAAGCAGATTTATTGGCTTGTTAATGAATTACTTAATTTTGCACCAGAACGCTATCTAGCGGTGTTGTCTAAACAGATATAACCAAGAGGAGCCTGTCTGAGGTGTTCTCTCACTCATTCCTTGCCAAGACCTCTTACAAGAAATAACATAAGACTGTATATAAACCATTAGTTTAAAAAATACAGTAAACTGCCAAATTATATCGTATGTTGCTGAAGTTGAACTCATTAGAGTTTATTTGCCGTTTTTTACTAAAAGTTCGTTATTTGCCTAAACAATGGCAGTGAAGGTTGGCTTGATAATTTCATAAATAAATATGGAATACGTTTTTTATATTAATTTTTATTTCACTGGAAAATGTCTTTATACTCAATTTTATTACTTTCCTACCTATACTAGGTAAGGAAAGTATTGCAATCGGGTCAAATTTCCGACACGCGGTTTTCGACGGATCTATACGTTTCAGAGCCTCCTAAGTCCGAAAACCATATTTTTAGCCATTGGTCTGTCTGTCTGTCTGTGCCAAGATTTTCTCGGAAACTACTGAACCGATTTTGTTGCTTCTTTTTTCTATTTTGTAGGGTTTTGACTACTGATGCCTGTGACAGAAATTCAGTACTGCATGCGCAATAGCTTGCGCGCAATAAATGAAAAACATGTTTTTCTATAGACTAGCGCAAAAACGGTTCTAACGATTTTGATGAAACTTTCCTATAATGTTCTAATTATTGTTATCTCAATTTTCGTATATAGACTAAATTCCCGAAAAAAATCAGGAAAAAAAGTTATAAAGAAAATTACTAAATTACCGACAAAACAAAACATTACGTGGTGTCAGAGAGGGGTGAATGAGAGAATGGAGATGATTAAGTGAAAGTAAGAAAATCTGTTGCCCGCATCACACAATCTTCACTATTTCCTCTACTTTTAACAGAAATTATTGTTTGACAATACTAAGCTATGGCAAAAAGTTTTTTATCAGCAATATTAGTGAGTATTGAAATTTTTACACTGATCTACCTTAAGCCGGTTTACATTGCTTTAGTTTATCAAATAAATCGTACTCAAATCTTATGTTTGATCAATTTTCTGGAAAAGGTATTTTTTGTTTCTTAATGAACATATATAAATATATAAACACTTTTCTGAAATAGGTAGGAAAGTCGTGTGAGTGGACACACCAGATATTTTTTCATTATAGATAAGTCATAGAAACGCCATAAATGCATTTAATAATTGTTTGGAATGGTTTAATGTTGACAACCGCAGCCAACAAAATCAGAGACACAACGAATATTATATGATCATTTCAGAAACAATTTTTTTTTTTTTAAAGTATTGATATTCAACTAATAATACATGTATGCTGGTTACCTGCTGTTGTTCCATCATTTTAAATTTAACTTTTTTTCGAATAATCCGAACAATCTGATAATCCGAACAGGCTTTGGAATCTACATTTTCGGATTATCAAGATGTTCCTGTATTTTAACGAAAGCCAATAGTTGCAATGGCAATAAGCTTTGGACACTTTCTGGGAGAATGCCCCACCTAGGCGAATTACCAATCCGTCCATATATGAAAGAAATGGCCGGCTCTCCGTTTTCGTAATAGACAGTTGCGGTTCCGTCCGTGTCGTGTCTCCAGGAAATATTTCCGTTAGGATAGTACTTCTCCAGCGGCTCTATCCTCGTTTGAAACCTGGAAAATATATATTGCGTCATCTAATGTCAAAGAGAGAGTATATTTATCTAAATCAGCAACTTATTAGTTACCACACACAATGATGTATAATGCAACGCGAAATTTCACGAAAATATGGAATTTTAGATAACCATTGCAAGTTTTATATTTTGTTTCTCTTATTTATTCATTACATGTGTGGATTGTTTATTCTCCAAAGCAGCATTCATCGAGAGCTCGAATAATAATCGACTTGATACTGAGGCAAAGATGAGGATTGAGAATTCGAAATAATATTTTATCCAATATCTATAAAAAAAGTTTTCAAATATTTCCTAGACCTTGTACAGTTCGATTAACAGGAAACGCTGGATTTCCTGGATATAGGTTTTTCTTCCAGATATTAATTATAATGGGGTTCATAGCCTACCTGATTTGTCTCACTGAATCAAATCGTGAAGTACGCCAGGTGATAGGAGTAATGTGAAAGACCAAGGAGGGATAAATTGTGTTTTAAAGACGTGGAATCACAAAAGCTCAAAAAAAGTAACGGTTTCGAGAAAAATCGTAATTCTTGTCGAAAGTTTCTTAGGTTGTCATGGGATACTTACCACATATTTAGCTTTTTAAAACTCGAAATATTGCTGTTTAGAGAACATAACAAAGTTTTGTTATATATTAATATAAAGAAAATAAACAATAAAATTAATAAAAACTTCAAACTGGTTAATAAAAACTTATTGATATTCGGAATAAATAAATAAAATACCCAAGTATGACTTTTATACTCACAGTAAGCGAGAGGACTACAAACTAATCAATAAGGTACTGGACCATACAATTAGGTACTGAGCGAGTACAATAATGGATTAGTATGAGCTAAGGGATAGATCTGTCTTATTGCTTGACTATTAGGCTGGAGGTATATCTTCCAATGGGACAAACAACAATTTTTTACGTAAATTGTTAATGTAAGAGACGTGGTAAAGTCTAAAGCTTTTATGTGTTGAATAGACCATATTGATAAATTGGCCATTGTAATCGAACAACAACTTAACCACTTCTAAAAATTTGAGGTCTTACGTTTCAGGACAAGTAGAATTCGAAAAACGAATACAATTTTTTTTTTGTCCGGCCGCATTTTATCCGAGACAGATTTTTTTCAAATTTGGATTTAAAATCATCCGCCGATGATCCTTCTTCATGGACATTACTATCCGCCTTTTACTTTCAAAATAACGGTCGAAAAGCGTGCGTTGTTATAGACTGTAGCGCCTAACCGAGTGCACTGATTTCAATGAAACTTGGATTAAAGTCTTCTTCTTGATGCCCTTTAAATTTATCTACATAATATACTTCAACGAAGAGAAGCTGGGAAAAAAGTTACAAAGGATGGTGAAATCACATATCGAAAAATATCGACCAAAATTTTGAGGTTACGTTTACCAAGTCCGAAGGATGAAACTTTATCTCGGAAAAAAATTATTCTGATTGGTGCTTTAATAGCTCCTAAGCGAGCACAGCCGATAATTACGGTGTATTTTAATGTAGGATGCGAAATGAATATGTTTTCGAGCATCAAAATATCGAAAATATTTTTTTGCAAATTGTGAGGATTATATATTTTGTTTGGTGAACTTTAGGGCAAAGGTTCATTGTATTAATTTTTATAACTCTTATGGGGACCATAGGAAAACTTATCGGAACTCCTGAAATCCAAAAAAGAAATGTCGACCAAAATTTTGATGTTACGTTTATGAAGTCCGAAGGGTGAAAAATTGTCTCGGAAAAAATTATTCTGATTGGTGCCTTAATAGTGAACCTTTGCCCTAAAGTTGACCAAACAAAAGATATAAGCCTCGCAATTTGCAAAAAAATACTTTCGATATTTTGATGCTCGAAAACTTTTTGGTTTCGCATCCTACATTAAAACACACCAATAATTATCGGTTGTGCCCGCTGAGGAGCTATTAAAGCACCAATCAGAACAATTTTTTTCCGAGATAAATTTTCACCCTTCGGGCTTGGAAACGTAACATCAAAATTTTGGTCGAAAGTTTTTTTAGAATTTCTGGATTTCTGATGAGTTTTCCTATGGCCCCCTAAGAGTTATAAAAATTAATATCGTGAACCTTCCTCTTAAAGTTGACCGAACAAAAGATAAAAGCCTTATGATGTTTAGCTCTAAAATTAATATGAAAGAAGTTATAAGACTCGTAATTTGCATAAAACGGGATTTCTGTTTTTCGTAACTTTGCGTGATATTTTCGGTTGTTTAAACAATAGAATTTTTTTTTAAATACCAGAGAACTCTGTAACTATTTGAGGAGCTATTAAAACCCAAAAAATAATTTAGAAATTTTCATTTTGGAGGGGCCGCTTTTTAGGGTGGCTTATATTTATTGTTTTTTTAGAGTTTTGATAGCCCCCAAGGAATTTTTACAATTATCCCTTTGAAGTTTAGCTCTAAAATTAATATTAAAAGAGTTATAAGACTCGTAAATTGCACAAAACTGGATTTCCGTCTTTCACAACTTTGTGTGGTATTTTCGGTGGTTTAAACAATATAACTATTTATAAAAAGTATAGGGAACTCTAGAACTCTTAGGGGGGCTATAAGAACTCTCAATTTTTTTTTTTTAAATTGAGGATGGGGGTCCACCTTCACAGAGGTGAGTTAAAGTGGCTTTATCCTTCCTACCGTCGTAAGTATTTCCTGGTATCCTTCTTCTTTCAAGTCATGAAATCCCAACCACCGTTCTTCATACATCTCCGAGCTCCTTCAATTCAAATCCACTGGTCGTTCCCGTAATACCCGTTCCCGGTCTTCTGATTTATACATAAGGGCCCACCGAACCGCTGCTTTCGACAAATCGTTCATTATCCGATCCTCTTCCCTATGGAACTCCATCCCTTCCCATACCCGTCAATCCAATACCCTTCCTACCTTTAAATCACGCCTGTTCAATAATTTCTTATTCATCCAGTCCCCATAAAATTGTAAATAGATACTACTGTAAATATGTGCATTAATTATTAGTTCGTTCTTCATTAATTTTACTCCATTTTTTTTATTATTAACTGATCTAGATTATAAAGTAACTTTTATATGTATATATATTTTTTTTTTTTTTCACTAAGACTATTCAATTTATCTGTTTTGCTGTTGTTATATATCTGTTTTGCTGTATTATTCTAAACGGACTCGTCCCAGAATAAATAAAGTATTATTATTATTATTATTATCTGTTTCGTACGACTTTTATGGCTAGACTGCTAACATACACACACATATACACACAGACCATTTTGCGGGACTTGGATATTTGAACACAGGTTACCTCAAAATATGTATTTCCGTTGAAAACTTAGATTCAAAAATTTTCACGATCGCAATACTTTGCTTTACCATATATTACACATATAGATAAGTGAAAGTACAAAACTTGGGTGATAAATAGTCAGGACGCAGTCATTATACATTTTTTTTTATTTGTGCCGTTTGTATAATGACTGCGTTCTGACTATTTACCGCCCATGATATGTAGAACAGTCGACTATCTTCAAAAAAGTAAAAAACGTTATTACCAAAACGTGTGACGGCAAGCTGGGTGCGCAACGAAGGTAACAAGTCTTTTGGGCAGCTGGTAGTTCACCGTGATGCCGTTCTTTATCATTTCTGGATCAGATAACTTGTAAACGAACGGTTTTACTGAAAAACGTTAAATTTTTTAGCGATAATATTATCAGTTATCGTAACCTCCAGTAATCTATATACTTATATATTATATTGTTACATTTCTTGGGGGCATCTTTTATAGACCCTCTGCGCTGTTCTTCTTCGCTCGAATCGATCAAATCACTCGCGCTCCGTTCAAACACGGTTCCATACGCATCAGCTTTTTTTGACTTTTTCATCCTTTTGTATAGAGACTTTGATCTTTTACAGGCTGATACCTGAAAAAAAAGAATAAAAGTGTGTTTTTGTAACTAGTAGGCTGGTTAGCGAACAGGTGATAGCCATATATTAGAACTTTATCATACAATTGTACGCTCTTAATTTGAGATTTTTCGATATTCCGATAGTTTTGAATGGAAGAAGAGAGCCTTGTTTGCGCTAGTTATACGTTAGCCTATTTCTGGCTGTTGGTCATTCTTTGAGGTTGTTGTGGAGCCGAGGTGTTTGGATTTTTTCTACTCTCGGGAATGATTTTCCTTTTACGGAGATCCTGTTATTGGAGTGGACTTTTCGAATTATTATCATATATTTTCTTTTGTCTTTATTTACTTGTAGGCCGATTTGCTCCGCTGCTCTTATCAGAACCATAGGCTGCTTTAAAATCGACAAATAAGGCGTTGATGTTCAGAGTTTGTTTCTATCGTTTTTCGAGTTCTTGTTTTTGGATGAAGATCTGGTTTAGCGTTCTCCTTCGTTTTCTGAATCCAGCTTGGTAGACTTTTGTATCGGTTCCCGCTCTTACCACAAGGAACACGAGTCCGCCTTCCCGCTACCAGGCAGCGCTCTACAAGCTCGCCCGTGCAACATACCAAAAATTGTATCTTTTATTTCTTATTGTTGTATTATAAAATACTTAAATTGTAAATTGAAATATGCATTGTTCATTTTTTATTAATAAAATTTAATGACGATAACATATACTGATCAAACCTTAAAAATAACTGTTATTGTAACGGCTCTTGATAGCCGGTTTAGTCTTGGCGGAATGAATACCGCAGCCAAACTTCAAATTGTCAGGTCTTAGAATCTCCACCCCTTCAGGGTATAAACATTGGTCAGTACTTGAATCGTATACTCATATTAGACTTCAACAAACTGCTTTTTATTTTAAAACATCTTCACATCACCCCATTATCCTCTTCTCTTACTCCATGCAAGTGGAACTCTGATCCGACCGCTTGTAGTCCTATATACAAAGTCAGGAGTTAGTATCTCATCCTCCTACATGTCCGGTTTGATTCCTCCAGTTGTGGATACCATTCTTGCGGAGTGCTGATCTCTTAAACCTCAGACCTAGAATGGTTCAGGTGCTGATCCGCCGGTCACTTAAGGTCATCCATCGCTTTATCTTCCTTCATCCACTCAGTCATCTTACCTTCTATAATTTACACGCACTGCCGAGGCCTTCAGATAACTTGCACACTGCCATACATGAGGTATATATGCCCCGACACTATTATATTTTCGTAATACGGATGTATCCAGTTTAGTAAGGGGGCACATTACATATTATATAACTCATATAATTTATTATTTATAACACATATAATATATAACTCACATATATTAAAATTATCAATATTTTAAAACTATTACCTGCCTAGATCGATTTTTCATACACTCTCCTTTTGCTGAAACAAATAAAAGACAGTTATTGTAATTCGACCGCCATTAATTTGCATGCCGAGTGCGAACTCGTGTGGCACTAAGTTGAAATTCACTTGTTGTTTTTCTCCTTAATCTCTAATGTTAGTTAAAAATATTTACAATTATTGAAAGATGCTATCGTAATCTTCTAATTTATGTATAAGTTAAAAGATATTTTGTGAGTAGTTAGGAGTAGATAGATATGTGAGGGAGTTAGGAGTAGATATGTATAAGTTAGGAGTAGATATGTGAGGGAGTTAGGAGTAGATATGTGAGGGAGTTAGGAGTAGATATGTGGGGGAGTTAGGAGTAGATATGTGAGGGAGTTAGGAGTAGATATGTGAGGGAGTTAGGAGTAGATATGTGAGGGAGTTAGGAGTAGATATGTGAGGGAGTTAGGAGTAGATATGTGAGGGAGTTAGGAGTAGATATGTGAGGGAGTTAGGAGGAAAAACACAAATGTTAGTTTCAGCTGAGGTAATGATTACGCCAACTAATGGATAAGGAGTGAAATTAATTCATTCAATAATTTTATGGCTCAATAAACAAAGCTTCAATGTTTCACTAGAGTCGATATTATTTAATTAACTAAAGAAATGGAGAACAAATTATAAGATATAATTTTGATCCTAATGTCTTGGTATACTTTGAAATCAATCATCAAAATTCTCCCTCTTCAAGTTGTAAAAATATATATATAACAGAGTTAGGAGTAGATATGTGAGGGAGTTAGGAGTAGATATGTGAGGGAGTTAGGAGTAGATATGTGAGGGAGTTAGGAGTAGATATGTGAGGGAGTTAGGAGTAGACATGTGAGGGAGTTAGCAGTAGATACGTGAGGGAGTTAGGAGTAGATATGTGAGGGAGTTAGGAGTAGATATGTGAGTGAGTTAGCAGTAGATACGTGAGGGAGTTAGGAGTAGATATGTGAGGGAGTTAGGAGTAGATATGTGGGGGAGTTAGGAGTAGATATGTGGGGGAGTTAGGAGTAGATATGTGAGGGAGTTAGGAGTAGATATGTATACGTTTAGAGTAGATATGTGAGGGAGTTAGGAGTAGATATGTGAGGGAGTTAGGAGTAGATATGTGAGGAAGTTAGGAGTAGATATGTGAGGGAGTTAGGAGTAGATATGTGAAGGAGTTAGGAGTAGATATGTGAGGGAGTTAGGAGTAGACATGTGAGGGAGTTAGGAGGAAAAACACAAATGTTAGTTTCAGCTGAGGTAATGATTACGCCAACTAATGGATAAGGAGTGAAATTAATTCATTTAATAATTTTATGGCTCAATAAACAAAGCTTCAATGTTTCACTAGAGTCGATATTATTTAATTAACTAAAGAAATGGAGAACAAAATCTAAGATATAATTTTGATCCTAATGTCTTGGTATACTTTGAAATCAATCCTCAAAATTCAATCTTCAAGTTGTAAAAATATATACATAACCGTGGATACATAAAAATAAATGTGGAGGAAGTTAACTTTCTTATTGCAATTCTTATTGCAGTTATTGTAATTCGACCGCCATTAATTTGCATGCCGAGTGCGAACTCGTGTGGCACTAAGTTGAAATTCACTTGTTGTTTTTCTCCTTAATCTCTAATGTTAGTTAAAAATATTTACAATTATTGAAAGATGCTATCGTAATCTTGTAATTTATGTATAAGTTAAAAGATATTTTGTGAGTAGGTAGGAGTAGATATGTGAGGGAGTTAGGAGTAGATATGTGAGTGAGTTAGGAGTAGATACGTGAGGGAGTTAGGAGTAGATATGTGAGGGAGTTAGGAGTAGATATGTGGGAGAGTTAGGAGTAGATACGTGGGGGAGTTAGGAGTAGATATGTGAGGGAGTTAGGAGTAGATATGTATACGTTTGGAGTAGATATGTGAGGGAGTTAGGAGTAGATATGTGAGGGAGTTAGGAGTAGATATGTGAGGAAGTTAGGAGTAGATATGTGAGGGAGTTAGGAGTAGATATGTGAAGGAGTTAGGAGTAGATATGTGAGGGAGTTAGGAGTAGACATGTGAGGGAGTTAGGAGGAAAAACACAAATGTTAGTTTCAGCTGAGGTAATGATTACGCCAACTAATGGATAAGGAGTGAAATTAATTCATTTAATAATTTTATGGCTCAATAAACAAAGTTTCAATGTTTCACTAGAGTCGATATTATTTAATTAACTAAAGAAATGAAGAACAAAATCTAATATATAATTTTGATCTTAATGTCTTGGTATACTTTGAAATCAATCATCAAAAATCTGCCTCTTCAAATTGTAAAAATGTATATATAACCGTGGATACATAAAAATAAACGTGGAGGAAGTTAACTTTCTTATTGCAACTGTATAGTTTTGAACTTAACCGGAACTTTAAGATTGGGGAAGCAAATTAAAACAAAGGCGGCAAAATTTAAATGAAATTTTATTTTTAGATAAATTAAAAAATATTTTTATATTATTGATTGTTTTGACCTCTAATCAATCAATGATATGTGAGTTGTGTGATAATTATATTTCGTAACATATAATTGATTTTTTGGGGGGAATGGAAAATTGAATCCCATCTCCAGAAAGGTCACTGTACAAATTTGACAGCCCTTGCCCCTTTCCTTGAATCAACCTAAGACATAGATGGGCACAATCATAATCAACTATCATGATTATAATTATAATAAAAAACATTTTTGATTTTGATTATATTATTGATTGATTAAAAAAAAAATGCGATTATTTATTAGGTGTAAAAATTCAACATTATGTTATGTTCTTCATGTTATGATCTCAAGTTCTTCATAAGATCCTTATTTCTTTCCACATTCCTTTATTTTTATTTAATACATTATTATATACATAGGAATTTACCTTTTTTCACCAACAAATAACTTTTTGGCTAAAATAAGAAATACTTTGTTTTGTAAGGATAAATTCGACGAGTAAAAATTATATAAATGTGGACAGATGATGTAAAAATGTGCAATTAATAAATTTGAAAATGACCAAAAAGATCGAAACGTTATATAAAAAAGAAAAATTTATATGTATATAATAATGTATTAAATACAAATAAAGGATGGTGAGAAGAAATAAGGGTCTTTTTAAGGACATAATCAACTATAGATTGAATATAATAATATTTAAAATTAATTTGTTTGTATGCTTCTATAGTTGTAAGGATTTTTATTTTATTTAATATATATAATTATGCCTCCTGCCGATTCCAAGCAATGTCAGAACCGTTCTTGGGGTGGGGTTCGTTGTGACATTTTCTTTTTTTTTTTTTCTAATTTGCTACTAAGAGATAACAATTGTACTTACGGACAAAGTTATAGTATTTATACGTAGTTAAGTCTACATTTTACTGTAGAAAAACACCCTTCTATTATCTAATTGGTATAACAATAAAATTTAGGACGATTACTTTATCATATATATAATTATTCTCTTCAAAATGCTACCTTCCCTACATCCTGGAAAACCGCCCTAGTAGGTCCCTTGAAGAAGACCTCAAACCCATCAGCTCTTAATGATTTCCGACCGATTTTCCTCCTTTCAAACGTCTCAAAACCTTTAGAGCGGTTAGTCCAATCTCAAAGGACAACAATCTCCTAAATCCCTACCAGTCCAGTTTCAGGCCTGGTTATTCTACTCAGTCTGCCCGAAATCAAAATTTCACAAGACCTTCACATAGCCATCAGCAGATCAGCAGAAACTAACCATCCTTATTCTCCTAGACTTCTCCAAAGCTTTTGATTCAGTAGACCACAACATCCTCCTAACCAAACTTAAAAATATCTCTTTTTCTTCTAGTTCCCTTAATTGGTTCCAATCCTTCCTTACCGGTCGCTCCCAGTATGTTGTAATTCCTAATAACCCCCTATCAGAATCTATCTCTACATCTGACCAAAGGCGTCCCACAAAGCTCTTCCTTATCCCCCACCCTTTTCTCCATCTATATAAATGACCTCGCATCCTCTATCCTGTACTGTCAATAGCACCTGTAATCCGACGACATTCAAATTTACCTCTTCTTTAATCCGACAGATTTCACAGATGCCACTATAAAACTTCAGGAAGACATTGACAGAATAAGTGCTAAGGCAAACCTCAATAGGCTCACTCTGAACGCCGAGAAGACAAAAGCCATCTTGATCGGATAACCCTCACTCCTCAAATCCTTCCCGATATCCCCCAATCTCCTCCTGAACAACTCACCTATCTTATTCCAAACTACCGTTAAAAATCTAGGTGTTACTTTTCATCAAACCCTGTCCTGAAAACCTCACATCTCCCAAATTTCCCGCCGCACTATCTCCACCCTAAAACATTTCAATCGTCTACGATATCTCCTTCCATATAAGTTCCGTCAACTCCTAGTGTCCTACCTTGTTTTCCCCAACTTCGACTATGGCTGTATGGTGTACGGTGGACTCTCGAGAGATTTCGAGGCCAAACTTAAACGCCTAATGAATTGCGCATTACGATTTGTTTTCGGAATCTCAAGGGATACGCATATTACCCAGTATTACACCGAGTTGAAGTGGCTCTACCCATCCTATCGCCGTCAGTACTTCCTAGCCACCTTTCTGTACCAGATCATTAGAACTCATCGACCCTCCTATATTTTTCACAGCTTACAATTCAAATACTCCATCCAATCCCGTCCCACTAGATCTCGTACTTCCGACCTCTATCCCCTTCCTCACTGAACTGCTGCGTTTGACATATCCATTGCAATTCAAGCCGCCTCCCTCTGGAATTCCATCCCTGCTAATATTCGACACGCTTAATCAGTTTGCTCATTCGAACCTCTCCTCTTTGAGCACCTACTCCTTTCTCAATCCGACTGAGTGTGAAATATACATAAGAGAAATATCTAAGCACCCCCAGAGACTACCTCAATTTATTTAGGTTATTTTAGTTTCTCATATATATGTGCAATTTTCTTGTTCTTTTCTTTCTCTTTTCAGTATTTTTATTTTTAGTCAACTCTTATTGTAAATATATAATATAACTGTAACCACACAGACATACAATCTGTATGTATATTTTGTTGTAAAGGGACAACAGTCCCAGAATAATAAAATTTTTTTTTCATTTCATTACATTAAATGAAAATGGTCACAACTGTACCCAGGCTCCTCTACTCGTGATAAACAAAACAAAATTGTTTTCTTTTATTTATTTACTTATTTTTTTATAATAAATTTCATAAATGGTAAGACATATAGGATGACGAACATATTTACACAGGAATTCATAAAATTTTAAATTAATCTAGGAATAAATAGCTGTAGAAGAATAATGCCTTACATTTATGGCGGGGAACAATTGATGTCTTGCTCTTTTTCATAGATACTACCTGAAAGAAAATATTGCCAAATGTTTCACATTAAATTATGTCGTAATGATTTTAAAATAATATTCAATTATTTTATTTGGGACAATAGAAGGAAACCTATTCTCTTTTGGAGAATGGTGATAATTAAAAATCGATATATATATATATATATATATATATATATATATATATATATATATATATATATATATATATATATATACATTGACAGGAAAAAATTTCACCCACTTGTTACCCATTAAGGAACCAAGTTACAGGCTGCATATCTTTCGTTTCTTCTTCTCCACACCCTTTCACGCCCGTCTGGAGATCGAAGAGCGAATCTTGACTCATCTGTAAAAAGTACAGAACTCCATTCGTCCATAGTCCAATGGCTATGTTCTCGAGCAAAAGCCAGCCGTGTTACTCTGTGAGTTCTGGTAAACTCTGGTCCTCTTACTGGACGAAAAGCCATTAATCCATACTCATTTAATCTTCTCCGAGCGGTACGTTCAGAAATTTGCACACCTCGAACTTCTTCCAGCTGATGAATCGCTTGAACAACGGTAAGGTGCCGGTTTCGTAAAATTCTCAAAGTCAAAAACCGGTCATCCCGTGGTTTTGTTACCCTAGGCCGTCCAGAACCGGGCTTTCTATTGTAAGAACCCGTTTCTCGAAAACGCCTGACGGCGTCTCATAAAGTTTCATATGGAACTCCGATGACGTTAGCTGCATATCTAATGGAACGTCCATCATCAATAAGTGCCACACCACGCGCAACATCCTCAGCAATAAGAGGCATTTTTAAACTTAATATTGAAAAAATTAAAAGCCGGAGACTAAGAAATGTGCTGCAAGAAACGGCACTGAACTAATGATACTGAATAATCATTTTGATTCCATAGAAAGTAAACATTGGAATCTAGAATCATTTCATTGAATTAAGGATTAAGGGTTATTGTCCTCTATATTAACATTCCTAATTGAAAACAAACAAAAATATTACCTATTTATTCATTAAAAACAATAGACCAATCCAAAGCAGAAATATTTTTAGATGAAAACATAAAATAATCAAGTGGGTGGAATTTTTTGCCTGTCAGTGTAGATATTGTTCAGCCAATGAAAATGGCGAGGAAGCTATACTGGCCTTACTTGGCAGACTTTTTTTCTGGTCACAATGAAAGTAGTATTCCTTTTGATATGTAATTGTTTGGAAATAATAAACCATTGTTTAAAAATTTGCAGCGTTTTTCATTTTACCGTTTTGAGAGAGATTCACCTCGAAAGCCTTCCGAAAAAGTTTCATAAAAACTGTTAAAATAGAGTAAAATATATATTACAATTTAAATCTATAAAATAACAATTAGTGGACGGGGTGGCCGAATGGGCAAAAGCGTGTGCACTGCACCGCCGTTGCCCGGCAACCTGACATATGAATCTAAGATATAAAAATTGTCACGAGTTCGCGTCCCGGTGCCGGGGGAGTCTTTTAAATCCCCGCCCACACCCCCTGGCCCGAGAAAATCCCGTATAGCCTTAACGGCGAGGAAGGGAAGGACCCAAAAAAAAATAATAATAAAAAAAAATAACAATTACATAACTATGTGAAACTAAGGGATAAGCTCTTCCACCCAGCGCACGGGCGGATCTCCCCGGAGAGGGGGGGGGGGCTTTCGGTCTGAAGCCTCCCACAAAACGGCAAAATTTAACCATGTTTTATGGAATAAATATTAAATCATTATCTCTTAAAGTATTATTATTCGTGTAATCACATTTAAGAGGACTTTATGAATCACTTAAACACCATTTCATATAGGTAGTTAGTTTATTTCTTTTTTTCCAAAGTAATTATTGTTATTTTTATGAAAACAAAGCTTTCGGACTGAAGCCCCCTCCCCAAAAATTAAATCCTGGATCCGCTAGTGGCCGAGCGGGCTAATGCGTGTACAAAACACGCGTTGCCCAGCAACCTGATTAACAAGATAATATGATAAGATAATTATAAGTTTGCACCCCAATGTTGGAGGAGCTTTTAACTCTGGCATTATTCCCCCGCCCTCTCCTGTGGGCCGGGAAAACTCCTGTATAGTCAAAAAGGCGAGAAATGGGAGGACGAAAATAAAACATAATAAAGAACTATGCATAACCAATAAATATAGCTAATTATTAAATTCGATATTCTGTAAATATAACAATAAATTTTATTTGTTCTTTTTGATCTATAGCAATAATATAACAAAAACCAAACATAGAGCAAAAAATAAATAAAAAGTTTGGCTCACTTACCGAGGCCGTGTCTTTTTTCCCGTATTCAGTATCATATTTATATAATCTCATCCTTTCAAAAACTAATGAACGTTCATGGCGCTTAGGGATTTCATAACTGCAATAGTGCATAAAATATGTTTATATATATATATATATATATATATATATATATATATATATATATATATATATAATATATATATATATATATATATATATATATATATGGCACCTGTGAAAAGTGTATTAAGTGCAATTTTATGAATTTTTTCGGTCTTGTTTTAAGTCTAATACAACTGTACTAAAAGTTATGCGGCTATTAAAGAGATAAATATCTCTTCGTGAATAAAGGATTGAAACTCGAAAGTGAAACTAACAGCTCCGAAAATTTCAATTGCGTTTTTCCATAAATATAGTTTTTGCACTAATGCATAGGTGCCACAGATATATATATATATATATATATATATGTATACATAATTAAATTATTATGATGGCATATTTCCAGTTTACGACCTATGAAAATATCATTTTAGGAACTATAAATGAGATGGAAGCAGGGCCAAATGCAGATCCGACGTACAGAAAAAAAAAATTACACATATTTGTATCGAATAATATATGTATAAAGATACATAATTGGTAATTGGTTGACTGTCGTGGATAATGAAGAGAAGAATAGTTGGGGTGGTCAGTCAAAAAGGAAGGCAAAAATAAATGATAATATTTATTTTTACATATGCCGACGATTCGACCTGAAGTTCAGGCCTTCATCAGGGCTAAGAAAATAACCAGATAACAAGGTATGAGAAACATAAGTAGTGATGGTAAAAAAATAAATAAAAAATAAAATAAATAAATATAAAGTAAAATGAAATTGTTAGAATAATGACTAAGAGCTAAGAGATAAATAGTAATAACCGTTACAAAGTGTGGAATGATGAAGTAGGCATAATCAAAAAGGGTGACATAAGTGTTAAAATGGGAATCTTAGAATAAAATGTAAAATATAAAAAGAAATATGAAGTTATATAAGAAATAAAAATAAATAGTAAAATTAAGACATTGAGAATGGAGTTACTATTTATTTTTATTTCTTATATAACTTCATATTTCTTCTTTTATGTTAGGACCTTGATGAATGCCTAAAAGGATGGATGAGAAAATGGGCGTAAAGTTAAGGGGAACCTATGCCATTTACTATTTTCTGGAGACCATGTATTAATTACACAAGATGAAGAGGATATAAGCTACGTATTCAGAAAAATAATTGGTCATTATGAGTAAGGAGCCCTTCAAATAAATTACAGCAAAACCAAATATATGTCACGCAGAAAGAGATTACCGACCCAACATTATGCAACTTTATAAAGATAGAGCAGTTTTGTTACTTGGGATCCATTATTAAAAGTAATTGAAGAATAGAGGAACAAACACAAAAAATGATCACAAATGGTAAAAAAGCATTGGGGGTGCTTAATCCGTTACTCTGGAGCAGCAATATTTTTGTAAAAACAAAAAACTCATATACAAAGCGTTGGTAGAAAGCTTAATGCTGTATGATTTGGAGACACGGTTTCTCAGTATGATCCAGGGGAAAAAACTCCTTTCAGTTGAAATGGATTTTTGGAGGAGAGCTGTTAGGATATCAAGGATCGAAATGGTGAGTAAGACCATTATAAGGGAGAGATTATAAATAAAGCAAACTATCCTCGAGGTAATGGAAGAAAGGAGACTCAGGTGGTATAGCCATGTGAGACGAATGGGCGACCATCGGATTCCAAAGATAATTAGGGATTGGGAAGTAGGGGGTAGAAGAAGTAGAGGAAGACCCTCAGTTAGATGGAAGGATAGATTAATAGAGCCATCGGAGGAGGTTACGATGGACCGGCAAACATGGAGAGACTTGCTAAAGAAGGAGTTTGGTTGAGCAAAATATCGTATTGAAGAAACTACTAAATAAAAAAAATCAATGATGGCTCATTATTTCCAAGTTACAAACCTCTGTCATTTTCATTCCACTTAAAGACAAAATAGCTAATAAATTGAATCCAAATGAAAAATTTATTTTATATGCATGGTTTTATTTATTAAACATCTTAAGAACAAAGCTTTTTATTGGATATAAGAAAGGCATAAGTATAGATCAAAATATTTTAACTTACGTTTTCGTGCAGTTTTCGACGAACATATTGTAGTCTTCTTCACTTTTCCCATATTCTTTAGTAAAAAAACTGCGACATGATTCTATCAATTTTTTAAAAAGTTCCTGGTAGCTCTGGCTGCCCAAATATAACGGAGCTACCTTCGTGGTTGCTGACATATTTTGAATCATTTCAAAATATCTCGTTTCTCTTACAGATTTAGTAATGTAATCTTTCGCAAAATTTTCAGAAAATCCTTTCTTCTTCTTCTCAGTTTTATTGTCATCGTAATTAGTAATTATTAATGTAGAAGCCTTATTACACTTCGTGGATACTTTAGAAGTCATGATCTGAAAAATATATATATGTGTGTAATCATCTTATTCTTGAAAAAGGGTTTCAGGTATGAGTGAAGAAGTTACAGAGAGATGCTGTGGATTAAAAAAGTATTGGCAGACTTAAGTTTTGCAGGTTTCATTGTAAAAGAATCCGAAATTGATTTGCTAAATATTTGTAATTAATAAAATATTTAGAAAAATATATAATTGGGGTAAAAAAAATTAATTTACTTAATTAAAAAAATCAGTGAAGAAAAAATCACTTCAACACGGTCCAAAAAGTTTTGGCACACAGCAATTTGAGGTTTATTTCACGATCTGAATATTTATTAATATTTTGTCATCATACCATTGGCATCTGTGACATCCTGAAATCTTCTTGGTATCAACAAAACAAAATTTTGAGTTACGTCTTGTCCAACTTTACGCCATTTCTCTGTCAAAATTTCGTTTAAATAATTAAAAAAAAAAAATGTATTCTTCATACTTTCAAATTCAACAGGTGTTCTATGGTTTTCATGTCCGGAGAATGGTGGCGTTTTCTATGGCTGTGAACATTGCACAGCCATAGAAAACGCCATTTTATTTTGTTATGCATCCATTCTTTTTTGTTTTATTTGGTGTGTGCTTGGTTTCATTGTCCTGCTGGAAGATAAATGCATCTTTGATCCTCAGATTTTCGGCTCTACTTGTTAAATTTATGTCACAAAATGTCGACATATTGTTTGGAATTCATAATATTGTCAATAAAGGTCAAGTTTCCAAAGCCATTCCATGACATGCGCTCTCAAACCTGGATACTCCCACCTCGATGTTTTACAGGAGGCCTCAAATGTCGACTTTGAACCTCAGTGTCAAGTTTCCTCCAAACGAACTTGTGGCCATTAGAATGGAACATGTTAAACTTACTTTCATCTAAAAATATAATATTTTTCTAGAATTCTATTTGTCGGTAGCTAAGTCTATTAGAATGTAATTTAATGATGTGTTTTTTTTTAACTGACAATATTCACTGGTTTAAACATTTTGTTATGGAAAATATACATCAAGGGCTGATTTTTATTATTTTAATTGTACTATCGTTATTCCTCGTTTCTAATTTATTGAAAGAAAAAGTATTAATTTATTTTACTGTAGCTAATAGTAAAGATTTAAAACTATGCCAATACTTTTTTGATCCTCACAATTTACTCTTTATATTTACTTTAAACAGAGCTATTGAATTCCAAACATTCATTGCTTCTAAAATATAATTCTCAAAGGCCTTTGTTATATAATATTTTTTATGGAAAATATCTTAATCCTATTGAGATTAAGAGAAAAATTGGAGTACTGTAAATGAATTTTTGAGACAAAATATTAATAATTTTGTAAGAGAAACGATCGTTTGTAAGAGTTGAAATTTAAAGAGACCAAGAGGCCAAGGTGTTAAAAGTTACTTGATTCTTAGATACCATAATTTTTTTTAATTAATGAAGCTTATTAAAATGACTTACAAAAATATTGTAAGATAATTTATATCAGATAAGATAAAAATAGATCAATTAATTTTTTACAGTTATCAACAATAAGTTGTGAAAAATAATTCAAAATTATCATTTTAATAGTGATACCCCAGAGTATAAGAATTCTTATTAAAGATTGCAAGGGTATAAGTAACATTTTCTTACTATTTATCAATTTTATGTATAATTATGAGTAAAACTGGTTCAAATAATGGAGCATTAAAACGTTTTATAATGTGAACCCAATTTTATTACTCAAACAATACGCAGTTAACTGCAAAGTGGAGTTAACCTTTCGCCCATCTTTCTATTTGTATACACTACAGCTGTCCTACTTCTATTCAAGAAGCATTATTAGGAAACTGTAATTTTTATGAATTTGAGTATTTATCTTACAATAAAGATTTATAAAATATGTGTATTTTTGTCATTTTCATCAGCAAAATGAAGAAAACTTATTTTATATTTAGTTTTTTTTTTTTGTGGACGAGGCCAGCGCGCTCTATATTGGGTAGCATAGCTTAGTTGCGGTTGGTTCACCGAAAGAATATGGATTCTCGCAGTGTGTATATGTGCGTGCGTTGACTAGTATCGAGAAACTGTCTCGTTTGATTTGTTCTATACATTAACGAATACTTCATGTTTTAAACATACATTACTTATTTTTTGGTATGATCAAATCTAAACATATTTTTATGTAAGTCACTTCTAAATCTCGCATCTTTATCTTAAACATGGGAGATTCAGAAACGATAACCAGTACTTCAATACCCTTAGAATCCATAAAAGTTATAGCAGAAAGTATTGGTATAAGTAATTTGACAGATGAACCAGCTAAAGAATTAGCTGATGACATTTCTTACAGGTTGAAGCTCATTATTCAGGTATGGAAGAGCTGAAATAGTTTGTATTTCAGTGTAATTGTTATATACATAAATATGATCAAGTGTAACAGTTTTTTTATAAAGGGGAGAAATTTCAGGATGCTGCTAAGTTCATGCACCATGCCAAAAGACAGAAGCTGACTGCTTCTGATATAGATCATGCCTTGAAAATAAAGAATATTGAGGTAATTATTCATATACACTTGTCAAATGTGTTAAAAAGAAGTATTATTTTTTAATTGTTAATTTTCTTTCAGCCTCTATATGGATTTTCTACAAATGACCAAATTCCATTCAGATTTGCTTCGGGTGGTGGTCGGGAGCTATATTTCAATGAAGAGAAAGAACTTGATCTAAATGAAATCATTTCTTCTGCCAATGCCAAGTTACCCCTGGATGTTTCAGTTAGAGGTTGGTTCTATCTTTATTTGTTATTGATGGATTTACCTAATTATTATTATTACACCTAATTGATCTCATAGTAACGGGCTCTTATTTTGACTTAGTCACTCTGGTTAACTCGCAAACTCAAAATTTATTGCTTGAAAAAAATTTCACTTTTAAGTAAAGTATTGGTTGACTTCAACTCTATATCCTTATAAATTCTCTATATACTTAAAAATTCTCTATATACTTAAAAATATTGACTGTTTAAAGGCAGTAAACTTGATTGACTTACCTTTTATGATTTGTTTCAGTTAATCAGAAGTATATTATTTTCTAATTTAATTTGTCAATCATATTCACTGATAGATCTTTTTCTTTATATTCCTCCTAATTGGCCATATTTAGAATAGTATTTCTATGTCTGAAAGTATCTTACATTAGGATTGAACAATATCATAACTAATGGAAGGTTTCAATCTTGTTATATTTGATAAGTTTTTATTTTGATTACTATTTTATGACAACTGTTTGCTATTGTATTTAAGTGTTCTATTTAATTACTGTTATTTTCTTAATATCTTCTGTTGCTATTAATATATTTCAGAATATTTAACAAAAAGGTTTAGATTTGAATTAATTTTCCGTGTTATCAGTAATAGTGTCTTGCGTTTTAAAGAATTTTAGAATTTATATTTAAAGGTTATAATTCAGTCCCTTAGTGTTAGTAAGGTTTAGTATAGTTATCTACTCTTTTAATGTCTTTAAATTAATAGGATCAGAAAATTTAATGTTGACATGTGAAACTGTTGATTCCAAAAGATAGGTACAGTTTTAATATTTTGTTGTGGATGTGAGAATATTTGATAAGTTCATTTCAATAATCAGTGACATGCTCATCAGCAAATATTTTTCCAACATATCTTTTAGACTTTTTCATCTGTTTTGCTTAATTATTTTATTTTTAAATGATCATTGAATTTTAAGATTCTTTATTTTTTAAGTAATATTTAGTGTTGCTGATAATTGACCCTGGAAATTGGGTTTGCTTACGAAGGACTCGTTAACTAGCCTTAGATAGCTTTTGGAATTTTGAAGTAATTATTCACTCTAAAAAATAATATTGTACTTCTAGTTTCTTTGTAAGTTGGCTATTATATCATCTATTGTTTGCCTTATTATTATTATTTAGGTTTTTGTCGCTGTCTTCCTTTTGTTTTGAGGTTGTTGACAAGTGATGTAATATGAAAATATTTATTATTATATCTAGTTATCTATAGTCATCCCTTATTAAAATAAATTAGTTGCTCAAGATACCCAAGCTTTCCCACCTGTCATCAGTCTTCTTTTGTTTGCCCTGCTATATGAATGATGCTATAATCTGATGAAACATGTACGATACTTTGAAATTTATTTTGATCTTCGACCTTTTGAATGACAAAGTTGTTAATGACTACTGCTATAGGATATAATATTACTGCAATCTCTGAAAAAAAATAGCCAAGTTACAAGAACCTCAAAATTCCTACTGCTACAAATTTTTTCGATTAGTTGTGGCAGCTATTAATTTAATTGAAGCATGTGAAGTGTTAGTTCGAAACTTCTCATTCCAAGGATCAATTTCAAGAAGTGTTTATTTTATTTTCAAACTATTTTACTGTTCAAAGAATTTAATTATTTTATTGTCTGAATTCATAACTGTTAATAATACTATTTGTTAATAGTTCCAAATTAAATTTATTTATGGTGTTGTATTTGAGGGGCCAATAATGATGAGTTTGTCAATAAAGTCAGAATTTGTAACCTAGCAAATTGATAGGTTCCATGAATGTGTTGTCAAACATATGAATTTTAGTTTCGTAATCATGAATTTTTTTATGGAGTTAAATTATTTGAATATGATTTTGATGTGTTAATTATTAATTTTTTTCAGCTCACTGGTTGTGTATTGATGGTGTGCAGCCAACCATCCCTGAAAATCCTCCCCCTGTTTCCAAAGATCTTCAAAAATTGGAGGCAATCGATCCTCTAAGTAAATTGAATAAGACCTCCAAAGAAAAAGTTGATGTCTCTGGAAAACCATCTTCTGGGTAAACTTTATTTATATTTTATAATTTTTTAATATATATATATATTGCTGATAATAATTTTAGTAGTTTGGTTAGATAAAACTTGTCACTAGATATGTTTTGAAAAATGTTTATTGATAGTTAAATAAACTTTGCTGATATCTACCTAACTTTCACTGACTGAGGTGAGTGAATTGTGAAATGTTGCAAATACCATTTTCATATTATAAGTTATGGACTAGGTTTACATTAGTTTACTTTTCATTGTTCAAGTTCCAATAAAACCTTCTCTTCAACTAATACTCTATTCATCCTGGCAACTTTGCCACACAGCAGTTGATGAACTTACTCAACTAACTTCCAAGACTTTGATTGTTGTTAATCAGGCCAAATAGAGATAACATTAAAACTAATGGATAAGATTCATTGCAATCGGAAGAGAGGCAAGAGCATAATTTTTTTATTTTATCAAAATCCGGGATTTCCATGCAGCAAAGGAAGTTATTGGGGGCGATTGAAGACATTTACAAACATATTAAATGGATGCCTTTGGTTTCTCTGAATATTTGGAAGTTGTATAGCAGACTTTTCTACGTCAACTAATATTTTTTGTCAATGACTTAGTTTGTGTAACTGCTTTCTGCGTGTAGTCAGATGTCATTTTTGTTGATTAGACATTGAAGGAAAGGGATACAGTATTTGTTTCTAAAATTATTTATTTTATTGTAAGAGTAGTAAATTTCTTTGGAAATAAACAAATAACATTTTTCTTTTTTTCACTCTGTAGCAAAAAATATTTATTAGATTTGGAGTATTTGTGAACCCAGTGCTAAGTGTGTTGATGTAAAGAAACTTGTTAAAACATGTACTAACTCCTTAAATTAGTCTGGAAGATTACTATCATCTTATGTCTACTAATTTTGTTTTAACTATAATAGAATAAAAGGAATCAGTTACACATTGGACAAATTTTGGCTCTTATCGGCTATTCATAGTTGCTGAAAATCTGATTAAGTTTGAAGTGAATAATTTTCTTGTTTTTGTTTTTCCAATTTCTTTTGAATTAAGGTTGGCTCTTTTTTAGATTAACAGTGTTGAAAAAAATGATTGATTATGTTATTAATTGAACTTCAAGTACTACTCTCTGAATGTTTGTTTTTTCTTGAATGAATGGAAGCTGATAACTGATAATTAGTATGGTAATGTTTTTAAATTTTTTTTGTTTATTTTTTCACCATAGTTCATTCACCTGTGTGTTCTAACCATATTAATAACAAGTGAATTGAAAGAAAACCAATCTTAAGTAATGCCTAAAATAATTTATAATGAGAGGAAGGAGGATGTTGTTATAGTTTTCGTTGTTTTGACGAGTTTAACTCCCAGAGAAGATAAAGATTTTTCATGGATTATCTGTCAGTCAGAGGAGTTGGTCGAATGGGCTAACACATATGTACAGCCTGTTGCCTGACAATCTGATGTGTGAGACAAATTGTTGTAAAATAGTCAAGAGTTCGCGTCCTTGAGCGGGGGAAGGGGCGAGAGGAGGAGGTCTTTTAAATATCTGCCCACACCTCCTGGTGGAAAACTCTGTATAGCCTTACAAATGAGGAAGGGAAGGAACCAAAAAAAAAAAGTCAGAGGGGAGATGAGGGGTGTTGTATCTACAACTTGATCGAAATGTATTGCCATGATAAAGAACTTCTTTTAGATTTATAATGATTCGTTTTGATTAGTATATTTTGTTGAAATTTCAGGCTGAAATAGTCTAATTCTAATAACAAAGTTACATTATATACTTATCTCTTCATTACTAATTTACTTATGCCATTTCAGGAAATTTCACAAATTGCGGAATGTTGAAACAGTTCATGTTAAACAACTCGCCACTCATGAATTATCGGTGGAACAGCAACTTTATTACAAAGAGATAACAGAAGCTTGTGTTGGGTCTGATGAAGCTCGGAGAGCTGTAAGTAGTAGTCTATAATCGTAGATAGAAACTAATCTATAATTTATCTATAATCTATAACTAATCTAGAATAATCTATAATTGTCTATAGTACTCTATTTTTCTCTTAATTTATTACCTGTTTATAGCAGACTTAATTTCGTAGTAGTCTCAAAACAATTCAAATAATGAAAGTCATGAGTTATGCAGACAAATATTCTGTTAAAAATATATGTATTTCTTTAAAATGAAAAATGTATGCCAAACTGAAAAATATTAGTCATTTTTTATTATATTTATTTATTGCAAATATAATAACAAAATAATGGTTTAAATTTATTTGTTACTAGTTGGCATGTATTAATTTGTGCAAAGTGTGTTAAGAGCGAAAATCATTATTTTATTCTATGCAAAGGTTTGATATTTTCACAAGTGTAAGTTCAATTTTCGAGTTTCAACCCGTGATTCATTAAGGAATATTCATCTCTGTGATAGCCATATAACTTAGCCCATTAGATACAAAAAGAAAGAGAGAAAAATTAGCTTTCTGGTGATACACATAAAAATTCACTAAATTGCACTTAACACATTATGCACAAGTGCCGCAGAAATAATTCACTTTGTATTTTGGTCATTTATATTTTTCAAAATCGTAACCTTATATACAAATTAATTAATCTAAGAAAATTTGAGATTAAGGAATTTTTTAAATTTTTATTTATCTTTTTTGTTTGCTAACAATATTTTATCATTTAAAATAAACCATAATGTGTGTATCAACTTCATTAGGCTGTTTCTTTAATAATATAAATGATTTGATTCTGATTTTTTTATGATTTTTAACCTTTGTCACGACAAAGCAAAAATTATTGTTCCAGAATTTTCACCCAAATGTTAGGAACGTTGCGTAAATGAACAGGCTGACAGAGATAGTTTCTATTTTTGCTCCAATTTATGCTTAATTCTTCATCATTTTAAAGCTACAATCTATAGAAATAAACGTTCTATTTCATTGATTTTTTTCCATTTTGTTGGAAAGTTGGAAACGGTTGAAATTATCATAAATTCCTCAGTTATGCAATTTTTTTTTCTCACAAAATATGTTTTCTTTTCTTGATAACCATTATCCATCTTTTTATGGGGATTCATTTATTTTTAACTTTCAAAATGATGTATGGCTCACTCATTGAATTTGATTTTTGAAGTTTATGTAATTTTTTTTTTTTTTTTGCAGGAAGCTCTTCAAAGTTTGGCATCGGATCCAGGTCTTCATGAAATGCTTCCTCGAATGTGCACATTCATTGCCGAAGGTGTAAAAGTGAATGTGGTTCAGCATAACTTAGCACTTCTGATATATTTGATGAGGATGGTCAAAGCTCTTCTTGACAATCCTTCATTGTTTTTAGAAAAATATGTAAGTATTTATTATCAGTACTAAATAGGAAATTTTTTTCTGTAATCTTTGCTTTCTATTTAGGATATTTTGAGCAAAAATGTATTATTATTTTTTTTTAATGCTGAAAAAATAGTTTTTAACTCTGTTAAACTATTAACATAAATCTAAATTAGATGGATTAGGGTACTCTTTCCACAAAATGTTATTTCAGAAAATACTATGTTGTTTTCCCTTATTTCCTAGAACTTTTTTTTCTAAATTATTGAACTATTTTTCTTGATAAAGTTGATTTCAAAAGATTTAGTTTAAAGTTAAAGAGATCTATCTCTTTACAGTAATTAGAGTAAAAATCTTGGATGAGATATTGGTTGTCATAAGTACGATCCATTGTATTACATTACGTTCCTGATTGCCTCATTGCGAGATATTAAAAAAAAATAACCCTTAACTTTCTGGTATAAGTCAAGTATTAACTTCTTTTCATGTTCTTATTAAGTTCTTTTCTTAGCCCTGATGAAGGCCTGAACTGCATATGTATATCTACATGGAAGACTGTTCTAATCATTCTGATGAACTCGAGCGCTCTCGTATTCCTGTTGTTTCTCTATTACAACTATTCTCCGTTACGAGCTCTTATTTCTCCTTTAGTTAATTACCAATTCTTTCATATTTTATATTTAACTATTTTTTATATAAGAGATCAATATGAAATGAAAATGGTATAATTAACCATTTTAAAATTAAAAAAATTCAAATGCTTTATAGGGAATTAGCCTAATATTGAAAAATAGCGATTTAAGCCCTGTTAGAGAACATGAATAAGAATAAAACCTACATTATATTAAAAACTGCTTAATTTTACACTGATATTATGAATTTAATCAAAGAGCTTGAGCCGTTTTCGAGAAAATCGTAAAAATGTCTTAAATCAATTATATAAAGTGCCACTTCTAGTAAGCCAATTTTGACAAAAAAGTTGCTGTAACATCTCAGGCAAATAATAACCTTTAATATGCAATTTCACTTTCGTGCGACTTGGTTATTTGGACTCAAGGGGCCTCAAAACATGTATTTCCGTTGAAAACAGATTCATAAATATTATCGATCGCAATACTTTCCATTACTATATATTTCATATATAGGTAAGTGAAAGTAAAAACATGTGAAATGCAAATCTAATGTGTTGGAAACCGCAGGGCACAGTTGTTTTTTAAACATTATTTGTGTTCTTTAAAATTATTTCTATCATCTCATTATATGCTTGATATTATGGGCAACTAAACATACTTCGGATACGAGCAGTCCAGTGCATCATAGCACCACTGTAACATGAACATGTATAAGTTTTTGGTAGAATATTAATGATTTATACTTGAATTGATAATATAATATCTGATCGCTATTATTTTTTTCCAGCTTCACGAACTAATACCTTCAGTGAGCACTTGTATAGTGAGTCGACAGCTGTGCATGAGGCCGGAGCTGGATAACCATTGGGCCCTCAGGGATTTCGCTGCTCGGCTCATGGCACAAATTTGCAAAAATTTCAACACATCCACGAATAATATTCAAACGCGAGTTACCCGTATGTTTGCATCAGCTATCAACAATGAAAAAACTCCCTTGTCTTCACTATACGGAGCTCTTGAAGGTAAATTTGTTTTCATTTACTATTATATTTTAAAAAATATTACTTAAATATTTATTATTTTTTGTTTCTGATGTGACAACGTCTGACATTAATTACTGAATAAGTAATTGGGTACTTGTGACCGAGTTTGCCTCTGCGAAACCTCCCTTCTTATCTTATGTCACGTCAACTTCTTATCTTATGTTATGTTACGTCGCGTAACCTGCCTTTTTATATAGTGTGAGCTGTTGTATGTGTGTTTATTCATTGTGCGCTATTAAAATGGATGTAATTACATTATGGGAATTGCTGTCTTCAGAAGAAGAGGCTATCAAATATTTTCAAGATGCAGGGATAATTGCGAAGGTGAAATATTGTGATGAAGGTCATGAAATGAAGTTCGTCTGGAAGACGTACTGGAGATGCTTTCGTAAGAGTTGTAAGAAAAAGATGGTCTCATAATTTGACAACAATAAAGTGTGGCGAAGAGCAACTGAAACTATCGAACAAATTAATCATAATGTGGAACAAATTTTTAAGAGAGTTTTGTGCCCATAATATGTTATACAGGTCAACAAAGAAAATTGGAAGGCCTGGGAAAGTCGTTGAAGTAGACGAGAGTATTTTTTCTAAACGAAAAAATCATGTAGGGAGAATTCTTCCTGAACAATGGATGTTTGGCCGAGTCAGTCGAGAAACAGACGAGTGTTTCATTGTAAAAATAAAGGACAGAAAGGCAAGAACTTAATTAAAATGTATTAAAAACAATATAGAAGAGGGAAGCACAATTTATTCGGACTGTTGGAAAGGATACAACACCCAACAACTGAATGAAGCAAACTATAATCATTTCCAGGTGAATCACCGTTATAACTTCGTTGATCCGTTGACTGGGGTCCATACTCAACATATAGAACGTTTATGGGGCTCAGCTAAGTGGTGAAATAAGAAACAGCAAGGAACTGCGAGGCAACACCTCGATTCATATTTATGTGAATTTTTGTGGCGGCGCGCACACAGAGAAGAGCACCCGTTCTTCGCTACTTTAAATAGTATTAAGCTATTTTGCCTCCAAAAATAAATAAATGAAATGATTTATGTATGTTGTAAAATAAAAGTGTTGTTGTTATTTATATATCTTATTATTAAATTACTATATTATTATTATATTGGGGATTACATGCCTTGGAAAGTGAACTGGAGTTATTTATATTTATTATTATTAAATTACCATATTATTATTATATTTATATTTCTTATTAATATATATATATTAATCAGAAACAGGCAAAAAAGAGGCAACACCAAATATATTTATATTTATTATTATACGAGAGTCTAATTTCATATGAAGATAGGAATTAATTATCAGTGCCTCATCAAAATTATCAGTGTTCAGGTTATAAACATTGGCAGATAGCAGTCCATAGAGCCCGCATAGGTCACAAGTACCAGTAATTGTTTAATTGATATTTTAAATAATATTGCTGTTACAGGGCTGTCTGAACTTGGTGGAGAAGTTGTTAAGGTATTTATTTTACCAAAGTTGAAATTGATCGGAGACAGGATAGAAAGCTGTACGAGTAGCAGTGACAAAATTGCAGTCGGTCATATTAAACATTTGATTCTTGTAAGTGAGTATATGTTATTTATTTAGTTTTAGAGCGAATCTCTTCCAACATCATGTTTATCAACTTGTGATGTCCGGTTGAATTTATTAATAATTTTTATAGTAAACAATGTTTTCAAAGCACTGCACTATTCTGCTTAAAATTTAAAATATCTTTAAGCCTGTTCATACCATGCATTGATGTGATTTCCTTTTAATTTTTTCAAATAGAAAGTTGTACATCCAGTTTTGAAGAGCTTGAGACCCGGTCCAGACATAGTAGAGGAATATAGAGCAGAATTCGGGAGCCTAGGTCCTGCTTTGCATCAAGCCGTCATCAAGGCACGTCTTACCTCTGCTCAGTCGTCATCTGGGAATATATCTATTAATCAGCCCACCATTATTCAGTCAGGTAACTGTCTTCTAGTTATATATTTATTGTAATGTTCTTGTTCTCTCCAAAATTAAACAACCAGTTTCTTTTTAATATAAAATTTATTTCTCACACATATATAAATTCCCAGGTTGGGTTTTAACAACTAACATACATCCTCATTTATACTCTAGAAAAGCATACATTAATTATTCAACACTTTTTTGGGTTTACATTAAATTTGTTGGAGTATAATCTCGGCGCGCATTCGATCTGTCCATCGGTATCTTTTCACTCACCCTGTGATGCAGCTACTTCTCTTCTGTACTGTTAACACTCACTACTTGTAGACCAACATCTTCTCACAGATCCTGGTTCCTAGCCGGCTGGCTACCTTCTCTTTAACCTATGTCCTCTTCACTCGCTGGCCGGTCACCTTCTGCCGTTACATGAGGCTTGCTTCCCCCACCATCTGTACTTCCTGTCAGTAGTTCGTGATGTTACCACCTCCGCGCCAATATTCAAAAACACTATGTAGTGTTGACATTAGAATATATATATATATATATATATATATATATATATATATATATATATTTTATTGATAATAACTTGAATATTTTAAACTTTGTTTCATTGGCAATGTTAGGTATTATTAAAAGCTTCATTGGAGTGGGTTAGCTTGATGAGGTTCTGTGCTCCTCAACCAGGGGACCCTTCTGGGACACATACAGTCTCTATAAATAATTAGTTAAGGGAAAAAGCAGTTCTGTGTAAAGGAATATATAAAAAAACATAGGTTTAGAAGTTTAAGGATATTGAGATTAACATGATTCCTGACCTACATCTCCCACCCTTTTTTCCATCTACATCAATGACCTTCCATCCTATATCCTACACTGTCAATACCATCTGTATGCAGACGACGTCCAGATTTACCTCTCCTTCAATCCGATCGAATCCTCTGACGCCATCCAAAACTTACAGAAAGATATAGACGGAATTTGTGCCTGGGCAAACCACAATAGAATCACTCTAAACTCCGAGAAAACGAAAGCTATTCTGATTGGAACTCCCTCACTCCTCAAATTTTTACCAACACTCCCCAATCTTTTCCTGAACAACTCACTTATCTCATTCCATACTTCTGTAGAAAACCTTGGTGTTACCTTTGATCAAAGTCTCTCCTGGAAACCACACATCTCCCAAATTTCCCGCCGCACTATCTCTACCCTGAAACATTTCAATCGTCTACGATATCTCCTTCCATATAAATCCCGACAACTCCTGGTTTCCTCCCTTGTGTTCCCCCACTTCGACTATGGCTGTCTGGTGTACGGCGGACTCTCGGGACAATTTGAGGCCAAACTTAAACGCCTGATGAACTGCGCAATACGTTTTGTTTTCGGAACCTCAAGAGATACGCATATAACCCAGTATTACACCAAATTGAAGTGGCTCTATCTGTCCAACCGCCGTCTATACTTGCTTGCTACCTTTCTATACCAAGCCATCAGAACTCAGCGACCTTCCTATATTTTCCACAGCCTAAAATTTAAATATTCCATTCAATCACGTCCCACTAGATCCTGTACTTCTGACCTCTATCCACCTCCTCACCGAACTGCTGCGTTTGACAAATCCTTTATAATTCAAGCCGTCTCCACCTGGAATACCATCCCTCCCGATATCCGACATGTGCAATCAGTTTCCTCATTTAAATCTCTCCTTTTTAAGCACCTACTTCTTTCCCAACCCGGTTGATCATGAAAAGTAGATAAGAGAACTTTTTAAGTTCCTCCAGAAATGGTTTTGTTTAATTATATTATTTTATTTTCACATGTTTGTATTGTATATATCTGTATGTATTTAGTGGTTTTGTTTTATTTTTCATCCAATATTTTCATTTTTATGAGCATTGTAAATATTTAATTTAATTTTATGCTCACACAGGCATTTCCTCTGTATCTATAATTTGTCCTAAAGGGACAAAAGCCCCAGGATAATAAAAATCTATTTTCATTTCATTTCATTTACAAGACAATTCTTAATTTCTTAAGCTTCTTATTAATAAATACTATGTAATAAATTAGGTGTTTGTTTATAATTGGAAAAATCAAACCACTCAGGCTTGTGTCTCTAAAATAAAAAATAACCCATCAACGTTTTACCGATACATCAGCAAAACAAAAAACATGAATTGCTGATCAGCTGTTTGATTATAACCTTCCTCGGTTATCCCTTTCTTTCAATATGGTATTGCATGTCATGGAGTGATATGATATTGATTTTATTTTTATTTTTTCTGTCCTAATGATGCCTGAATTGGTGAAATATTTATGACTTATTTTGTTCGTTATCTACCTTTTAGAAAAACATTTCAAATTATAGCCTAACATCTATTTTCCGTTCCTTAGTGAGCTTTTTCTTGTTTATATTAATTAAAATTTAAGTTTTTAATAATGTAACAGGATTAAATTAATTTATCTTTAATCAATGTGTTGATTTTGTTCATGGGATTTGAATTAATTGAAACTTGTGAAGTATTTTATACTTGAACCTACATATGATATAAAATAAAACATCCAAAAAGTTTAACTAGGCGGCTTTTGACATAAAGAATTAAAATATTTCAAAACAATCTATTATTTAAATAAATCTGTTTCTTGGATATTGTAATGCATTATGATTTTTATATTATTTATAGGTGGAGCTGATTTGTTGCTTTCTCAGAATAATACAGCTCGTACAATCGTTGTGGGAAGTGTACCAAGACCGCAACTCCAAAATCAAGTTTCCCAAAGTAACAGTACACAAAAATACGTTTTTGTCACTTCTAGACCTCCGCCTTCCCAATCTCCCTCTCAGGTAAGCTGACAATTTTCATGGCTTTGTTGTATAGATGAATGGTTAATAATTAACAGCTGTAGTTGGAATATGCTTAGTATGATAAATTAACTCATTAAAAAGAACAGAAATATTAATGCTTTATCATCAATAGCTTAATCATGTTTTATTGTAATCTAACTCTGACTAACCATTTATTGCTTTTTATTATTATTGCTTCTTAACGTAAATTGTGTTCTCTATAATATTGTTTCGTTACTATGTCGCTTAATTTTTCTGGCATGATATTTGTTTCTTAACAGTAATATTGAACTAATCCATTTAGTTTTTTCATTTTGACATTTTCTAAAACACGCTACATTTTATTTTTGTTTCATTTATCATTTAAGTATGAACTTTTCCTTCATAGTGATCGGTTACCTAAAAAGTATAAACCTTATTAGTATACGCCATAAAAATAATAAAGAGAGAAGTAAAAAAAATAAAATAATTTAAAAAAGTATTACTTTTAGTATAATTACTATAATCATGTTATTTTAATATAAGCGGTTTTATGGAAATAATTCTCCAGAGACTATAGTAATTAGAATGTGCTCGACACTTATTTGACAAAAATAATGTATACATAATCAGTAAAATATTATTTTTGGTGATAAAAAAAAAAATTTAAATATCTGTTTTAGGAGAAAAAAAAAAAATTTACTGACATGTTTCTGTTGTTTTTTTTGTATTAATATTATTTGTAGAGTACTTGGTAGTTTGTGAATAAATTGAAATTTTCAAATTTAACCACAATGTGGTACTTTTAATTGAATTTCTATTTGTTTATTGCAGACCGTGATACGTATACCTGAAGCCGTACCTTATATTCCAAGATTCCTGTAACTGTGTGACAAGTAATGTCCTTTCATTATTTCCTTTCTATTTTTTTTTTTTTTTTCCAGATCCTATTATATATTGTATATAATAATTGTGTATGTTGGTATTTTGGTGGTAATTAACGCTTAACCTATATAAATATACATTAACTCCTTTTACTCTTAACAACTGGAAATTAACAAAAATCTATTGTTAAAGTAAGTTTGAAATTGTCATAAGGATTCATCCACAAACGAGCACCAACCCTCGCACCACCTAAAGCTTAGCACCTCGCACCAATCTTAATCCTTTGAACCTTACCCAATTTGTGGCCACGCCAACCCTAACACGTCTCCTTGCATCGAGTTTATTTTGCGTTTATTACAGTTTTCATGCAAATAAAGCATTCTTTATTTTACATATTTGGGAGATATGACATATTTTGAAATGTTATAGTCCATATTTGGTTCACAAGGGAACTTTATATATATATTAATAAAAATAAAATGGGAATATACAAAAGATCAGACTTTTATATTGAAAGTATTTTAACAGCCAGACATTATATCTTATTAGATTTAATACTATGGTCTAAATTACTTTCTTTACAATTTTATTTTTGGTATTCAGAATTTAAATCATTATCATTACATGTCCTTATAAAATTGTTTTATTTTAATTGTGAAATAACAAAAATTGAATCACTATATGGTTGATAGATTGTTGGAGTGTCAAAATACATTTGTGAATTTTACAAAGAAATTTTTCAAGGATAAGGTAATGTTTTTTTTTGTGATAGCTCAAAAAAAAAAAAAAAAAAATACAAATAAAATGATAAAAGTAATAAAATTTGTACTTGCAACTTCTCTGAATTTAAAAATTGATATATTTTTTCATTGAGTTCTTAAAAAAATAAGGAGGTTTATCTATTAAATGTAGGATGATTTATTACAGAAGTTTCTTTAAAGAGTAAAACTAAATTAACAGTATTTTTGAGCGATATTAGGTTTTATTTTTATTTAATTGTTTTTGTTAATTTTTATAACTATGTATTAATGATTAATTTTAAATCGGAACCATCTTAATACTATCATCGCCTAAAATAATTTAATCATGCACCCAAAAACGTGATTACTTATTTATACTCATGCAGGTCTTTTTTTACTCTCTTAAGGTAGGAATATAAATTCTTTTTTTATAATTTATTATAATGAAAGCTTGTATGTACCACTGCTCTTCAGCAATGAGGATCATTATGAATTAAACATATAAAAAATGGTCTCATTTATACATCAATTGAACGTATGTATTTAAAATCTATTGAGACAAACATTCCCTCTCATCTAATAATTATATGCATTTCATAAGAAACACAATAAATATTAATAATATTGATATAAAATAGTAATATTAATTTAAATAAAGAATAATTTGGCATGATTGGTCATTGTGAAAATGAGATAGTATAAAAATATTTTTATAAACCAGGCTGTTCCGAGACCTGGTTGCTTGAGGGTTGAGGTTAAAAGAATCGATAAAGCAATTACTTGCTTGGTGCATATAAGGATAAGGGGCCGTTATGGCCAGTCTCATAAGAAACAATGTTTTTATTATTTTCACAAGAGGTGGTGCGTGGGTCGGAATATCATTGTGGACAAGGCCTAAGCCTAAAACATGAAATTTTAGTTTCTAAAACTAAATATTATAAACTATTCCTCGAATGATCTACTTACCATCGTTTGAGTTCTGTAGATAGAATCCAAAACTAGAGAAAGATTTAAATTCCTTCCAGATGAAGTTAATGACTAAATTCATATTATTTGACAAATGGTTATTATTGAAAGAATATGCTATGATCGATATTTATGCTTCATTATTAGTAATGTTGTCAATAGAGAATCAATTTTACAATCAATAAATTATTTTTTCTAACATAGATAAAATAATTTATTATCTTATACTGTTCAATCTGGTTGCACATAATTAACTCTCATATATCTGATAGGCATAATTTTAGCCAATTCAGAGATATATTACAACTTTAAAATATTTTGATAATGCTCATTTTGCGTACAGCTGTTCCCAGCCTTGCATGCCTAGTTCCGTACAGTAAAAATCTACTTTTTCTGGGACTACTGAGGCATAAATTACGACTTATATTTCTAATAAAGTCTCTTTCCCATTACTCTCATTAACATTATATATGGGTGAGTTAATATCAAAGACAACTGTCATTTTTAAAAGATGAGAAAAAGTCAAATTTCTGTAACTTAGCTTAAATTTAAACCAATTATAATAATTTTTTTTCATTGTTGAACCTATAAAACAAAAATTGACTTTTTCTCCACTTCTTTGTTATGAAGCCACTCATATATCTGATATTATTTTTGCATTTTGGTGTCCAAATAATGCAGAGATTTGATCAAATGAAACTAAATAAATAGACTGAGGCAGCATTTTCAATTGCATCCGGCTGAAACTTCATAAATAGCTTCATCTCATCGTAATCTACAAATATTTTATTTGCAAAAATTCTTAGAATTGGGGCGTTTTCAATCTTGAGATCGGTAAATTTTGTCTATTTAATTAGATACTAAAATCTCATGAATATCTATTCATTTTCTTCTTGAATCGAAAGATATCATTACAATATTGAAAAAAAAAAAAAAAAAAAAAGGTGCCCTACTAAAACATTGTGCCCTTTAGCATGACCTCCTCCCCAAAATGTCAAAATAACAAGGTTATATTTACGAGACGACCCAATATATTTCTATGCCTTTTTTTTTTCTTTCTCAATTTTGTGATGATATTATCTGACCATTCAAGTGGAAAGGAAATGAGTATTCATGAATTTTTAGTACGTAATTAAATAGACAAAGTTTAGCGATCTCCAGATTGTAAACGCCCCAATTCTGCGAATTTTCGCAAATAAAATATGTGTATATTACGATGAGATGAAGCTATTTATGAAGTTTCAGGCGGATGTTAATAATTTGATAAAAAGGTGTATGTACCATGGACTATTTTAATTTTACTGTATAAAGTTAAGTTATAACTTTAAAATTATTTTATGATTGAATTGAAAAACACTAAAAGAGGATTGGTTATGAATCAACTCAATTACAGGATGGCTTTGATAATCCGAATATGTAGATTGCATGATCTATTTAGATTATTGAAGGTTAAATTTAAAATGATGGAAAAATTGCATAAGATAACGAAAATGTATGCATTATCAGTTTAATATAAACACATCACAAATAAAACAATTATTTCTGAAAATGATTAAATCATGTTTTTATAATAATTATATCAGTATACTCTTTATAAATATATTTCAAGTTTTTATAGTCATTAATGTTTTTCATATAATCATATAATTGTGTTATTAAAGAAAATGCCCGATCTCAAATTACGTAAAAGTACCAGGAATGCACTCCAAGTACCAGGCATTCCAAGAAGGCTTTAAATCCCTTTATGGTGTTTCCATGGCTCATTTGTAATAAAAAATAAAATGATTGTAAAAAAATTTTTCAATATAAAACGTATTTCATAGCTGCTTTTGAAATTATCAAGCCAAACTTTAGTGGCGTTAAGATCTACTTTGTCATCCCTCTTCAAATAATTATTTGAGAAATTGTTAAACATTGTCTTTTCTTGTGCTAATATATCTCCAGAGATCAGACATCCTCGTTATCTCTGCTGCAAAAACCACATATAAAAAGATTCCTCAACGCCTGGATGACCGCTTGTTTTAATATTTTCCAGTTTGTGTTCTGAGAAATAGAAGCATTTCCGTGACGCCTCTCATCAGTCAATTTTTTTTTCTTTCTTGTTCGGATTACCAGGGGTTTCGAATAACTAGAGATACAGATTATCGAGACCGTCCTGTATTTCATAAATTCAAAAATCTCAAACAAATACTAAACCTACTCCTCTTCTGCCTAATAACCAACTATAGTTAAGTGGGCGAGGAAGGAGGCTGCTTTTCAAATTTTTTTTTGTTTATGTTGTAAGAAGTCAAGAAAAAATTGTGTTTTAAAATAATTTGAGTTTCGAAAATCTACTATATTTATTTTCAATTTTTAAAATTAGATAAATATTTATGCTTTATGAATGCATTTTTTATATTTCACTTTTAACTCTAATAAGTATTTGTAAGATTTTGTAATTAATTATAAACATTTTGAATTTTTGAAGCAAAATGAACTAATTGTGATTAGATGTGTAATTTTTTTCCAGACTAACCAAGGACAAACACAGAAGCCGATGTTTATGACGCAGCACCCTCAGATCAAGATGGAAACAGATGATCACATTTGATGCAGAGCAATTAGATGATTTAATGAAAAGCCTTCTATTGTATATATTTTAGTCATGTAAATAAAAAAAAAATTACTTTTTCAAAATGAAATTGTATATGATGTAAATATATATAAATTTTTAAATTGTTTAAATTTTTTTGAATAATTACCAAACTAGCCACATTGTTGATATATATATTTGTTATTGTTAACCGTTAATTATAATCTATTGCAAATATTAATGTATTTATTAATGTTTATATTAATTTATTACCATTACGTTAGTACATGTTTAAAAAAAAAAACTTAGTATAATACGAGCTGGGAAGAAAATTAGTTAAAATTAAGAACTATAATTTTTTAATGAGGCCTTAAATGAAAATAATTTCTTTATTGTATGTTAAAAGTGATAAATTTTCTTTGTATTTCATTTTTTTTCTGATAATTTTATTTTATTTTCTTATTTTAAAAAGTAGCTCAACTTGAAAGTGATATTAGCCTATATGTTTCAATTACGTCACTTATAACAGAGCGTGTATAGTACTAGTTCTAAGAACATCTCTGTATCATGTAAGAATTACAAAAGCAATAACTGTTTTTTCACGATGGCTAAAATATCATTTAATAGAGAAATGTACTATTTTTTTAGTACTCACAGCTTGGAATATGTCAAAAAGTTTCTTAATATATTTTGCACAATATACTTGTTTTGATTATTGTTTAAAATAGTAATATAAGATGTTTATCTACATTTATATATTTGATATTAAAAAAATTCCAGAATATCAGACCTAAATCCACAACCACAATACACCTTAAACTTGCTGATTAATTCAGATTTCAGGCTGCTATTTGAACTAATTTTTATTGCTCTGATATAACTACCTCTTAGATCCTGGGAAAACTTAAAAGTCATTTGTCTTTGCTTGTCACTCTTTTGTGTTTTATTCAATTCTTACCATCCATTTTCCAGTTCTACCATTTTACGCTTACATTGTACTGGGTTAATTTATTTTTAACATTTAATGCTTAATAGGTTTCTTAAGTTAAAATGGGTCACATTAGCAAAGATAAAATAGTGAACTATTATTTTCTGAGACTTGATATTTTAGTGAAAAAATTGTATTGAATCTTACTGGTGGTTTCTATATCGCGTAAGCTTACAGACGTTACTAACTAGAGCCTATGATAATTATCAAGAACTAATAATGTGGTGCTATCATAATAACAGTAGCAATACTGATACTTTTTATGGTTGCGGGTCTGGATCTGTTATTCTGGAATGTTACCTTGTATTTCCTTTCCCTATTTCAGTGCCTTATCTATTATTTTTGAGTGAGAAAAATATAGTATTTGTTTAATGGCATTTTTCCTTTAACTATTATTCATTTAGCGAACAACCTATTGTCATCAGAATAATGTGACTTCTAAATTTAATTTTTAAAAGATTGGTAATAGGACAATAATTTTTATGGTTATAAATAATATTACTAATTATATGTTTTTATTTAATTTACTATCAATTAAGTTCTTGAGATAATGTGCACTACCTTAAGTTCTGAATATCTACACTGGCAACATAATAATAATTACAATTAAATATTTAAACATAACACTATAGTGCAAAGTTTGCTCTAGACATTGGAAATATTTATGAAATTACATTTTATATTTCATGCTTATGGAATTTCACTTTATTAAGATTAATAAGATTAAGAACAGCTATTAAGCATTCATTAACATAATAGTTGTAGAGCAGCGATAGATTTGGGGAAAAAAAAGTATAAGGTCAATTGCTTATTTGGAAACTTTATGGAGTTCAGGAAGAAATTAGAAATATGAAAACAATCATTTCCCAATTAACAGCATATTCCTAAACATATGTGTGAGCAAATTAAAAATACTACGAATCATAAAAAAATTATTACAGCAATATCACTAACTATTTTCTACTAGAAGGCTAAATGGACCATTGGCTATATGAAATTGACTATGATGGGTTGATTGAAAAAGTCATTAAGTGACATTTCGTAACCAACCTCAAATAATTAAGAACTTTATTGAATGGGAAATCTGAAAATTGTGCACATGAATATTTTTTAGTTAAAAGATAAAATAAATTGCACTAGAAATACATATACATAATTTGAAACTATATAATAAGAAAAATAAAATAGTCTCACATAAGTGTCTAAGATGTTTTATGATAGACAAGTGCAGAGTTTCCACTTTGATAAAAAAGTTGCCTATTTAGGGAAACTCCAAGATTTGGGAAAGGGGGGAAGAGAAACAATTTTTATTTATCAAAGCCTAGCCTGAGCACAGTTTAAGCTATTTTTTAATAATATAAGTCTAATAATAGACATAAAACACATTGTTTTATGTTAAAAAATATTTGGGTGGAAGGATTTTTAAGTTCCTTCTGAGGGAAAATATGACTGATCAAAAGGGAAATTAAAAAAAAAAAATTGGAACACTGGACAGGTGTCCCTGACTAAGGAAGCAGTGGGGTTATAGTTAACCTCTTAATATCAGTAAATATATATAATTTATCCAAAACTTGCTTCAGCCAATATATTACTATTGCGGTGACATACTCATATTTCAATATTTAACAATTTAATTTCTGTAATAATATGAGATGGTTATAATCGCGGTGGTGTAAGTCGGGTTTACTTTATTTCAAGAACATAATACATTTAAATGAACTCTATAGAACATATTTCATTAAAGTACATTTACTGAGAGTCTACTGGCCCCGTTAGAGAGTCAGGCAATTTTATTGCATAAAAAAAGTTTATGTAATATTCATATACACAAGAACATGTACATATGATCCAAATTAGAGGTTGTTAGGTGTCACCGAGTCTAATTGCACCAGTTCGAATCCGGCTTAGGTGAGTTGAAATTTACATTGTTATGGTCACAATAAATGGGTTCATCCCACTCTAGTTAGATGCTTGCCTGTTAGATTATAAAAATTAATTTAGGAGCCAAATATTTTTTTTTTAACTTCATAATAAAAGTATATTAATGATTAATTATATCGACTAATAGTAATATTTTTTTATTCCCTTTGTGTCGAAGTTTCGGCCTAAGTTTCAGAGCTAAACAAAGACAGCATATAAATATTGAAAAAATAATAGATAATAATAATAAGATGTAGGTAAAATAGTACAAGTATATTCAAATAATATGTAGGTAGTTAAATTTAACATAAATAAGTATGTAAAATGGCAAATATATGGTATATAAATTAAAGAGTTGTGAAGAACTATAAAGTAATGTTGTATGAGTATTAGTCTAGTCAATAAATAATTACAGAAGGAAATGGTGGGGACACAATTTTTGACTTTGGGACATTGTTTGGACTAGTAATGAGGTAAATATATTAAAAGTCCCCACTCCTAAGTGGTGAGCCAGATTTGGGGGGAAGGGAGGTCTAGGTTTTTTTTTTTTTTTTTTTTTTCGATTTTCTCTTATATCAGGAAAACTATCCATTGCATCGATAAAGATGTTCTATACAAAATTAAAATGAAAAAAGCGACGTTCTAGGTCCCCACATCTGGCTCACCACTTAGGAAGAAAGGGAACTTTTAGTATATTTACCTCCTTACTAGACCAAACAATGTCCCAAAGTCAAAAAAATTGTGTCTCTGCCATTTCCTTCAACACTCCCAGTAAGATCATTCATTGACTGCTATGAACTATATGTAAAAGCTGGAACTTATAAAATTGTAGCAAAGCTGGGATATATAAGATAATGGTAACCACATTTATTTTATATATCTATTTATTATATTTCCTAACAATTATCCACTATAATAAAAATTTACTTTGTTCAACAACTGAAGTGTCATTTAATGAACAAATTTTCATCACAAACAGTGGCCTGAATGACCGACTTAGTGGAGGACCAAACATTTGAGGACCCCTTGTCAAGAGTGAAAATTACTATGGATTTTATTTTGTATTAGGATAATAAGAATTAGCAGGAGCTCAAATTTTCAGAGACCACTTGGATTGAAAGTGATAGCAATCAGTGCTAGTTATGAATTAAACTATTTTCCTATCAAAGTTCTAGTCTTACAAGTAAAAAACGAATTCATATAAACATTCGATCATAAAATATTAGTCAAGTGCCATTAAAAACATTTTCTAGCTTCAGTTCTGAGTAGATTCTGCTAGAGAAAATCATGTTCTGTAAGCATCTTGAAACAAATAAAAGAATATCTAAGTGGTAGCGCCAATGATAGGAAAATATAAATATCAGAATAAAATTTCTATTATTTTTATCTGAGTAGACATCTTTGAAAGGAAATAATCAATTTACAACCCAGGCGGTTTAAACATTACAGATAAAATTCTATAAAAAATCTTTATCCTTAATGATACTTTGAAATTAAAGAGATAAAAAAACATCATTAAATACTCCATGCCAACAATCTATGATCAAACCATTACAATAATGATTCTGCCATAAAATTAATGAACACTTCAGATTAAAATTTTTTACAACAAATAAGACTTGCATAACACAAAATGTTTACAAGAAATAGGAATTTCTTAAACAACTGCAAATTTCAATTTGTAAAATATTTTTACATTTGTATTAAATTTTTATAATTTTAAGGTTTCATTTAATAACTTATAATTCTTTAAAATGTTAAAAATAACAAAAAAATTACAATCTAGAAAATTTCTAAATTTTAAAGATATTCTTGGATTTTCAAAAATTTCCTGTAAGTTTGACACATTAATTACTTTGACGTTACAACAAAAACAACTTAATTAATTAACTAAAATTAAGAAGTTCCTTTATGAATTTAAATATATAGGAAGGGTATGGTCAGAAAAGTAAACAAAAAATAGAACATATAAATAAGGAACGTTTATTGTATTATATATAAGACAACAATGAAATATTCATTAAATTATGATTCTTTAGATATCACTTTAAAAAATAAATAAAAGGAATCAAATTGCTGTTTTATCTGGATCAAACTGGAAAAAATTGAGTTAAGAGTTGAGGATTGGTTCATCAAAACTTAAAAATAAAATTATTTTAGAGTGGTATTCCAAGAACAGTATAAAAAGGAAAATGGAGATTGTATGTTAGTTATTTTTTGCATAGTACAAATGAAATTGCATGAGACACCAAAACATAAATCTTAACAAATCATCAACCAAGATACTGACGGTTTTGTTCCATACACACATTTTTATTTTCATTAACCAAAACTTCTATATTTTTGAGTTAATTATATCATGATCAAAGTAAATAAAATGAATGTTTTGAATTTCAAAATAAGAACTTTCTTTTTCTTGTATGAGTTAGATAAAAAAAATATTTACAAAGCAATACCTAGAAAATAAACCAATCAATAAAAACCAGCGAGAGAGTATATATACAAAAATAAAAAAAATGATTAAATACAAAATAATAGACCACATTGCCTTAACAATATTTAAAAAATAGTTGTAATCGTATATTACAGACTAATCTCCAAAATTATAACTTTCAAATTCTTCTGTATTAAATCCAAAGTCGAGGGCTTCTGATCCCCGAATATGTGCAGCATAGCAAGCCATTTCCATTTTTTTTAATGATTGAAGGGTAACAGACATTTTTTTCATGAAATCTCTCCCTTGCATTCCATGCATATTTCTGTATGAATTCAACAATAGCATTCCTGTATAGAGACTTTTGACGAAATTACAATCTTTGTTTCCTGCTTCTAAATTACGAGCGCTAAAGCTATTAATGCAATGCCTCATTACTTCACCAGTGAGGTCCTGTACGCCGAGAATATAGTCAAAGAAAGATACAAGAAGTGGTACTTTCTCTTGAGGTGGCTCCCCTTGATCCATAACTTTTTTTTCAAATGTTAATTCATTTTGAATTACATCAATGTTAAATAGTCCACCTTTAGTTATGAAATGGTAAAATGTTACAGCTTCAATATACTCTTGAAGACCTGAAAAATTAAATATAGATGAATTTTAGCAACAATCTTAGTTAACTTAATTAACAGATAATTTATTCTTATTTGCTGACAGTACCCTAGGTACAGAACTGACAAAAACTCAAAGACAAAAGCTTGTATCAAATGTAATTTATTCCCAATAAGTTATTTATGCAATCCATATTTTCTATTTGTGAAATGAATATAAAAAACATTGCATTTTTGCATTACATTTCTTATAGTAAACGTACAAAAAAAAAATGACATTTAAACCAGTAATGGTTTCAATTATAAGCACTAATTTTTTTCTTCTTTCGAACTCTGGATATTATCTCAAAAAAAAAAAGAAAAAGAAATTTGTAAATTTTAAAACCTTTAAATCACCTTAAAAAAATTATATTGAGAAACAAAATACAGGGTCATGAGGTACGCCTGGATTTTTATGCAATCGTACATTTTTTTCCCCTGCAGTTTTGATACTGTTCATCAAATATCTTAGCCAATCAGTCAAATATGTTATTGCATAATCTTGCAAGTTTGATGATAAATTCATATTTTAATTTTTCATTTAAATAAAAAAACTAATAAATTAACAATCAACACGCAACATTAAAAATGAAATTCCAGATTACACGCACAGGTTGATATTGATTTGTTGTGTTCATTTCGTGACTTTGCATCTCTCCTTCGTATTCCTATTAAATTTTTAAATACCACACTCAGTTTAACTTTTAGTTTGTTTCTTATCTTCATTACAAGATGTGATTGTTATTATTATTATTTGAAATGCCAAAATTAAATGCATTGTTTATATTTTTTAATTTAAATATTGAATCATGACAAATTTCGACTTAATCATGACAAATCCAAACATACAACATTTACTCTTCGAAAAAACACCTGCCCTCCAGTTTATATTGACAACAATCAAATTCCTCAAACGGACACGCTACTTTTACCTTGGATTCACCTTCGACAGAAGGATGACATGGGGTCCGTATGTTAAAATGAAACGTAAGACACTTAACAAACGACTCAAACTACTTTACTTTCTTTTTTCTAAATCTTCAAAACTAAAACAGAAATTGAATACATATACATACTTACTTAAACCCATATGGACGTATTCATCACAAATATACGGTATCGCAAAAAAAGACCCACCTACAAAAACTTCAAATGTTCCAATCAAAATTATTGCGACTCATAACAAAAGCACCATGGTACGTGACTAACAAAACTCTACATACTGACCTCCACTTTTCAACAGTTGAGCAACATATAACGTCCCCTTATCAACGATTTTACACAAATTTAAATGGACATAACAGACTTATACGAGACATGGCCACAGCTGACATACCTCAGAACATGAGGAGGAGACTAAAAAGGCGTTGGATGAGGGATCTCCTTCCTTAGACAACCTAAGTAATTGGAGCAAGTTAGGGAAGAGGTACTGCTGAGTACTTTCCTTCCCCATGCCTGTCATGTCATTTATCATATACCCCCATCAGATTTACTGATTGTCAGCAATAAGTTGACAGGGCGCAAATATATTTTTTGATAGACCAAAAAAAATAATATATATATTGAATCAATGCTTACAATCATAAATAAGAAGCAGTTTTTAAAACTCATGGAAAAGTTGTTTTTTGGAACAAAACGATACATTGTGAAAATAAAAAGTTGATAGTTTTAAAACTTACGTACATATTTGCTCCTATTACATCTGTTGATATAGTAATATTTACCGCATGTTTGAGGTTTTTAGTAATAAAAATGGATTCAATTATTCTACGTTTCCCAATATTCTGTTCTCTATGCAACACGGAAGCAGTACCGAAATCAAATTTATGTCCATTTTTTGTACAGCGATTTTAAAAATTTTATGGCGCGGTGCATGGTAGGTGGATGATATAAATTAATTCAAAATAAATTTTGGACTATTTGTATTACTGATGGCTGTTAAATAATATGTGTCTGATAAGGATGTATTTGAATTGTAAAAACTAAATTAAAATTAGTTTTGCAGGATCTTGAAAATGGCACTGAAATGTTGAATAAAGAATACAGGATATAAAAACTGTGTATATTTGGTGACCTTTGGCCTAAAATATATATAAAAAAATATTTGGATATTTTCTGTTGTATATTTTAGTTTTTACTCCCAATTATATGGTATTTTTTAAAAAGTTTTAACATAAAAACATCTGGACTCTGCTAATATCTAATAGTTGGTTGTTGCAGTTATTTTGGAAAGAAAATAGTTCTTCCTGAGAGCTTTAATGTTAACAAAAAGATTTACCTCTAAAAAAAACTTCAATCAAATACTTCGCACTAAATATTAAAAGAGAAAAAGACCTGTATGTTTAACTGACCATAAGAAGCATAAAATAATGGTAATTTAATAAATAAAAGCTTTCACCATGGATATTGTCAGTACTTGCCCATTTCTACAGCTTATTCTCTTCATGGCCTACTCACTATATCTGAGAGACAATTAAAATAGTTAGTTAGTTAAAATAATTATTTGTACTCATTTCAACAATACAGAAATATAAATTAAAATATTGACTCATGTCCTTAATTATTTTATAAAATTATAAAACAACAAGTGTGTACTAAATTTCTATGCCATAAAAAATAATCATTATATTTAACCTGCAGTATAATTCCTGCAAAACTGATAGGGGTCATCACCAGCGAGTTCAAATGCTATATTTTTTAGAAGACTTTCTCTTACTGTTTCCAAAGTTTCAGTAATTTTTGCCAAATCTTCTTCATAATTACCTGATCTAGAATATTATATTCAGTGAAAGGCTAGTAAATTACATGAAAACACGATTTGAATGATGAATATGTAACCCAAATAGGATTAAATTTTAAAATATACCTCATTAAAGCATGAAGAGAAAATATGGCACGTTTACTTGCAATAGTTACATCTCTGCTAAGTTTTACAATTCTTTCGGATTTATCTTGCTTTGAATTCAATTCCATTGCATATTTTTCAAATGCTTCAGTAACTGGAGTTTTATCATATTGGAGAGCTTTTTTCTCCTGAGGTGGTTTCTGGTATTTTCTTTTTTTCTCCTCATAACCTAATAAATAGAATGTTTTAAAGTAATTTGTTTGCTATATAATGAAAGAGAATATGTAACGATTCAAAAGATAAAACACATTTTTAGCATCATAAGTTTTTAAAAAAAGATTACCCATATTGAGAAAATGATACTTATTGATATTAAGTAGGATGACAAGACCAAATAGTAAAATTTAGGTAAAATATTATAAAATAAATTTGTAAACAGTGAACTCCAGTTGTCAGTAGGTTTCGGTATCCAAAGAGGTTAGTCTTAACGCGAGTTCAATTTGTTAAAGTTATCCAAACATTTTAGATCAATGACGTCAATATATGCCACTGTTGGTTGACTAAAATTCTAAATTACAATTATTTTACTTCGTTTAGTAAAGAAAGAATTTGCAGTTATATATACTAATAATGGTACTGGCAGGGGGAACAAGTCCAGCAAGTGGGTTTTTTCATAATTATATAAGCTTAATGTTATACTTGAGATATTCAACTGATGAATTAAACTTAAATGCCACCTAAGGATTAAAATAACACGAGGGATAGTGCAGGAATTCAATAGAAGTTTTGGGCTAACCAGAAAAGAGAAAAGAACATGAGAATTTATGAGAAATCCAACTTAATTTTAAAGCCACAAAAGTAAAATTAGGCCCTACACTCACAAGTCTAGACAGACTCGAAGCGAGAGAGATACAGTATGACCTCTTAATCCAACCATGTGTCTTAAGCGATTGTCGTTCGCTCAAGACTATTTTTCTTATAGTCTTCGACCAAAAGTTACAAAACTTTCAACTTAAAAAAATAATAAATAAAATGAGGAATTCAATAGAGGAAGAAGAAATTGTATTTTTATTGGAAAAGACGTTGGTTGGGTAGGTCAGTTGCTCCGTGCGACGGGGTTAAATAGACGCCACGAATTGAGTACAAAAATATATGTAGAAATAGAAAATTCTTGAAAACAATACTAATCATTTCTACATACGATTTTTTAAATTCATTCCTATTCATCTTTATTTAGGCGTTATTTTATAGGTTATTATGTAGAAATTATTTCTACTCTCAGTTCTAGTTACTATAAGAAAAATTACAACAAGCTGGCTAGAAACATGAAATTCAAATGGCGGAAATGCAAAAGTATTTTTAGATATAACTTACAAACATGAAAAAATTGAACGGGTGTGTAGCACACGCCTGTAAATATTTAACCCGTGGTTCCTACAATCTACAAAATGATCATATTTAATGATACTAACGGAGGAAAAAAGAAAATAAAAGAATTCTTTAAATGAAACTTTAATTATAAACAGCTAACAGCGGAAATATTTTAAATGAGAACTATTTAAAAAAAACAAACTAGGTAACGAATATTTCAATTGGTCGGTAAAACTGCAAATGGAAAATTATTTACACTAAACAAGAAAAATTAGTTTAAAAAAATCAATTGCAGAAATCGTTAAATCTTATCCATCTGAAGGGATTGTGTTTGCATGTCGACTTAAACATCTTGGTGAATTGTTAAAAAAATTGACATCAAAGAATCAATGAGTCGTTCCTTCAATAATTCGTTACATATCTTTTCTCGGACAGATTAAACACATTTTTCTGTTTAAACACATGTTTTGATTTAAAATTGTTTTAAAACATTCACAGAATTTCACCGAATGGTTTGAGGTATCGAACTTGAAAATCTGTCGTTCGGTCAAAAAATCGTTATATACCTTTTAGCGGACAACTTCAACACATATCCCTCAGTTTGGCTTCTCAGTAATACAGTAGCTAAATGAATATTACTTTCAACTTGCTCGTTCCAAACGTCACGCTTTTAGTCGTCTCTCAATCGTTTCATGTTTTTAACAGTTGGCAAAGTTAGAGTTTACTTCGTTTTGAGTGCATATGGTTTAGTTGGAGAATCATATAGGAAATTGAGTGAAGGGAGGAACCTCTATAAGTTCGAATCTCGCTTCGAGTCCGCCGTGATAGATCTATCGTTCTTGTTTTGTCTGAATTCGATAAAAATAAATAGGCTCATGCCACAGGTGCTTGAAAATGTTGACTTAATAACTAGCTATAATTTATTGTATTTATTCTTCTCTCATTGCGGTTTATTTATTTTATAATGATTGAAAATATGACGCTAGAAAAATTATAATATCAAAACAACAATAATAAGGCAATGTTGTTTGTCTGAGCGTTGCAAAGGCGGGATGGGGAAGAGGGCAAGGTTTGGCAACGCGGCCAAATGTCACAACTAAAATAGAAGCAAGCAGTAGTGTCTTCCTACCTCTTTGCTTCATCTGCGCAATAATTTACGTTCGCGAGATTCCTGTCAGTTTCAGTTTCTGTGCGCGTATAAATAAACAAAGAACTGATGTTCGTGTCGGTAATTCTAGAAATGCCTTAGATTTTTGTGTTTTGTTATTAAAATTTAAAATCGATAAAAAAAATTATGGAGTGGTTAGCTTCTTTTCTGCCCGGTCATCGATCCTCAGGTTATTTTTATTTTTATTAAAGTTTGTCAATAAAAATATTATTATTATCATCAATGTTTCCTACTAAGACTAGATTAATTAAATATTCAATCGTATTTTAAGTCAGACGGTGATAATGATGAAATTAGAATTATTTACGAGATACATAATGTTACCGGTGTTTTTTTGTTTTTGTTTTTTAATAACAGCTACCAAAAATATAGTGTGGACAATCCGGATTTATAAAGAAGCTTATCAACATTCCGAAGTATTAAAATAAAAGTATCAAAAACAATTATAATTTAATAAGATCAGTTTATATTTCGTAGGATCTTTTACACTAAGGAATCCGGACAAGGATGTTAAGTCTTTATGAAATTAAATTATGTGTGTTTGCTTATCAAACTGTATAAATTAATTCATCTAGACTCCTTAATCTTATCTATTTATCTTTTGATTTACTCTGATATTCTTTATTCATATATATATTTTTTTACAAACTATAATTGATACAACAGAAAAGTAGAACACATTTTTTAAAAATACAATTACGTACACAATTTTATAAAAGTAAAAATATACATATTTAGAAAATCAAGTTACTCTCCCAGATTTAAGGCTTTTTGTATTTTTTAAAGAATTTTTCTTTAAATTTAATTATATTAAAATAAAAAAACGTTAAATAATCCTGTTGTTCAATCATTGATTATTATTCTATAGGGATAATTTTGGGTACAATAATAACTTGACATTTAGCGGTAAAGTTGGCGGATTTACGAAAAAAAATATATAAGTTCAGGCAGTGGTGTCCATCACCCTCAAGGTCGATGGCGCAAAAACCTACTCCCAAGATATTTTATTGGCAACCTTTTCTTAAAAAAATAACAAGCTAAGGTAGAATTAGAAAAATCTTAGATGATATACAATCAAACTGGTCTTGATATGTGTGCATGTTTTTCACCTTGTCCCTTAATCCAAAAATTCATAACCCTGTCGAAATTCGCACTTCTCAAAAATTCAAAAACCCGTAAAAATATGCCCCCCTCAAAAATTTTGATGGCACGACTTACATTATGAAACCCTATCTGGACACCTCTGAGTTCAGGGAGAAAATACTTGAACGGTGGTGCTCCAAGATTTTACAATTTAACCCCATACAATAGCGAATCCAGGATTTAATTTTGGGAAGGACTTCAGCCCGAAAGCTTTTTTTTCATATATAATATAACGATGATTGATTCGAAAAAAAAATAAAGAAACTAACTACCTACATGACATGGTGTTTAAGCGATTCTTGAAGTCCTATTAAATGTAATTACACGAACAATAATACTTTAATAGATAGTTTTTAATATTTTTTTCTACCATTTTTATCCCACCGTAGATCGGCATGTGACCCCATACATTTCGATTCCGGATAACATTATTGTTTTTTTATTATTAATTGAATTAATGAGAAACTAAATGCTTAGCTTCGAAAAATATGGTTCACTTGGCGTTCAAGGAAAACTTCAAAATAATAAGAACTATATATCTAAAACTGACGTTTGGCCCACAATTCAGATCTCTATCAGGGAAGAAGAGTCAGGCATAGAGATAAGACATATCAGTTTTTATTTGATGTATCACGCAAAAACACTACCAAGAACACATTTCTTTGAATTAAAATATAAATTAGAAGAAATTGAAATTTTAAAATTTGACTAATAAAAAAAACATCAACAGTAACAATAATATCAATAATCAATGCATCATGTTTCTTAATGAAAGGAATATTGGATATTTTCAGATCGAAGTATAAGTACTTACGTAATTTTATAGCTGGACAGAAAACTTCATTTTATTTGAAACTATTAGAAGAATTCCAATTTGAAAATCTGTAGTATATGATATCCTACTATCCACTGACATCAGTGATCCTCAATATATTGTCCTTTACCACAATTTAAATTAGTGGAGAGCATCATGGACCTTATGACGTAACTCTAACATACTTCACCACATCCCGGCGTTTTTTCATCATCGATATCATCCAATACCAGCAAGATAATTTTCGATGAGGAACTAAATATTGTTGAAACCAGATTGTTGGTTTTAGTGGTTTTAAAACCGAAGGCCACCAAACATGATTAAATCCTTTGCTGTCTAATCACACGGTCATGATTTTTAATTTAGATTCGAAGTAAAGTTTCAAAGGAAATCGATTAATCTAGATAATTGTTTCATAGTGTTCCTTGCGTGATAAATTCGAATTATTGAATCGTTGATTATTGATTCAAATCATTGAAAGGAAAATGTCGGGTCAATCCTAACAGTAAACAGTTTTTCCATAAATTACTTATCAATGAGTATTCCTTCTGTTGAACTAAAACGTTATTTGCCACTGGTCCTTAAGAGATTTGGGACTATATTATAAACTTCAGCGAAGGAAATATAACTTTGTCCAGAGACAATAGCTTTTATAACATTAATATTTATATTTATATGTTGGATTTAAAAAAAATATTCTCTAAGTCTTAAACTAAATTTTCAAATTATAAATTATTAATTAAAATGATTGAGTAAGACAGAAATCCTTAGATTCGCATTAACTCTCGGAAATGTATGATAAAAACTTATTAAGCCACCTGTTTTATTTAAAATAACAAACATCTTATTGAAGAATCTGTGAAATATCCTGGTTGCAGAATATTCCAAATAGGAAATAGAATTATGTATTTTAAATGACATGAGCCACATCATGCTTATGAAAGAAATAACCTCTTCGACAGTTGTCCCGAGAAGGCACTAAGGCCTCAGAAGCAGTAGATGGAGGTCGTAAGAGAGGATATGAAGGATGACGGCCTGACAGAAGACGACTAACTTGACCAAGTTCCGAATCCTATATATATATATATATATGTATATATATATAGGTTATATATATAGGATATATATAGGTTATATATATAGGATATATATAAATACACATGGTTAAATTAAATCAAGAAACATATAACTAACATAGAATAACAACTTATAATTTTAACTTCATGACAATAATGAAGTTTCACGATACATTAAATTAAAATTATGGAATTTTCACCGGAGGAAATTGATTTTTTTCAATGGGTTTTAATCACTCCTGTAAATCGGACAACTAGTTTTGAAAATAAGAACCTCAATTATCAATTAATCGTTGAGAGTTATCTAAAATTTCATAGCGACTTTCTCCTAATGTACAGAATATGTTTTACAATTAATTACTTTAATCGCAGAGAATATTTTCAAGAATTCAGAGATATATTTTATTTTATGAAAAAATAAAATAAAACCACTAGAAATAGTGAATTCTACTGCAATTTATTATCATTTGTGATACTAAAGAATTGTTTATATGAGAGGATTATGATCAAAGATGGACATCTGCTATTTTTAAAAAGATGTGAAAAAGCCAATTTTCCGTAACATGGCTTCAATTTAAACCAAATGTAATGATCTTTTTCATGATTAAACTTATAAATACTTAAAAAAAAAAAAAATCATCAGAAATAGTTTTGAATTGAACCAATAAAACAAAAATTTACTTTTTCTCCACTTTTTGAAAATGATAGATATCCATCTTTGATATGAAGCCACTCATATACTTGGTACTCAAAAAATTAAGTCTGATCAATGATACAAAGGGTGTCTTAGTTCTTAATGCCCAAAGTCTGGGAGGGAGGGGGGGGGGAGTAGATTTTGGACGAAATTTCTAACAAAAAAGAGTTCATTTAATACATGGGCCGATTCCGATCCAAAAAGGAGCTAAGACCAATTTTGTATTTTTCTTAAGGTGGTCGCGTTTTTATTGACTAAGAAGTAGTCAAATTAAATTCTAAGTACAACATCATAAAGTAAACAAAATTTTCTTTGGGAAAACAATGATTAAACTTTCTAAAGTCAATGACAAAAAGGTACTTTGATGAGGTCTAATACTGAAGCTGTAGCGCTGCAGTTACAGAACCCATACACGAGCATCATATCTCTGTATTCCTGATTCGTACGCAGCAGCACAACGGCCGCATTAGACCTCCTCAAAGTCCCTTTTATCATTGACCTTCGTAAATATAATGACTGTTTTCTCAAAGAATATTTTGTCTACTTTACGATGGTGTACTTACAATTTAATTATCTTGGTAAGTTTTTGAGCAATTTCTTCTTATTCAATAAAAACACAACCACCTTAAGAAAAACACAAAATTGGTCTTAGTTCCTTTTTCGTTCGGAAACGGCCCTTATATCAGATGAACTTTTTTGTCACAAATTTTGTCTAGAATCACCCTCCTCTCCCTCTTCCAGAATTTGACCACTAAGAACTGAAGCACCTTGTATAACCTTTCAACAAGCTATTTCACTTATTACCCATGAAAAATACCTTAAGAAGAGTACCTTTACCACAAGTTTTTTTTTTTTGTGTGTGTTAATGCTTATACGAATAAGTCATCCGGGAAGGATCATGTTCAACTGTCAGGTTCGCCAACTGGCACATTAACCGTAAAGGAATCCAATTTAAAGACTGTATGTGCCATAGGAAGAAACTCACCCCAGTTTAGGTTCACAGCTTATAAATAAATTTATCGTCACAACAGGATTCCAACCTGGGTTCGGGAGTTAAGGAGTCCAGTTTCACTAGAATTGAACTACCTCAAATCATAAAACGATATGTAATTAATTACTACAAAATACTGATTACTATAACATAATACATTACTCCTTTGATAAGGTCTCTTCATAACTTTCCTCTGCGTCTGTTGATAGGCACTGAAGAATAAAGTTACACTCAATTGTTACCAAGGAACAAAATC